GGACGAAGGGTGTAGCCAGGTACCATCATTTTCGTTAGTTCAGATGATTTTTGTCTCGATTGTTTTCACCTGTAGATATGTCTCCCTCGTCAAATGGGGATGAAAATAGATCTATCTCATAAAACACAAATAAACAGTCTTTCCTTTTCTATTATTTAATACTCCCATAAAAATAATGAAATTAGATAGATAAAATAGCACTACATGTACCACAATACGATTTTTTTTATTTTTCAAACCTTTTTAATTTTTAATTTAAAACCTCAACCCTTTCAAAACTTATTTTCTAAACATTTTTGTCACGCCAGACAAAACAACATTGGCACGCCACCTGCAGTGGGTGTGACAGTTTTGTCCTGCCATACCAGCGAGAACGGCGTGGCGAAATAACACTGGCATGCCAGCGATGCCGGCGTGGCCAAATAACGCTCGACGTGATAGTATTGTTTGCGCTGGCATGAAAATGTTCAGATATTGAAAGTAAATTTTGGATGGGTTTATTTTTTCTCACGCCCGGAATTTCTATCCAAAATTCCAAACGCTTACATGTGTGTAAACCCTCGTCCAGGAATCAGCCGAGGCACACAATAACAAATTGATAATAGAGTACCATTATTACTCTAATTAATAAGCGAATAAAATGTCATTACAGAGGTAGATAGTTCCTCTCAATCAATAAAGATCTAAGCAGCGGAAAGATAAGATAAACGGCGCAGACGGCTCCACTCCACAGGCAGCTTGACCAGGGCTACACCTAATCCTCCACACCATCAGCATCATTGTAGAACTCTTCCTCTGATGAATGATTGCAAGGTGAGTATATGACATACTCAGCAAGCCACGCAGCAAATATGCAAGTGCACAGGATAACAAAGGATGGCATAGTAGGGTTTCATTTGCATAAACAGCATTTAACAAACATTTCAGGATTTAATAAAACAGTTAGGTATTAATTAAACAGTATTAATCCAACGCTACACAACATACCCTGTTGCATAGGCCCAACCATTCTGAACAACCATCCCGGCTGCACAGTTCTATCTCCAAACCAGGAATATACCATTCCAAACCAGGAGCTAATCAAATTATTACCAGTTATAGCATCTTTTATTATGGTGAGAAGTGTGAAACTAATCACGAAAAACATTGCTCAACCCGCCCATAACCGCGGGCACGGCTATTCGAATAGTTTTACTCTGGCCAGAGGTGTACCACTGTACCCACAAGACACAGCCCCACAACATGTCACCATGTGCCTCAATACCACCACGGTACCTCGGAAAGGAGCTGTGATAGTACCCCTCGCACAACACAATCCACCACAGTGCACCGTTCCCGGATCATAATCACCCCCTTATAAACAAGGTATGGACTCCCCAGCGACCCCCGTGGGCTTATCTCCGCCACTTCTCAGTCTGGTGCTCTGCAATGAACCATGCTATACGAAAGGTAAAGCCGTTGCCCACGCTGGCTTGTGGTTGGCACGGTTAATGTTTCACAACAGTAGCTCGCGAACCGGTCCTTAATTGCCATGAGCACGACTCTCAAAACCATGTGCTCACAACCCACCTTTATCATATTTTAGTTGGCAAGTAATTATTTAACCAATCACGATTGACCATCGTGAACTATCATTAAGCCATCATTAAATAATAGTGAGTCATAAGTTATCCCAATAGTGTGCTAATGTTTCTAAGCATGGCTAAGTAATTATATCTAATATCTAGTTGAACCAATATATATAAAGCTCAACTAGTCCAATTATAATCACCCAAGGTATCAAGGAATAAAGTAATCAAGTACAAAAGGGACATAACAAAGAATAGGTTAATTCCACCCAATGACATTCGAAAATAGATGCAATAGTTGAATAGAAACAATAGCTTTAAATAGGATCAACATGCTCAAAGGGTTGTTTGGGATCTGTGTGACTTGCCTTGCTGGCCTTGGAACTCTTCAAAATCTTCTCCTGCAAAAACAGACTCTCCGGAAACGTCGGAATCTAAACAGAAAAGAGCAAAAACACCAAAACAGCACATAAACAAGCATGAACAGTACATGTGGATATTTTTAACATGTAGATCTCAATTTTAGAAAAATTTAGAGACTTGAACCAACTAAATCCGAGCTAAGATGAATTAGTTATGAATTTTTAAAGATTAAATCGGATTAAAACACTTATATGGATTTTAATTGAATTATGACGCAATAATGAATTATTTTTGAAAAGGAAAAGGGGTTTATTGCGTCAGCGGCTAGGGTTTGCGGTGGACCGGGCGCACGGCAGCAGTTCACGGGAACGGACGGCCGAGATCGATCCATCCAAAACGGACGACCGAGATCGAACGGTCCACGACCGAACCACGGAAGACGACAATGACGACGTCAGCGATGACGTCACTTCCGGCGGCGGCTCGGCGGCTCGGGCACGCAAGCTCGCCGGCGAACGACGGCGCGACGACGCGAACGGAGGGCTCTAGGACGTAGAGCGCGACGCGGCGAACTCACCGATGACCAAAACGGCGGCGGAAGATCAACGGACGACGACGGCGTTGAGGAAGAAGCGGCGGCGACCTTCGGCTTGACGACGACGGCGGTGGTCCGGCGGTCGACAGCGACGGCGGATGGGCGGACGAGAAAGACGACGCTACGGCGACCACGACGGCGGCCTTCCCGAGCGACGGCGACGACTGGAGCGATGGCGGCGCACGGCTGAAGCGGCAGCGACGACGGCGGCACTAGGCTGCACGAGGCTAGGGCGCTACAGACGTCGGCGAGCAAAGGCGAGGGTGGCGGCGGGTAGAGGAGACACCGGGGATCCTTTTATAGGGGCAAGGAGGCGGCGGCGAAGGCCCACGGCGGACGGCGACGGAAAGGAAAGATTGGGGAAAAACGAATCCGAATCAAACTCGAATCTGCCTATTTCCAAAGGAGATTAGACAAAGTTTCTATAGAGGAAAAGATAGAGGAGATCAAGGGGATTCTTTCCCCTCTACCAATTTCACCGGAAACGGAAAGGATCGGCCGAATTTGAGGAGGAGACGGCGGCGGCGCGGCGCTAGGGTTTCGGGCGGCGACGGTCGGAGGTAGACGACGGCCCCGACAGGCGGGCCCCACCTGTCAGCGACGGGAACGCGCGCGCGAGCGGGCGGCTACAGACTGGGCCGACTTGGGCCGGGGAGAGAGAGAAGGTTTTGGGCCGACTTTTGGCCCAAAGCCAAAAGAGACTTTTAAAAATCTTTTTCAATTTAAATTATTCATGAAATACAATTCCATTTATTAAAAATACTTCCTTAGCTCAAATAAATCCCAGAAAAATCTAGGAATTATAGAATTAAGCAAAGTATTTAATGAAATTTTATCTGGCCCCATTTTATATTGAAATTTATTAATTAAAATTAGATCTTCTCTTCTAGGCTTTTAAAATAAACTAGCAAAAGTGCCCGTGCGTTGCACCGGGTGATTACGGAGTGTGTATATTGACCAAAAGTGTTGTTTGGTCTAGCAAAAGTGCCTGTGTGTTACAATGTGAAGCGTACAGATTAGAAAAATATGCAATTAATTAAAATACAAATTCGCTGAAATATTTGGTATTTTTAAGTAGGTATGTGTATAATTAAATAAATTTACAAGTAAAGCAAGTGTGAGAAATAAAATGACATGGTTAAATTTAATTTTTTTAAAATTCTCCATGATTAGTTACGCTCTTTGAAATTATATTTGAATTTTTCAGAGCTTAATTGTTAATTTTATTAATACAAACGTCATTTAACAATTATTTACTTGGAAAAAGAAAGAAAATACTTCCTTTTAGGTTTGCTTCGAAATAAACACATTCAATAACTTATAATTGTAATGCTTCTGAAAAAATGAGCACTAAAAATGAACTTATTCTCTTTTTTTGGGCCTGAGGGACCTAAAATAGACTTATTTCCGGCCCTTGCCGGTCGGTCCACGGCCTTTTGTGCACGCGCAAGTGCACTTCCCCTCCCCAGGCCACAACATGGGCTTGGGCCAGAAAAGTGGCCTCACTCTCGATCCCTCTTGGGCTGATTTCGGCCTGGACGACACCGATCGTCCGATCTTTAGGGTTTTGATCGGACGGCCGAGCGTCGATATCGGGGAAACAAAACCCCTCCTTCTCCTCAGCCGCCGAAACCCTAGCCCATTTCCCTCCCTCCCATCTCACATCGCCGCCCTCCCCTCCGCGCCCCCGAGCGGCGGCGACGGCGCCCCTCTTGCCGCGAGCGGCGGCGGCGGCGCCCTCCCCCACAACCAACGGCGCGGCGCCCTCTCCCCGAACAACGGCGGCGTGGAGGCGGCTGCGGCCCGGCGGGAGTGGGAGGGGCGGCGGGCCGGACCTCGCCTCCGCCAGATCTGGCGGCATGGAAGCGGCTGTGGTCCGGCGAGGGCAGGAGAGGCGGCGGCGTCGTCTCTTTCTCTCTCTCTCTGTGCATGGTGGGGAGGTGCGGCAGTGGTGGTGGTGGCGGACGTCATGGAACGCCGGTCGGGCCTCGCCTCCGCCAGATCCGGCGGTGTGGAGGCAGCTGCAGCCCGGCGGGGGTGGGAGGGGCGGCGGGCCGGACCTCGCCTCCGCCAGATTCGGCGGCATGGAGGCGGCTGCGGTCCGACGGGGGCGGGAGAGGTGGCGGCGTCGTCTCTTTCTCTCTCTCTGTGAATGGTGTCGGTTCTCCTGGTGATGCTAACCGAATAGGACTTGGTATAACAGATGGGAGTTTGTTTCCTATTTTTGTGGAATCGGACATATTCTTTTTTTTTCCCGATTTTTCTTTTACCGCGTTGATGAATCGGATTCGTTCCGGTTTTTTTTCACCCGGTTTTTTTGACGGACGATGGAAGCACCTCTTATTTTTTAAGTAGTAGTAGATTCTAATAATTCCAATTAAACAACAATTTATATATTTAGGATTTTTAGGATGTGACATTTTTAAAATTTAAAATAAAAAAGGTTCAAAAAAATAAAAAAAAATCCCACAATGCATATACAAATGGTTCAAAATTTCCGAATTATTTTCCAAGATTCACCTAAATTACAAGCAAAAAACTGCTAAACTGCGAGCTCATCACAATCTGGAACCATGGGCGCCGGCGGGGTAAGCGAGCCCCAGGCTCGCCGCCGTCGCCGGCTTCAGCAAGCAATCCGGGCCGGCGGCCTCCACCACCTCCAGCAGCCGCGGCCACAACCTCGTGCCGGCGAAGAACCACGACCCGTCGCCGGCCGGGCTGGGCACCACCGTCGCCGATGCCGACCCCAGCCTGCCGTGCTGCAGCCACGGCATGACCAGCCTCGGCTTGCCGAACCCCATGTCGCCGTCGATGGCGAACGGGAGCAGGCCGGAGATCACCATCGCCGGGCTCCCGAGGCCGAGGTTCACCGCCTCCGTCCACTTCCCGCCGTCCTTGAACGCCGCCGCCTTCTTCGTCTCCATCCAGTCCACCAGCTGCTGGAACCTGTCCCTGGTCATCGCCGCCGTGATCGCCGCGCGCACCATGCCCGCCACGGCGTGCAGCGGCGCGCCGAGCACCTCCTCCACGCTCGCCTCGCGGGAGGTGTAGGTCACCACGTTCCCCATGTACCGGTCCAGCGCGCCGCCCTCGCCGCCGCCCACCGACGGCGGCTCGAGCCGCTTCCGGCCGTCGATGATCCACGCCATCCGGCAGTGGGTGTCGGAGTCGCCGACGGCACGGGCGAGGAGCTTCCACACGTGCGCGCAGAGCGCCACGAAGCGGGTGGCGCGCCGGCCGCCGCCGCCGCCGGCCGACGCCTCCTCCCGGAGACGCTCGAGGTCGGCGGCCTCGATGCGGTACAGGCGCCGCTGGATGGCCGCCGCCATGAGGGGATTGATCATGGTGGCCGGCGTGAACCTCGAGAACTCCTCGTCCAGCGACGGGCTGAACCGCGGCGGCGACCGCGGCATGAGCAGGGATCGATCGAGCAGCGGCTCGCTGGTGAGCCTCCCCTCTCTGACCATCTCCCCCAAGGCGTTGAGCAACACGATGAACGCCCTCCCGTCGGCGAGGAGGTGATTCGTCGCCACCGTCAGCGAGAACCCGCCGCACGCGAACCTGACCAGCTGCAGCGACAGCGGGAGGCTCGCGTCGAACGCCACGCGCATCAGCCCGATCGAGCGGTCGACCTGCGCGAAGTCAACGGCCGCGAGGGGCACGGCGGCGTCGGCCACGACGAGCTCGGCACCGGCGTTGTTGCAGGCGACCTCGGGGATGTTCGTCGCCGGGTCCCGCACGACGCGGCCGGCGAAGGGGAAGAAGTGGGAGAGGTACGCCGGGAGCGCGGCGCGGACGGCGGACACCACGGCGGCGACGCCGCCCGGCGGGGGAGCGTAGACGGAGACGAGGTAGATGGGGAAGGGGCCGAGGATGAGGTCAAGGTTGGAGACGGCGAGGACGGGCGGGAAGCCTGGCGGCGGGCGCGACGCCCGGACAAGCTCCCGGGAGGCGATCTCGAGGTCGAAGCGCCTTAGCGACATTTCGCCGAGCGAGCAGCGGGCGTAGCGTGTTGGGCGGCGGCGACGAATTGGCGAATGAATGGCCACGATGCTTACGGCTGAACAGTAGGAGAGACAGGTAGAGTGTAGGAGACTGACACTGCGCACCCGCACAGATGAGATCCAGCACGCAAATTGCCCTTCTTTTCTCTTTCTCAGTGGCAATTTTATATTACCTCTAGACTCTATTTTAGGGTGTGTTTAGTCTGCGAAAAGAAAATTTTTGGTTGTCACATCGAATGTTTGATCGGGTGTTGGAAGTGATTTTCGGACACGAATAAAAAAACTAATCTCATAACACGAATGGAAAACGCTCTCGATTTCGCTACGGCCCGGCCTGGCCCGTACGTTCAATCCGCTCCGCACGGCTTTTGCCTGGGCCGCCGCGAGATCCGTTTCGTTGGCCGCGAACCACGTCATGCGTCCTACGTGGCCTCCTCCCATTGGCCGGCACGTCTCAGAACTCCCCCTCACCGTCCGATCGAGCGGCCGTGCACCATCGGACGGCGCAGATATCTCCCGCCACATAGGCAGCGGCCCACCCAACCCAATTAACCCACTCGCCGCTACGCTTCAAGTCTCTGCTTTGCTTGCGCCTCAGCAGAGTGAGACGAAGGGAAGAAAAAAAAAAAAACTAAAATCTCATCGGAGATGGCGAGAGGCGGCGGCGTCGCGGTGGCCATGGCCGTCGCGGTGGCGGCGGTTGTCCTCCTGCTCCACCCTGCCGCTTCTGCGGCGGCGGCGGGGCCGAAGAAGGTGGCGACGGCCGCGAGGAAGGAGGACATCCCCTACATCCGGTGCCAGGTCTGCGAGCGGATCGCGCGGGAGATCTCGGCGCAGGTGGCGAAGAAGCAGCAGGCGCTCCCGGCAACGAAGAAGGTACTGAATTTTCGTTTCGGGTTCGGTGAATTTTGCGGTGATTGTGGTGGTTTGTGTTGATGGGTTGAGGTGGGAGTGTGCGTAGGTGCCGGAGATCGAGATCATCGAGATCGCGGAGAATGTGTGCAACCTGAAGAAGCAGGAGGCAGACTGGATGCTCAAGATCGATATCGTAGAGAAAGGCGATAAGCTCGAGGTGATTCGGTTGCCATCCTCTGTTTTTAAGTTGATGTTAGTGTAGATGTGTGTGGGTTGGTGCTTGCTAAATCTGCAAACTATACTGATCTGCTTGTCTCTGGTCACTGGAGAGAAAATTGCTCCTTCATGTATGTATATGTTCATGAAACCCATGCACTAAAAAGCTATGAAATCTGCTTCAACACCACTAGATACAAAGCCAAAGCTTTACTCATACACTGACCCTGGTTAAAATATGTTCACTGTCACCAATCACAAACAATAATTCTACCCGAACACATGATTGAAACGTAAGTGTTATGACCTGGCCCAAAAACAATTTATGTAGTTGAATTTATGATGTGAATTCTTGTTTATGTAAGGCTTCATAATTTTTATCTTTATTCACATAGTACACACATAACTATACAAGTATTTAGCCTTCTTGATTTTCCACTTAGAAACGCCGCCGAAAGTGAAAACTCTACTAAAACTTTCTTCTGAACACAGTACATCTTCAAATTATCAATAGATATACTTGTTAGTCCAATCCAGGTTCATATGAATTACCTGTAAACCTTTTAAAGAAAATCTCTATCTAAATCTGTTTGATCTTGGCTGTGGTTAATTTGTTATACTCACTTGTTTGTATTATTTCCCAATCTAATCTATAGAAGCTTTTTACAGCTCGTTGAGCAAGATGAGGAAGGGCACTGTAATGCAGAATGCAAAACCATTGAGCGTGCATGTCAGGAGGTGAAGATCAATGCTTATCTGATTGGTGTTTCTTTATTGTTGTTAAACACTATTACACACATGTTTCACAAATCACAAGACCATATCTTGACATACTAATCTTGCATGATTAATACATTAATGACTTACTGACTAAATAAGATTTATGTTAATGAATCAGTTCGAATGGATTGCAAGGAGTTTAATCATGTTAATATTGCATAGGATCTGCATAAGATTTATTTGCAGATCATAGTAACTTTTAAACATATGTGCACCACTTTTAGTTGTATTGAATTTTGTGAATCTTAGCAAACCAAACTAAATCCATTGCAGGTGATGGGGTATGCTGATACCGATGTTGCTGAATTCGTCTACAAGAAAAAACCTTCAGCTGATCAGCTGGTCAAATTTCTTTGCAAAGATCTTTCTGAAGCATGCGTTGTGGATCCACCACCAGTTCCAAAAGTGAGGATATTTTCATCTTAGTTTCCCTTTTATGCAGATATTATCTATGAACATCGCTAGTTGTAGTGTTGTAAAGATGATCAATTGGGGTATTGAAATACTAGGAGGCTTTATCACTGGTAGAGTGGCAGTTATGTATATAGATTAGCAGCACTAGAAAAAGAACTCCAATATTTATTCGGACACTTTGTATCAGTGTTCGCATCGACATTTAACTAGTCAACAATATTTGAGCTATTGCTATCTTGTATGAAGCAAGATGCAGGTGTATTTCTGGCATATTAGCATTAGCCTACCTATTTTTTCCAGCCCATAAGTTTCATATTGGTAGAAATTGGCTGTTCTAATTTAATAACAGTTCACTTACGATGGATAAAAGCGTAGAAATCCTGTGATTCTATTCTTTACTTAATTACATTGGTTGCCTCATACTCTATACTACTGACTTAGTTTTTCCCGATTATAAGTGCATCGATTCATATGGTTGACTATGAGAAACCATTAAAGCCTTACTAGAAGGGGAAGAATAGCAGTAGATTCAATATAGGAATTAATATTTACTTGTCACATCATTTAAAATTGATAATTTAATTTGTGTGCTTCATTGCCACAAAAGAGGTATGCCATATGTGAAGCTTGGAACATCACTATTGAACCATCATATTCCTGACATACATCCATTGCAAAAACTGCAGGATCGGGTCCCTGGCGAACCTTTTGCTGCTAAGCCATCAAAAGATGCTGAGATGGATAGGATATTGAAATCGATGGAGGTAAACATTCTAGCAGTAAATTCTATAGCTTCATCCAAGTAGATTCAATTTCATGAGTTCCCGTCGATGACAGGGTATTCCAGGAGCTCCAAGCATGAAAATGTACTCTAGAGATGATCTGATGAAGAACAATTTTGGTGTTGACGGTGATGATGACGATGATGATGAAGATGAGGACGATGACTTCCCAAAGAACTTGGTAATATTTTGCACCTTTCTATCTAAGATACTTTTATTTTGATTCTAACATTTAATCATACATCTCACATTCCTTCCAGGGAAAAGTTTTCAAAGATAAGGGTTCACCAAAGAAAGATTTGAAACAACAAGTTGTGAAGCAGATCAAGGATACAGGCAAAAAGTTAAAAGGCCATGTGAACAAGGTGTCAAAGGTGGTAAAGAAATGGTGGCAAGGGAAGAAGAAACCTTCAAAATCCAGCAAAACTGAACTCTAAATACCACGGAATTTCCAGTCCAATTTTGCATTCTCCTGGAGATAGATTGATTGTCGGAAGGTTAGCGTGCCCCCCAGCAAAACATCCACAGCTTTCATAGATGATCAGAACATAAACGTGTACAATTTTTTTCCAGAAATTTTCAGTGTACACCTAAACTAGGAAGGTAACTGGACGAGTTCGGCATGAATATTCATGAGTCATAGTTTGCAAGTTTAGGAAAAACACCAATTGATTGTTGCTATGCCATACTCTGTAAAACAACGGCCATACCAGTAAATTAGATGATTGGCTGTCTGAAGTTCTGTTCATCTATTTAATTAAGGATGCAATCTACCTGTCCACCTTGAAGTCTAGCTGGAGTAATACCCTTGTGCAAATCCTATTTTTTCACAAGTTACAACAAAATTTTGGCCCTAAAATTAGCTTGTCCCAGTTAAGAACGAAAGCAATATTGTCCCACAGCCGCACAACCTGAATTCGGCCCGGCCCTTTCCGGTTTCCAACTTGGAAACGGGAGGTTCCCAACCCAGAGGCCATCAACGCAAGAACACATTCTCACCTCGCCGGAGACAAAAAAAATGGCGAGGTGGCCGCCGCCGTCGCCACCGGACGGCGAGCACTCATTCGGCCACGAAGCCATCGCGCTGTCCTTCTTCGTGGCGTGCGTCGCCGCCACCGTCGTGATGGCGTCGTCCATGTGCTCGGCGTGCGGCCGCAAGCCGAAGGCGGACGACCCAGCGCCCGACGCCGCCGCCGCCGCCGACGTGAACGCGGAGAGCCATGGCGACGGCGGCGAGGAGGGGGAGGAGGAGGAGAAGGCGCCGGTGGTGACGCTGTCGCCGGAGCTGGCGACGCACGGGCCGATCGCCGGCGTGGCGCCGCCGCCGTCGGCGGCGGCGAAGCGGCGGATGTCGATGACCATGAGCCTGAGCAAGAACCTGAGCATGAACATCCCGGACAAGATGAGGCTGAGCCGGCGGGAGCGGCGGGACAAGGTGGAGCCGGAGGACACGCTGTGGAAGAAGGCCATCATCCTCGGGGAGAAGTGCAAGATCCCCGGCGAGAGGGAGGGCGAGGCCGACGCCGACGCCGACGACCTCGCCGCCGGCAGCTTCCGCCGCTCGAGCTACTCGCGGCCCATGTCGCGCTCCATCTCGCTCGCCGTCCACCAATCGCACGTCGACGCTCCTCCGGCCACCACCGCCGCCACCGCCGGCGCCTCGAGCGCCGGGAGTTCTTGACGCGCTCCCGGGTCCCGGCCCGGCAGAGAGGAAGTGACGTGGCAGCCTCGGTATCCGTGTGTATACGTATGTATATGTACGTGTGTATAGGTGGCAGGGTTGTTGCAGGGAGATGCTAGTGTGAATGTGTGATGATGGTCAAAATGCATTCAGATTCATCAGATATTCAGTTGGTGGTTTCACTCTCTCCTATACCGTTTTGTGCCATTCGTTTCATTTTTGGTGAAGTTTGCAATCTGAATGCATGGATCTTGGATCGTGTTTCATCAGAATGGAAAGGGAGAGAATGGATCGTGTTTCATAAGAAAGTCACAAAGCAGCCAGCTCAATGAGATCAAAACCTTGGGTTGTTTGGGCATGATTAGTTGAGCTTCGTTGGTTGCAGCTTGTAAGACAAAAATACCTTGCTGCCAAAAAACAAAAAATAAAATAAAATAAGTGACGTTCAAATTAAGAAAAAAAACAGAGGGAGTACATACTTCTATTCAGAAACGATTCAGAAGCTAAGACTGAGTGAACGAAAGTTACGAAAAATACTAAAGTTATTCTAAATTTAAGCAAACATTTAGACGGGGCGATTCGAGCCTGTGCACCGGCGTCACGGAACTACTGTGGACGTGTTGTGATTTCCGCTGCAAATTTCTGTCACTAGAAACCTTGATTCATGAAATGCCATTACGCAAATTGTTGTTTGTGATGATCCGAAGGGATCAATTTTTTTTTCGTGAACAAGTAAAAGGAGGATCAAATCTACATAAAAGGGGAGATTGTTTAGATTGGGAGTCTAGTTTTCCCGACACAATTTGCCCCGATGGAATTGCCTTTGCTAGTTTCTTGTCCAGATTTGCCTCTGCATTTAGGAAATAGTAACCACACATTGCTAATTTTTTAGGCCCAAAATTAGATCAATTTTGTAACGTCCCGCCACTTTGTCCTCGCTCGTGCGTATCCGGGAAGAATTTTCCGGTTGGTCGCCCATCCCAGGAAAAGAAGTTGTAACTTGTTGATATGAATATTCTATTAATCTTATTATGCCCTAGGCCGGGATGTGATAAATTTATCTTCTATATTATATTGAAATCCAAATCATCCAGTTCTTTTCGGCAAGGGAGTTTCAGTTAAAGGTCTCTGGCCTACGGTTTACAATCTGGTTTGGCAACTAATTTCAAGCACCATCCAGACGTATATTTTTTTTCGTTAATTTTCAAATAAAATCTGATAATTTTAAATTAAATAAGTAAATTTCAGAAAACTATAAACGTTGGCTAAAGAGAAACGCCCAGTGGTCTTCCGGTTATCTTCGTAAGGTGGTGGCCTAGTTGGTCTGACTTCGAAACTTCACCCTTCTATTTATTTGACATTAGGCAATTCCCTAATATTCATGTTTTTATGGACGTTAGCAACATTATCACAAAACTACAAATTTAACAATAAACTTATCAAAAAACTACATGTTTGAGGCTAAGTATAGCAAAACTATAGATTTTATTATTATCACAAAACTACAAATTTAACAATAAACTTATCACAAAACTACATGTTTGAGGTTAAGTATAACAAAACTATAGATTTTAATAATAAAATTATCACAAAATTATTGATTTTAAGGTTTAAATTCCTAGCACTAATGCTATATTTGAGTTATAAATGTTCAAGTTTTGTGATTAAATTGTTATCAAATCTACAATTTTATGATAACCTTGTTTTTAAATCTATAGTTTTTTGATATTTCACCTTAAATATGTAGTTACATGATAAATTTAATGCTAAGTATGTAATTTTGTGATATATCAGGTGAAATTTGTAGTTTTGATCAAAGTTTACTCAAATTAAATCGGTAAATTTGGATAAAACAAAGATGCCCATCTTGAGCCGGCTCGAGATGTTCGAAATTCGATTGAAATTCGTCGAGATTGTGAACTCTAGCTCTTCCCGTCCGACCGCACGAGCGGAACGACCCCCCACATTTCCCCAACCGCCGAACCCCTCGCCGCCGCTGCCCCACCGGCGGCGATGGACCCCACGCCTCACCGCGGCGGCTCGCCGTCGCCGAGGTTCACGCTGCAGCCGAGCCGCCTCCCGCCGGAGGACATGCTCTTCTGCGTCGACGTCGACCTGGAGACGCGCTCCGAGATGAGGATCGCCCCGGGCCCCGCCGCCGCCGCCGCCGCGTCGCCGGGCGCCGCGGGGGCTTCCTCGGGGGCCGCGGCTGCTTCCAGGCAGGCCGCTCGGCCGCCGGTGAAGAGGATGGACGCCGTCAAGCAGGCGCTCCTGCTCTTCGTCCACAGCAAGCTCACCATGTGCCCCGATCACCGCTTCGCCTTCGCCTCCCTCGGCGACACCGTCTCCTTGGTATTACCCCATGCCCTCTCCGATCCCCCGCTTAGGTTGATCGAGAGATTCGCTCGCCTCTCTTTTGATGATAAATATTAGGGTTAACTGTTTTTGCAGAATTTTTTTATGTGATTTCTTGATCCCTGAAATGCTACTATATGGTAATGCTTGTTTGTAATAATTCGAAGGGATGGAATGTACACAGTGGAGATTGTATAGGTTGTGAGTTTGGTTCTCCTTCTCCCCACACAATTTCCCCCAATCGAATTGCATTTGTTAGTTTCTTGTGTTGAAAAAAAATGTGATGATAAATTAGGGGAATGACATGGTTTACTCTGAATTTAAAGGTAAAGAAGGATTTCAGCAGTGATGCTGGTTCTGCAGTGGAGGCAATCCAATCCCTGGATGCGTCGGAAACGAGATATGCGATGGCTGATCTCACTCAGCTCTTCAAGATAGCTTACCAGGAAGGGAAAAGAGCAGAATTGCAAGGCCGCCTACTCAGAGTGGTAGGCATGTTGTAATCGTGTCTTTGACCTGTTTATCAGCTATTGAGTCTTGGCTAATGTTCAGTAACTTTGTCTACCTTCTTAATAGTGGTAGTCAGTTCTCCTCAACGCAGAACACTGTTTATATAACCATGCGGGCATAGTCATTCCTTCTTAATAATATGCTGCTTAATAGTTCACCTGTATTGTATTTCTGTACCACCTAGTTACCATGCCCTTGTATCAAGTGGGAAATGCTTAGATCTATGATAGCTCAACAAGCCCCCAAGGGGCAAGATACCTACACTTGGTTTGCCAACATTGGTTCCAAGTAACAAAATAACTCTGCTTATATGAGGCAGATGTAGCATTAGCAAAAATAATTCTACTTATACTTAACGGCTATACGGCACATATACAGATATGAGTCATGTGACCTCTAGATTTCCGTGGTTCAAATGCATTACTCAATCCCCTGGTAATTTATTTTTGTTAGAACAGTTTACAAAGTTACTTATGGTGTGGAAATATGCTGTACTTAAATATATGTAAGATGCAATTACAATTTTAATGTGAAAGGGGTGTGTTTGATATAAATGTTCTTAGTATTGACTTCCATGAGAACTGATCTTTCCAGGTACTCATCTACTGCCGTTCCTCAACTAAGCCTCAACATCAGTGGCCCATCAAGCAAAAGAATTTCACCTTGGACATAATCTATCTTCATGACAAGCCTACTGCTGATAACTGTCCACAGAAGGTATATGATGCTTTGGTTGATGCACTTGAGCATGTCAGCCAGTATGAGGGATACATTCTAGAGACTGGTCAGGGGCTTGCTCGAATCCTGTTCCGTCAGACTTGCATTCTTCTGTCGCATCCCTTACAGCGTTGCATCCAAGATGACCTTGATATTCCCAAGCCACTTGCTAAGAAAAATATGGTTACTGAAGCTGCGCAGAACGAAGATGGCATGCCAGTCTCCACCCAGTAGGTAGTTAGGCCTTCTAGTTCAGTGGTTTGCATCATGAAGTCAACTCAAGAGCTTCATTTCGTTTTATTTGTTTGCATTAAGGTTGTTCTGTGTAATGCAAATGACCAATTGAATGTCAATTTGTTGCTGTGTCATGCTTGGTATTGCGTTGAACTTGCAGATGCACATCATACAGAAGTTCTCTGTGGTATGGCACTTAAGTTGCTTCTGAATTCTCTCAACCATACTGCACTTCTGATCTTTGCCTGGTTGTCTACATTCAGACCTTGAAGTACATCCTTTATCAGTTGTCACTAGTGACTGATCCACCCTTTCGTTGAGTTCTTCATGTATGAATTTCTTGCTCTATGTACAACATGTATTCAAATATTTACAGTTTGACATTACAAAAAAAATACTTCCTTTGTTTCACATTACAAGACATTTCATGTTTTAAATAAATCCATGCATGGATTCATGTATATGCTTCGTATGTGTTCAAATTCATATAGATGTTAGTGATTCTAGACGAGGAATGGAGAGGTTAAGACATTATATATAATGTGAAATGAAGGTAGTATATATTTACCAATTGAACCACACTGAAAGATGGTTCTTAAATTACTTGCACACACACCTCAGCATTGAGTTGCATAGGAACAACCGAACAAGAACAAGACTGGATTTTACATGCATTTGCTTTGCGATTAGCAGCAAGGAAAGCACGGGAGCCAGCCTCCCTTTGTTGCTGCTTTCGCTGGAGCTTCCTCCGGCTTGCTGCTCGTCTCTGCCCTCACCGGCGCCGGCGCCGTCGTCTCTGCCGCCGCCGCTGTCGCCATCGTCGCCGACATCGGTTGATCCTCCTGAGGGTTCTTGGCACTGTGCCTCTTGACCTCTACCAAACTGCACGAGCAAGCGTGTGAATTATTATAGTTTGAAATGTGACTGAAATTTGCATGAGAATTTGAGAAAATTTAGTCTGAAATGTGATTGAAATTTGCATGAGAATTTGAGAAAATTGTGCGTACTTGGGGAAGGCGAAGGAGTATTGGCCTTGGATCCGCATGGTGGCCTCGCCGAGCTCCGGGATGCTCTCGAACTGCGCGGAGTGCGCGTGGCCGACGGCCTCGCCGGCGGCGGCGGCGGCGGAGCTGGAGCTGGAGCGCGGCGGCGTGGCGATGTCCATGAGCTCCGGGTGCGCGAGGAAGAAGCCGGTGAAGTCGCTGGACGGCGCCACCTGGAGCGCGAACACCGACTCCGTGGACATCATGCTCCAGTCCTTGTTCGACTCCGACGTGTCCCGCTCGAACACCGCCGCCGGAATCCGGCCGGGATCGCCGCTGCCGACCAGGACCACGCCCACGCCCTCCTCCGCCGCCGCCGCCGCCGACGACCTCCGCTCCATCTGCTGCGTCGGCGGCGGCTGCTCGCTCCCGTGCTGCCTCGCCGCCGACGACGACGAGTAGTAGCCCGACGACACCCTCTCCTCCCTCGCCTCGCCGTCGCCGCCATTACCGCCGCCTCCCTCCCGTGGAAACGCCATGCTCGCCGCCGCCGCCGATCTTGGCGCGAGCAGCAGCGGGGCGGAGGAGGAGGCGGCTTACACCGTCGGCGCCGTCCGGTCAACGGCTGAGATCTCAGCCGTTGGATTCTGATCGGACGGCCCACGACGGCCAATCCCCCTCGTTTTTGACTTTGGTGTGTGTGTGAGTTTGTGCTGCCGTCGTGGGCCCGCCTTGATTAATAAAGGAGAGGCGCCGGTCTAAGTTAAGGTTAGCGTTGTTAATCCCAAATTAAGTGCGCCTAATTAAGTGATTAACTGCAGCTGGAGGCTGTTGCAACGGAGCTCGTAAGTTGGCGACAGTGAAGCGGTAGAAATGCTCGTGCCATAAACGGCTTAATCTTTCTGTTGTTTCACTTTCACCTGCCATTTTTACTCAAAAGTGCGGCTGCAATTGCATGGTCAATTTGTTGCTCGTGCCAACCAATTTCTCAGATGGAAAATATGAATTATTTGCTGATACATTTGTGTCCTAATTAGCATGTAATAAGCTGAAAAGCACACAAGAAAATGATGTATTTTATGCATCCCAAAAAGGGCCAAAAATGATAACGGATCGTTCCATTGAGAAATGAACCTTAAATAAATAGCGCTAGTGTTAAATCTGTAGTGACTTGTATATGCAGTTATCTGGTAACTCGATTCTAAGTCCATTTGGAACGCAGGGTAGAAAAACACATAGGAATAGGAAAAACGTAGGAATCGAATTGACATGTTTTCCTAATTCTATAGGAATGGAAGACACAAAAAAAAATATAAAGAGTCCCTTTGGTAGTACCATAGGAAACAAATAAAGCAAATAAAAGTTTTCAAGAGGTTAAACCTCTTGCTTATTTTCATGTGAAATTGAGCTATAGGAATGTAATCCTATGAAAAATTTCCTATACTTTTCTATGAATCAAAGGGTTTCATATGCAAAATTCCTTAGGAAATTGAATTCTCTAAAATTCTTATGGCAATCCTCCAATTCAAAAGGGCTCTAAATTGGTAGTTTTATGATAATATCATTTGATCTGTAGTTTATGACAAGTATATGTAGTTTTCCGAAATTTACTCACACGAAGTGAGCAAATTATTTCATTTATTTATTGACTAATGACTAGTACAAATATACAATTCGTACAAATTCTTTGGCTCCTTGCCGATAAATCCCTTTGCAAGATCGTGCTATGTGTACATTGTGGTACAAGTTACCCTCCTATAGTTTTACACATAACTGTTCTTGATTCTTCTGAACAACCAGTGAGATTAAAATGTCATGGCATTGCATTCCTCTCTCACAGCTGCAAAGAGGTCAGAGTTCATGTACCTCTCACCCCCGCTTGGGAACATGGTGACAATCATCTTCCCCTTGTTTTCCTCTCTCGACGCGACCTAAATATGCATTTGAGATTTCAATGTTATTAGAGGAAAGGATGTGCAAAAATTTTCGATAGGAGAAGATTACTAGAGATAAGAAAAGGAATAAACATTCAGACAGATGAGTTGCTAGGAGATTTTGAACCTTCAAGCAAGCTGCCAGGTTTGCCCCAGAAGAAATGCCCATAAGGAGGCCCTCTTCCATTGCCAGCCTCCTTGCATTCACCATTGCTTCATCAGTGTTTACCGTGACGACTTCATCGATGACCGAGGTGTCCAACATATCAGGTATGAGTCCTGGCCCTATTCCCTGAATTTTATGTTTACCTGGCTCCCCACCTAAACAGTACAAACAGGCAACAGTTTGTCAGGGTCACTGGAAAACTATGTTACTGGTGTCGCAGTGCGATATCGATGTGTGTTACCGCATGATATGTTATCCAAACAAAGTTGGATCTCTATAATTTGTGATACCAGATAATATGTTATAGTTTACCTGAAATGACTGGGCTCTCTGCAGGCTCCACACAAATGATCTTCACCGCTGGATTTTGCAGCTTGAGATACTTTCCAACGCCAGATACCGTACCTCCTGAGCCCGAACCGGTAACAAATATGTCTACCTTGCCAGCAGTATCCTTCCAAATCTCAGGTCCTGCAATAGGAAAATAAATATACGCCAGTTTATGACCTTGTCCATAAAGGAGAAAAGAAGAAAAATAACTGTTGAATGGGACACATCGAAAACGCAACCACAGCACTATCATACTTAAAGAAATAGAGGATACATCTCTAACAACCAAGTTTCAAGAACACAGTACATGTTTTTAACAGTCAAGTTGCAACGAAAAAGGTTAAAGGGGAGCCTTACTATCTTAATACTTAACGAAAGAGATCATATTTTTTTAACTGAAATTAAAACACCATTTGTCAAGTCATCTTGAGACAGTACCAGTCAATCTCATGTGTGCCTCCTGATTTGCTGGATTTGAGAATTGATTAAGAACGTGCACATTGGGTAATTCTTTCTTGAGCTGTTCGACCTTGTCGACTAAGCCTTGAAACCCGAGTGTTGGATCTGCCATATGGTTACACCAAAGAAAGAAGGTAAACAGAACAGTTCCACTGAATTTTTCATTTCACTGACATTATGCTGAAGAAAGCAAGAGAGTTGTTTTTTTTTCTCCATGAAACAAGGAAGCAAACAAATTGATGCTACAACTTCCTGCTTCTTATTTTTTTACCTGATAGAAACAATTCAGCTCCCATGTATTTCAGCAAGATCTGCTTATCAAACGAATACTGGCCCGGCATAACTGCAACGAACCTGTAACCTTTGCGAAGAGCAACAAGCACCAATCCTAAACCCAGATTGCCACTCGTCGGCTCGACTAGAGTTGTGACACCAGGAGTAATCAGCCCTTTCTCTTCTGCATCCTCGATCATTCTGAACAGCAAAACAAGGAATCAGATTCTAGAAAAAAAAATCATCACAATTTCATAAGCTTCTGCTAAATATTTTGACCAGGAAATGAGCCTTCTGCAAGTTGCAAGACAAGTACTCGGATGAATTCAGAGTGCAAGATTTTTACTTGAATTTTCTGCCTTCTCATAATAAACTACAACCAAATAGTAAAACAGATATTTTTAGACAATAACTAGTACTAAAAAAATAGCTTCCTGAAGCTTGCAGTTCTTAACTGCATCAAACCTCACTCTGTCCAATCATATTAGCTAGGATTCCTAATAAGAAAACTGAGTCTATGAATATAAGGATAATTCAACAAGAACCTCAAAGCGCTGCGATCCTTGACGGAGCAGAGGGGCTGATAGGCCTCGACCTTGCCGACGATCCGGGCATCTATTCCGTCCTTGCTGGCGATTCGCTTCAGCTCGACCAGTGGCGTCCATCCTATGAGCTGAACAACTCGTCAAAGAAATCCACCATTAATCTCAACGGAGAGTGTGATGATTGGCTATCTTAAAGAATAAAAAACTTTCAGTTCCAAATTGCCAGCAACTAAGACGAAGGAGACGTTTAATCCAAAAAAAAAGAAAAGAAAAGGAAAGGAAAGGGAAAGAGCAGGGGAAGACGAAGAGCTCACTCAACCTGCGTGATGTCAGAGGCAATGTGTTCTTGCCCGATTCCGCCGCTTTCGCTGGAAGAGGAACCGAGCAGTGAAGGAAGGCCTCTCCTCCCAATCCCCTCTCCCTCCATGGCCGGCCGCTCTCCTGCTCCTCCTTGGCTTCTCTCAAGGGAATCGAGAGGAGGATCGAACAGGTAACAGGGCAGGCACTGACGACTGTGGCTGCTTACAGACTGCTACTACAAGAGAGGAGTTTATAGTTTTGTTTGTGACTTGTGAGGACGTGGTTGCTGACCACTCCTCTCCCCTAGTCCACTGATCCACTCTGACCAGCTGCTGGTATTTGTTACTCCCGGTTCTAAAACATAAAGACATATTTTATCCTTAGAAGGAGATAATTTTGAATTTGCTTTCCCTTTTAATAAAAAAGCTATGAGTAATATGACTATGAATCGCATGGATTGATCGATCCTAGCTCAAGATGAACGTTAGCGGCATGCTTAACACATGCAAGTCGAACGGGAAATAATGTTTTCAGCGGCGAGCGGGCCTACTCTTTGGAAGGGGAACAACAACTGAAAACGGTTGCTAACACCTGTAGACTAAGGAGTACAAAGAGAGTATATCCATACTCGCAGTATTAGGATGTGTCTCATCCATCCAAAATCTCTTATATTTTTGGACTGAAGGTACTAGTTCTATAATTCTTTGACGTTTTAAAAATATTAAGATCAAACTTTTATAATTTTGACTACTAATAACTTTTAAAATATTCAATTTAAAGACACTATAACAAAACAAATGATAACTACATTCTTTTTTCATAAGATGAATGGTCAAACATATGACTAAAAATCAATAACGTCATCTTTAAAAAAGGAGGTTGTAATGGAAAATTATAGTCAACAATATATTTTGGAGACTGTCGTTATTATCCAAAATGTGAAGAATTATGTAATTGGAGGAAGTAAAATATTTTAGTAGCGTGCACCATCCGTGTCCAAATACATAGTCATAGGCCGATTTTTTTTCTATAACAAAGAAAGTGCGTGCTTCACACCTTCACGTCTATTTACGTCGCGTGATCATTTGGACTTTTTCGTATGTACTAAATATAATTATTTCTATGTTGTACTATTAAAGTTATAGAAAATATTTTCTTTTAGTTACCTCAGTGATGAAATTTTGAATTACTGAGGTTTCCCTCTATAAGCAGCTCCAAATATATGGATTTTGAATTATAGAAAAAAATTTGAATTTTGAAGTAATTGGCTAAAAATATATGGATTTCTATGCATTGGAATCAGAGCTCCAAAATAATTATGCTGTGCTATAAAATTTAAATCTTTTTGTCGAATTATCATTTTGGATTATTTTGGATCGGAGGAGTGCTATCGGTACGGTAGGTAAGAGTGGAGAAGCTAAGTTTTCGAGCATTTGGTTGGATATCATTGTTTTAGACGTAGATATCAGTGTTTGTCATGCTTAAGCTAGACAAGTCTAAATTACATGTGGATTGTGTTTGGTCTACTGCCATAATCGCCTGTCAATATTTGATCAGTATCAGTATTTAGAGACAAATATGGCTTGGTACATTTTTGGCAGAAAACTGTTAAAAGTGAGACAAATGTTCAAATAGACCCTAATGAAGTAATGATGGACCTTCAATAAATAATGGTGATGACAAAAATAATATTGTGAAACGTAATTTAAATGTTCAATTTTGCGACATAATACTGATGTTTAGTTTTACAAAATCTGATTCAGTACTGGTGTGATGGTGTCCCAACGATACTCACCTTGACCATTATTTATTTAAACAAATCGTGCTAGAAAAAAAATGTATTCTATGATATTATTTTTGCAAAAATCATAGGACTGGAATTTCTGCCTTTTTTCCTTTGTATAAAAATTAAAATGATATTTATGTAATTAATCTCATTTTTTTCAATCTATTAAAATTGCATGTACTCTACTATCTCGGTAGCGTTTCGAATCTCTTTAGTGAAAACTATTGTTTGTTTGTTTCCTTTCTTTTTCCTGTGTGATTAGAGTGTTCCAATGCCTTTGACTTTACTACAACCAAGGAAGATGTGATCTCGGAAAAGTAAATGAAAATCAGTCAAGCAAGAATCACATCAATCAAGATGATGTCATAGGATATTGCTGCTATTATCTCTAGTCAAACACTGAGCTGGAGCAAGAACATGTGGTTACTATTATACAGTAGTAGTATACGTCGGGTCTGTTTGGTACAGCTCCAACTCCTAAATTTAGCTCCAGGAGTTGGGTCTAGAGTGGAGTTGTGGAACTACCTAAACCCAGCTCCACAACTCTAAACCCAGCTCCACAACTCTTAGTTCATTTTGTGAGAGAGCTCCACCCTGGTCCACTTCCAGTTTTGGTGGAGCTGAAACTGTTTGGCTGAGCTCCAGCTCTAGGAGGGGTGGAGCTGGAGCTGTGCCAAACAGGCCCACTCTTATTCAGTTTTTTTTAATATAAAAAAATACTATGCATTGCAAGAACATATGATAACTATTATACAGTAGTATATGTCTTATTTGGTTTTTGTTTTTTATAAAAAAATTTACTACATTGCTCTGAGGGAAAATTATGGAGTAAACATGTGACAAAAGATTATAGTCTTCTTTACAAAAAATAATAAATGGCTTGTCCTCTTATTTCATATTTTCATACAACAAACAAGTACAACACATCCGGCTTTTCTTTATTTTCCCCCACACTCTGCTCACTGATCAGTGTACAAGCCACCTGCATCAACATGTAACGAGTCCAAATCCAATAAGCGGATTAGATAAGTGACCAATGTATTTTTACCTTGAATTTTAGTTCTTAACTGTACTTATATATTTATGCTAAAATCCTACCTTGGCTTCCATACAGAGTAGAATAGAACTGAAAAAGCCATGAGATCAAAAGGTCATGGCGCTGCACTCCTCCCTTGCTTGTGCAAAGAGGTCAGAGTTCATGTATCTTTCACCACCACTAGGGAAAATGGTTACAATCATCTTTCCCTCATATTCTTTCCTCGATGCCACCTAAAAAATCCTTACAAAGATAAGCAAAGATTACATGAAAAAAGAATGCAAGAAAGTTTTTTTTTTCAAACGAACAGCACCAAATGGCCTGAAGTTTCTATCGATATAGCGGAAGAAAATACAAGATTATAATGCTGGGAAGCTATAATCAGAACAAACGAAAGTTGATATGCCCACAAGAAAATTAGTTCAGTTGGAACCTTCAGACAAGCTGCCAAATTAGCTCCGGATGATATGCCCACAAGTAAACCCTCTTCTCTTGCCAGCCTCTTTGCATTAGCCATTGCATCTTGTGCAGTTACTGTGATGATCTCATCGACGATTGAGATATCCAGGTTTTTTGGTACAAAGCCTGGACCCATTCCCTGAATTTTATGCCGCGAAGGCTTACCACCTAAAACAATGTGAGGAAAATTATTGTAGAAGCCAACAGGACACAATTTTAGATATCCGAGGCAATTCATTTCTCAAAAGATTTTTTTTTTTGTTTGTCGAAACATTTTATCATTGGAGGTGATACTTTTTCTTTGACATGTTCAGTGTGATACTTGTGATATTGTAGAGACTTACCTGAAATTACAGGGCTTTCCGCAGGCTCAACACAAATTACTTTAACTGCTGGGTTTTTCATCTTCAAATATTTCCCTACACCTGAAATTGTTCCTCCTGTGCCAGAACCAGCCACAAAGATATCTACTTTGCCTGCCGTATCCTTCCAAATCTCAGGCCCTAGAAGGAAAGGATAGGCAACATTTGAATATGATCACACTATCTGACTCGTAAATCATGATATGGATAACAGGAATATTAAGCCCACCCAATTCATGAATTTCATCATATGAATTATGACGGACAAAGGCCCTTTTGTTTTGAATCCAGGACAGTATAATCCTCTACAGTTAATGATCATTGCAAATAAAATATATGGCTTGCTACTATTTATAGTACTCTTTTACTAGTAGATTACATTACATTACATTGTGTAAGAATAGGTACCTGTCCATACAAAGTGTGCTTCAGGATTTGCTGCATTTTTAAACTGATCAAGATGATGTACGTTAGGCATATCATTCTTGATCTGTTCAACTTTGTCTAATTGTCCCTGAAAACCAAGTGTAGGATCTGAAACAGTATTGCATTGAATTAGAGAGTTCAGTATCTTGTGGTCCCCACAATTGACAAATGACAGGACACCAAATGCCGATATCAAATTTTGAGAATGATTTCAACAGTTAAAAACTTATAGTAATTACCAAAGATTTGTGCTTTACATCCTTACCAGTTAAAATAACCTCGGCCCCTAGATACGTCAACAACATTTGCTTATCAAGTGAATACTCAGCAGGCATGACTGCAACGAACCTGTAACCTTTGAGCAGAGCATTGTATGCCACACCTATTCCAAGATTACCACTTGTCGGCTCGACTAGCGTCGTAACGCCTGGTGAGATCAGACCTTTCTCCTCTGCATCCTCAATCATTCTGAAAATTGGTATTACAGAGTATGAGCCATTGATCAAAATGATCATGAAATAGCCTAACTTAACAATGTGATCAGCAGAGATATTGAAACATTGAACAATGGATAGCATATGGGTACATATTTGTCAGTACCTCAGAGCACTGCGATCCTTGACAGAGCAGAGGGGTTGGTATGACTCCAATTTGCCAACAATCCGGGCATTTACCCCGTCTTTTCGGACGATCCGGTTCAGCTCTATCAGTGGCGTCCATCCTACAAGCTGAAGGAAGAATGAACCTGAGTTGTACTAATCCTTCAAACTTCACAGTTCACACCACCAGCATGAATTCTGTCTGACACATATATGTTCAGACCAAAACCAATTTCACCCCCCAAAAAGCAAGAACTGAAGATGGAGAAGATCAGAAAGAAGATAGTGCAGTAGAGGATAGGGATCAGCTCACCTGAGTGATATCAGTGGCGATATGTTCATCTGATGACGATGAATTTAGCAGAGAAGGGATCCCTCTCCTGCCTCCTTCCTCCATGCTGTTCACTTGCTCGGAGCAAGGAGCAGAGAACTATCTCAGTATATATATTTCCATCAGCTGGATCCACCTAATCTTCCAACTATTATATACCCAACTTGGTATATTTATATTATTTTATGCGCAAGTAATAGAAGGACATTACCTTGTTCACGTTGGCAAGGTTGTACTTTCAACAGATTGATATCCATATCTCTCGTGATCTCTGCACCTTCGTCATCTAATTGGTGGATGGCTCACACCTGCAAGATTCCTATCTGCTCGTGTGATCTTTTTGTCTCCAAGAAACATACTAGCTTGCTTCTTCTTTTTTTCAGCTAGCAAAATGCCCATGCATTGCAGCAGGTGAAGAAAATTTTAATCGTATCGTTTTGATGTGCTCTGCGCTACAGTTTTGCAGTTAATTGACATCAGGAATGGATGAGTGAAATTGGTACCTTTCATGCTGCATAAAACTTCCCTTTGCAACAACAAGACCATGAAATCCTGCTCAACAAGATCACCAACACAGATAAAGAATGTTAGAATTTCAATGGTTATTCTCATTGAGAAGAGGATGGCACTCGAGATGGGGCAATTTTCTGGTTTTCTTCATTCACAAAACACAAAAGCCATATCCTCCCAAAGAGGATTGGATACATATTTATAGCTGCTTGTAGCAGCCATGCAGCCATGCTAGTCTAAGAGGGTGCTGTCCTAGAGCATCCCAACAAACTGTCCTAGAGCATAGCATCCCAACAAACTGTCCTAGAGCATCTCAAACTGAAAGTAGAGATGCTGTCCTAGAAAAAGATGCTGTCCTAGAAAGCTGAAAAGCAGGAAAAAGGCACCACAAGACCAAGACCAACCAGCCAAGACTTATTCCTACATTCTCCCCCTAAGTCTTGTGCGCCGTCTTGTGGGAAAGTTGAGCCATCCCGATCCGGGAGCAAAGCTCAAGGAACTTGATCCTCCCAAGGGGTTTGGTGAGCAAATCCGCAAGCTGGTCCTTGGTGTTGATGTAGCTCGCCTTGATGCTCCCTTCCTCCAAGTAGCTTCGGATGAAATGGTACCTCACCCGGATGTGCTTGCTCCGTTCGTGAAAAACGGGGTTCTTTGCCAGGGCCAGAGCGGACTTGCTATCCACCCTGAGCTCCACCGCTCCAGTATCTCTGCCGAGGAGATCACTAAGCAGTCGAGCAAGCCAGAGCGCCTGGGTCGAAGCGGCGGATGCCGCCATGTACTCGGCCTCGCAGCTGGACAGGGCCACCACCTGCTGCTTGATTGACTGCCAGCTAACGAGGCACTCGCCGAGGAAGAAGAGAATCCCGCTCGTGCTCTTGCTGGTGTCAATGTCGCCGGCGTGGTCGCTGTCGCTGTACCCGACGAAGTGTGCCTTGCCAGGACACCTCGGGTAGTAGAGACCGTGGTCGAGAGTCCCCGCAACGTAGCGGATGATCCTCTTCACAGCCTGCTGGTGCTCCGTCGTCGGTCGCTGCATAAACCGACTGACGTAGCCGACGGAGAAGGCCAAGTCCGGCCGTGTGTGGGTGAGGTAGCGAAGGCTCCCCACAAGACGTCGGTACTGTGTAGCATCCACCTCCTCCGCCGTGCTGTCGCGGCTCAGCTTCAGTCTCTCCTCCATCGGAGTGAGAGCTGGGTTGCAATCGGTGAGCCCAGCCAGCTCAACGACGCGCTTGGCATAGGCGGTCTGTCGAAGCGTGATCCCGGAGTTGTCCTGGTGCACTTCGATCCCCAGGTAGAAGGAGAGAGGCCCCAGATCACTCATCTGGAAAGTGGCCTTCATCTCCTCCTTGAACGCCGCGACCTCCGCATCCTTGGTGTCGGTGATCACCAAGTCGTCGACGTAGACACCCACCAGCAAGGCATTTCCTCCATTGCCCCGCCGGTAGATGGCCGCCTCGTGCGGGCTTTGCTCGAAGCCCATCCCCTTGAGCGTGGAATCCAACTTGGCATTCCACGCCCTCGGTGCCTGCCGCAAGCCGTAGAGGGCCTTGTGCAGGCGTAGCACCTTGCCCTCCTTGCCGGGGATCACAAATCCCGGCGGCTGGTGCACGTAGACCTCCTCCTTCAAGTCGCCGTTTAGAAACGCCGACTTGACGTCCATGTGATGGACGCCCCAGCCTTCCTGAGCAGCCAGCGCAAGAAGGAGTCGCACGGACTCCATCTGTGCCACGGGAGCGAAGGCATCGTCGTAGTCGATCCCCTCCTGCTGCACGAAACCGCGTGCCACCAAGCGAGCCTTGTGCTTGACGATGGCTCCGGCTTCATCCCTCTTCAGCTTGAACACCCACTTAAGGGTGATTGCGCGGTGACCACGAGGGAGGTCAGCAAGCTCCCAGGTGCGGTTCTCCTGAACCGCGTCCATCTCCGACTGCATCGCGGCACGCCATGCCGCGTGTTTCTCGGCCTCTGCAAAAGACCGAGGCTCACCGTCGTCGCACGCAAGGTGCAACTGCGCCTCTAAGTCGCGAGGCACCAGTCCCGGCACCGGCTGGTCGCCGAGAAGATCCTCCATCGTACGGTACCGTAGCTGCTCGCCGTCGTGGTACGCGTCGATGCGCTCCCCGTCGTGGGAGAGCGGAGTAGCGAACTCCACCGGGCTGCGCTCAACACGAGCTGGCGTCGGAGTAGACGTGCTTGGAGGAGTGGCTGTTGGTGCTGGAGCATGTGGAGTCACTGGCTGGGGTGGTGTCGACGAAGAGCTCGTCGTAGTCGAAGTCGTGGCCCGAGGGTGTGTTGGTGTCGGAGTCGGTGGAGATTCGGGGGCTGGGGTAGACACGCTAGATGAAGAGCTGCCTACTCCCCCAGCTCCCTCGAAGTGGACGTACTCGATGGTGAAGTCGTCGTACGTCGGAGTCGAACCATCGTCCACCGCCTTGTCCCATACCCACCCTCGCCCTTCGTCGAACACAACATCGCGCGCAGTGCGCACACGCTGTGTCTCCGGGTCGAGGATGCGGTAGGCCTTCGAGCCCTCCGCGTAGCCGATGAACACCCCTGGGGTGCTCCTGTCGTCGAGCTTACCGATGTGGCCGAGCTCCTTGGCGAACGCGAGGCAGCCGAAGACCCGTAGGTGGGAGACCGCCGGCTTGTGCCCATGCCAGGCCTCGTACGGTGTCCTGCCATCGAGGGCCTTGGTAGGCGAGCGATTGAGGATGTAGACGGCTGTCACCACCGCCTCCCCCCAGAAGATGGCCGGCATCCCCCTCTGCTTGAGAAGAGCCCGAGCCATCCCCACAACCGTCTGGTTGCGCCGCTCGACGACGCCGTTCTGCTGTGGGCTGTACGGCGCGGTGTAGTGGCGCTGAATGCCCTCATCAGCGCAGTACGACGCGAATTCAGCCGCCGTGAATTCGCCGCCGTTGTCGGTGCGCAGCACGCGCAGCTTGCGGCCGCACTCCGCCTCTGCAGCGGCCTGCGCGCGCCTGATGGCATCCGCAGCCTCTCCCTTGCTGCCGAGGACCATCACCCACATGTAGCGAGAGAGGTCGTCGACGAGCAGTAGGAAGTAGCGTCGTCCTCCTGGTGTGGCCGGTGTCACTGGGCCACACAAGTCCCCGTGCACGAGCTCGAGCCGCTCCTTGGCTCGGAAGCTCGTCTGCTGGGGAAAGGGGAGCCGCCGCTGCTTCGTCACCACGCAGACGTCGCAGAGCTGCTCCACGTGGTCAAGGCACGGCATGCCTCGCACCATCTCCTTGGCACTGAGGCGCTTCAGGGCCTCGAAGTGGAGGTGCCCGAAGCGCTCGTGCCACTGCCATGCCTCGTCGTCCCGACGAGCGGCGAGGCAAACTGGTTGTGCGACCTGCGCGCTGAGGATGTAGAGTCGATTAGTGCCTCTGGTTACCTTGGCAAGAAGGCGACGACGGCGATCCCAAATCCTCATGAGTCCGTCCTCGACCAACACGCGTGAGCCGTTCTCATCCAGCTGTCCCACGCTGATGATAGAATTCCTCAACGCGGGGATGTAGTAGACTTCGGTGAGCAGCCTGTGCTCACCGGACTTGGCGGTGAAGGTCACGGAGCCAACACCCTTGATCTTCACGCCGGAGGCGTCCCCGAACTTGACGGAGCCTCGGACGCTGGAGTCGAACTCGGTGAAGAACTCCCGTCGGCCGGTCATGTGATGGGTGGCGCCGGTGTCGAGGTACCACCCATCAGCCTTGTCGTTGCTGGAGCCGTCGCAGAGGGAGACGAGTACCTTCGGCTCATCAAGGTGGAGGAAAGCCGCTGCGGCCGGTGCCGCTGGAGGTAGCTCGATGCTTGCGTGAGCTAGGAGCAGAGCCGGCTCTTCCTCCTCCACCCGTGCGACGTGGGCCTGGCCGCGTCGTGGCTGTCGACAGTCTTTGGCCCAATGGCCAAGCTTGCCACAGTTGCGGCAGGCGTCGTCTCGTCCCGGCTTGTGGTTGCCGGTGGCAACGCCCTGGGTGCCTCTGCGGGCGCCACCCTCGGCACGTCTTCGCGCCCACCGTAGCTGGACACCTCCCCGCGCCTTGCGCGGCTTACGGCTGCCTGTCGGGGAAGATGACTCCCCCTTCCTCCCGTCACCCTGAGAGGCCTCCCACTGCTCCCGAGTGAGATGGAGCTTCCCGCCGATGGTGATGGGCCCCGAGAGAGGCTGTGGCTCATCACCATCGACGACCTTGAGGCGACCTAACGCCTCCTCGATCGACATCGTGGAGAGGTCCAGCAGAGATTCAATCGAGCGAGCGATCTGCCTGTACTTCTCAGGGACGCAGCGGAAGAGCTTCTCGACAGCTCTCTCCTCGTCATAGGTGTCGTCGCCGTACTGCACCATTTTCTGCAAGAGAGTGTTGAGACGGAGAGCAAAGTCATCAACATCCTCACCTGGCTTGAAGGCCAGGTTCTCCCACTCCTTGCGGAGTGCCTGCAGTGTGGACTTGCGGGCGCGGTCGCTGCCGATGCGTGCCGCAGCGATGGCGTCCCAGGCCTCCTTGGCAGTCCGCTTCTGGGAAAGCGAGAACTGCATCTCGGGCGGGACTGCAGCGATGAGGGCATCCAGTGCTCGCCGATCCTCGTCGTAGTCGACGTCGCCGTACCGGACTGCCTCCCACATGTGCCGCACCTGGAGCCTCACCCTCGTCACTGCGGCCCACTCGATGTAGTTGGTTTTGGTGAGGGTAGGCCACCCACCGCCGGGACCAAAGTCCCTGACCACCGTCTGGACACCGTAGTGACCATGGCGCCGGTCAGGGGAGAAAGAGCCGCGCTGCCTGCGAGGGCCGCGTGCGGGCTCCGGGCTGCCGCCGGCACGCCCGCGCCCATCTGGGTTCCCGTTGGCGGGCCCGCGGTCCCTTGGGCCGCCGCCGCCGCCGTGGAGGTGGGCTGCTGCCCACCGCTCTGCCCGCTCCCGTGCCCTTCCTCTTGCCAGCTCCTCAAGCTCCCTGTCGGCGGTGATGTCGCCGGCGATGGAGCCGTTGATGCTGCTGCGCAAGGTCTCAACCTCTACCTCCGCCGCACGTGCCGCATCTTCCGCCGCCTCCGCCTCCGCCTCCGCCCTGGCTGCTGCCAACTCCGCTGTCGCCAGTCTGGCCGCCCTCGCTGCTGCTGCAGCGGTCTGAGCTGTTGCTCGCCTGCGCTCTTCTGCTGCGGCGAGCTCGGCGTCCTGCTGACGCCAAGTGCTCGAGGCGACCGAACGCCGAGACCGAGCGTCGGACATGGCGCACCTGCGGGGGGCTGCTGCGTGGAGAGGGGGAAGGGAAAGGGGAAGGAGGAGCAACTGGTGCTGCTGCTGCTGCTGGCTGAGAGCTCAACCGAGCTTGGGAAGGGGTGGAACAAGAGATGTTTAGCCTACAGGAAAGTGTGGCTCTGATACCAGATGTTAGAATTTCAATGGTTACTCTCATTGAGAAGAGGATGGCACTCGAGATGGGGCAATTTTCTGGTTTTCTTCATTCACAAAACACAAAAGCCATATCCTCCCAAAGAGGATTGGATACATATTTATAGCTGCTTGTAGCAGCCATGCAGCCATGCTAGTCTAAGAGGGTGCTGTCCTAGAGCATCCCAACAAACTGTCCTAGAGCAGAGCATCCCAACAAACTGTCCTAGAGCATCTCAAACTGAAAGTAGAGATGCTGTCCTAGAAAGCTGAAAAGCAGGAAAAAGGCACCACAAGACCAAGACCAACCAGCCAAGACTTATTCCTACAAAGAAGAGTGAGGCATTTTCTATTTCAACCTTATATGGTATTAGTCCATTGCTGACTCTGATATTACGTTAAGCATGCGAAACAGTGGCTTTCCAAAAAGAGCTCTTCTTATATTCTCTCAAGTATTTACCTCTTGAATTCCAATGTACACGACACGACAACAGCTTGCTGACTTTGAATAGTTTCACTTAACTTACCTATAGAATAGTATGGCACACAGCTTGCTGACTTTGATTGAAAATGACCAAACAATATGAGTAACTCAGGATGCTAATCATAGAAGAAAGCAAAGAGGATGCAACTGGGATTTAAGATTTCAGTTACGAACGATGGAAAGCGTTCTGAATATCAACGGATTTCAAACAACTACTCAAAAGAGTAGACAACTTGCTACCCTTTGCAAAATACAACTACACAAGGCGAAACCATTTTTGTGTTCCAGATAAAACAACTATACCGAGTCTTCCATTCCATCTTCCACTTGGATTCAAACAGTACTTCTACAATTACAAACAAGACAAGCATAAGTACGGATTCAATCATTTAAACCATCGAAGTGCTGGTCCTGTTTGCAAATATGCAAGGAGAGGACAACATTGACATCAGAAAATACAGACCCCTCATTGGCTCACTATATAGAATTGAAAAGCTGTATTAGGACAGCACTGTTACTTGTGTTTAAGCTGGAAACGGTTTGCATCTCGGTGCAAAATTATACAGGATTATCTAAAAACACATCATCACCTTCAGGGATCTCTATTGCTATTTCACAATGCTAAGGCACACTGGAAAAGAGTTCATGCAATAGCAAATGGTTCCTCCTCAGCATCTGCTCCTGCAAATTGAAAAGGGCCAATAGTTTCATTACCAGTAAGATAAATTGACTATCAATAATAAAACTGCATGATACAAACTACACAGTTATGTGTTCACTTCCCCATTCTACTATAGTCGATTTAAATTGGTATGATGATATGATTATGGCAACCAAATAGTTTAATTCAAAGTTCAAGGCAAATATCCATAATCCCCCTTGAAGGGCACTACAACGTGTAATATGACTCTTTTCTGGGTGTGTAATATGTCACAGGCAACGCACGCCATTATATGCATATTATGATATGCTTGAGTCCAGTTAAACAAATCATTTCAACAGTATCCCACAAACACCTCAACAACGAAGAAAGCAAAAGGTCTATATTTAGTCCCTAAACCAAATAAAGAGTAGAGGGACCAAATACAAACTTTTCCATAAAACAAACAGTTATCTTCAGGCTACAGTTGATGCCAATAGCCTATTTTTAATAATGTTCCTTCCTTTAAAAGGTCATCATAAAAGGTAGCGGCGATGCAAATTTGGACATCATATAATGGATCACAAGGGAAATTCAGAGTTATGACAGAAAACATAAGTTCAAATTCATTCCTTTTGCATATCAACACCAACACCAGGCTAATGATACCAAAAAAACCCTACAAGGTACCTGACATTCCAAACACCTAGCCAAGTTTGTGAACGAAATAAGCCTACATATTTCATACAATTAAAATTCCACGGTAGTATTTTAAGCTACTACCACATGTGTTCAAAGTGAACAATAAAACGACCTAAACACTAAGAACAATGAAGCAATGAAACATTATGGTGCTACTTCTAATCAAACATTTTCAGCCAGATAATACTACAACACAAACACAATAGAGGACTACAACACAAATTCTAGCTAAGCTTGTTTTGTTATCCACATGCCCTAAAATGAACAGCAGCATCTCCAGGGTCATTATGTTACAAAAGAGGGGAGCAAATTTCACTTTGAACCACTTTTCTTCCTGAAATGGCACTTCGAACCAACCTAGCGGAATTTATACATTTTCTCTTTAGACCAATAGCCATCCTATAAGTGAGAACAATGTGAAGTGATGATCAGGGGGAGTGTGGCGCATCTGCAGATGCAGATGCAAGTTGAGAGTTTGAGACCAATGTTATTCAACCCACACCCCACCCCCCACCCCCCCCCCAACACCCACCCACCCACACACACACAAAGAAAAAATATCAGCAATATTATTAAAAACACATTCCATAATAGGATCATCTCATCTCAGGCTCTCAGCCCAGCCTCAGGTCTCAGGCTTAAGATTCTACACACATTTGCATAGCAACCAAATCATAAACAGCTTAAAGCAGTTTTCTCACAAATGCCTTCGATTTTGCAGTCCAGAGATCGATTCTAGGTTTAGGTTACCGTAATTAGTTCTTTTAACAGTATGACTACAACACCATCTCAGGCTCTCAGCCCAGCCTCAGCCTTAAGATGCTATAGACATTTGCATATACACAACCAAATCATAAACAGCTAAAAGCAGTTTTCTCTAAAAACTCCTTTGATTTTGCAGTCCAGGGATTGAATTTAGGTTTAGATGACCATAATTAGCCCTTATAATAATAGTATGAGTAGAACACCACTATCTGTTGAATCTGGAGCAGTGAAGCACACGCACCTGGCTTCTTGGACGCGGGCGAGGCGGGCGGCTGCTCCTCCCCGTAGATGACGCGGAGGCGGGACGCGGAGATGGGCGGGGAGGGCGCGGCGGCGAGGGCGAAGAGCTCCTCGCGCCACGCCCACATGGCGGAGGACATGGCGGTGTTGGCGGCGCGGAGCGACGCCTTCCTGGCCTCCAGCTCGTCGATCTCGTGCTGCTGCTCCCACGAACGCCACCCCAGCACCACGAATGAGCCCAGCAGCAGCGCGCTCGTCACCTTCTCGTGGTTCACCTTCCCCAGCTTCGCTCCGATCCCGCGCAACGCCGCCGCCATCCCCGCCGCCGCCGCCGCACGATTGGTATGAGACGACGAAGAAGAAGCCCAGCCCACTCTGGGTCAGCTCGCTGGGCCAGTGGGCCGTAGCTGTTGGAGGGACAAAAACACTCTCATAGTCATATGGCGTGTTTCGGTTGGGAGGAAAAGGTTAAGGTCATCTTTATTTCCCACGTAAAAACTTTTCACTTGTCACATTAAATGTGTGGACATATATACATATATACATATATATATATATATATATATATATATATATATATATATATATATATATAGGGGTATCGTGACTAGAGGCTTGAGTAGCCGCGGTCACCCACGTGGCTTAACCCCCTCGGGGGAGTCGGGCCCGAGGGTGACGCGGCCACCTCTCCCTCTGTCTCCCCAAGGGGTCGGGCCGCTCCCGTTTCGGCCCCGAGGGCTGGGACGCCCCGACCCCCTGTGGTTTTGGCGCCACGTGTGTGGGTTAGGTGAGCACAACGGCGCTCACCTAACCGCACTTATAGCGGATTGACGAGCGCGTCACGCCGCATTAAGTGCGGCGCAGTGCGCGCTCGTCCGGACCGTGACCAGTCGCAGTGTGTGACCGGTCGCAGACCGGTCAGATCACGGGTTAGGTGGCAACAGGCGGCCTGTCACACGCCTCGCCCCGTCCCGTCGGAATGATGAGAGCCTCCAGGCACTCGTCCCTAGCCGGAGCCGGCGTGCTAACTCCTGGAGTTGGCACGTCAGTCCCGGCCAGATTCATACCAGGCTTCATCGCAACCATGGCAAGGAAGTCATTATATGAAGAAGGGGAGACGTGCGGCATGCTAAACTGACGCGTGGTGGACAAGAATGACCGGTCTGTGACTGGTCTGACGCCGGTCACGTCATCGGCAGACAACCGTGCTCCCACGTTGCATCTGCTTCCAGCGGAGTGGAGGTAGGTATGACCCATCCCATCGGAGGGTCATTCAGACAGCGGCCATTGCAAATCTCCACCCATTAATGAAGGAATGACAGGGTGATCCCCTGTGTCAGGCGAGTGACGGCGCTGGGCCTCACTCAAGGACAAGCTGTGATTTAGCTTCCAGGCGAAGAAGCAAGCCAAGTTTTGGTCAAGATAGGGTGGGTCTCCACCCAAAAGAAGAGTAGGTAGAAGTGGTGCATGTGGTATCCCCTTGAGATATAAAAGGAGGACCTTGCCCACCGAGGGAAAAAGAAGAAAAATAAAGAGGGAGACGACTTTGAAAATACCTGAGCTCGTAGAGGAGAGTAAGAGGAAGAGGGGTTCTAGAGCCGGAACTCTCTTGCTCTCCGGCTTTCTGTAACTCCTTCACACACAGATCCACCAGAACACAGGAGTAGGGTATTACGCTTCTCAGCGGCCCGAACCTGTCTACATCGCCCGTGTCTCGTGCGATTCTTCTCGCTGACGTTCCCCAGATCGAGGGCGAAGAACCTCACTTAGCGCCCCCGGCCGAACCGGCAAAGGGGGGCCTGCGCGGTCTCCCGGTGAGGAGCCCCACGCTCCGTCATATATATACATATACATATATATATATATATATATATATATATATATATATATATATATATATATATGTATGTATGTATGTATATATGGAGTATTAAATATGGACTAAAAAACTAATTATATAGATTGCGTGTAAAATTACGAGACGAATCTTTTAAGCCTAATTGTACCATGATTTGACAATGTGGTGCTACAGAAAATATTTGCTAATGACGGATTAATTAGGCTTAATAAATTTATGTTTTGTTATTCGACTATGTTTAATACTTCAAATGTGTGTCCGTATATCTGATGTGATACGCCAAAACTTTTCATCCCTGGATTTAAACACAACCTAATATCGAAGACTATCATTATGTTTGCACTCCCTCCGTACCAAAATATAACAATTTTTAGCACTAAGAATTTGGCCTAAAATATAATAACTTTTAGCACTTGTGATTTGTCCTGGAATATAACAACATCTCCAGTAACATTTTCTTCTCAACTAATTACAACCCTCATCCATTCACTTTTATCATCTACCACCACTTTTCAACCAATCACACATCCCCCCATCTAATTCTACTTAGTTTTCTTATCTCCACTTCTCAACCAATCACAATCTCTCTCCCATCTAATTCTTAATAACCGGTCCAGCTCTGAAACTTCTTATATTCGGGACAAAAGAAGTAGGATTAAAGTTAAAACTTTTTTACAAGCGGTAGATACTCCTTTCGTTTTATATTATATAAGTTGTTTTAACTCTTTTTCTAGTTAAACTTTTTTTAAAACTCTGATCAAATTTATATAAAAAATAGCAACATCTAAAACATCGTATTTGCTTCAAAATTAGCATTGAATATATTTTAATTATATGTTTATTTTATTTTAGAAATGAATATATTTTTTTATAAATTTGATAAAATTAAAAAAGTTTGACTAGAAAAAAAACCAAAACGATTTATAATATGAAACGGTGAGAGTAGAAAATATAGAAAATTTCAATCCACTCATACCTCTTAGAGAATTTCTTCGAATTAATGTGTGTACATTCATATTCTTTTATTTTTCTTATTTCTATACGGATTGAAGTTCCTCTAACCGAACAAACCCAGTTCTGGCAAAATTTTGTCTATTTTTGAACCTTACAGTTTCGGTGCGATCGAAATGACCCTTCAGTTTGTGATTTTAATTAAAATTAATCATCTTAAACCATCTTTTTGTTAGCACAGGTATTTCTGGTTGGCCTAAGTGGTCCTCGACTGGTCGTGCAGTCGCTTCAGGATTGTTAACTTACTTTCAGGTTCTTTTTGTACCAAATAAATACTTCGTGCTCTGCAGATCAACTTTAATCATCAGTATGGACCATACAGATCAAACTTTGACGTTCAGTGTCCATCGATTTATTTGACCATGATCAGCCCAACTACCAAAAAACTTCACTTTCTCAGTAGTCAGTACGATAAACTTGGATTCCATTAGGAATCCAGAAATGACACAAAGGTACTCTTCGCTGGATCAATGACACATTTCAATTTTTTCCATAAGACATATTTCATTTTTTTTCCATAAGGCTCAAATGAATACTAGTAAAAGTTCCACCGGCAGATTCCAGATAATTACACAAACTTAATAAACCGATTACATATAACTAAAACATAATAATACTCTAATATAGATGTTCCAGACAGGCCTCACAACTTCGCCAATAAAACCACGGGTAACATATACCAGCAACGAAACCTCACCCGTGCACAACCAACCAATAATTTCCTGGGCAGTTCAACGCAAAATACTGCATCAACAAAATAACAAACAGCTCACGTGGCGCTGTGAACCACAACAGTTCTACTGCTGCTTGCAATCTGCTGGTTGATCAGCACCTCCTTGTGCCCCGCCCTTCGATGGTAGCTGGTGGAGAATGTACTATGAGCTATAAGATTATAACACTCGAAGCAAGGAAAATTGATGTCAAGTCGTTTAAGGTTGGTGTAAAGCATGTACCTTCGGTTTGCCTGCCGACTGTCCAGACAATCAAAAAAGCAATGTATTAGAAACTGGCTAAATAGGAGAATGATGCTACAGAAATAGGTTCTATGACATAGTGAAGTTACCTTCTTCTTTGGCTTGCTTTTTTCTTCCTCATCGTCTTCGTCTTCATCCTCATCCTCTTCTTCCTCCTCCTCATCTTCATCATCGTCTTCATCATCTTCTTCATCATCCTCCATATCGTCAAAATCCTCGGCTTGCACAGCCTCACCAGTAAACCAGGAAACAGCATGTGGGATGATCTTATCCCTTATGGTGGTCCTATAAGTAATTTCCGACCAAAAATATCATCAGAATAGCCATAAGAGCTTATCAACATGACGGATAGAACATTAGTATGTGGCAGGCAATGACTAGTACTTACCCAATGTCATAATCATGTTCCATTTGACCCTGAAGCTCATCAGCCTATCATAAATTGAAGGAACAAGTTTACTACCAAAGCACACCAAATATGATATCATTGAACAAATGCATGTCAAATATCAAAATAGAACATACAGTGTCTTCATCAATGTCCTCATCATCATCGGGTACTTGCGGGGGACTGAAAAAGTTGAAGAAGCTCTCACAGACTTCAGTTTTGGTAATAGGCTTTGCATTCTTTGAACCTTTCTTGGGTTTCTTTTTTAGAATCTTCTGTGTCAGGTTTTTACCAGGATACCACTCAATTTCAGTCCTGCAGTGCACATAACATGCCAACATGGTTAGTTTTAACAACACGTGCAGTTACAGGTTTCAACAGAGGATGAAACAACTTACCCAATTGCTTTCTCCAAAATTGGTTCATCTTCATCAACCATGTGGTACGTTTTTGTTAGGACAGAGTTCTTGAAGAAAGGGTTCGTATCAAAGAAAAAATCCAGCTTGAAACCCTTAGGATCGTCAATTCTAGCCCACTTGATATCTTTCAGATATTTCAAAGCAGGCTCGTCACGCTCTTGGATCTAATAAAGCAATAACACAATCAACAATTACTGCAATGCACCTAAAAAACAACACAAAAGTAAACCATACTATACCTCCTCAGAAAGCACTTCATTTGTTTTCATAGCAGTAAGCCAAAAATCTGGGACTCCTTTAGCTGAAAAAAAATGGTTTAATCATAAATCAGAATGTGAAACATTCACCAACAGATAAAATTAAACTTGATTTGGTACCATCTGCATCTTTACCCTCAGCAGCATTTTCACTGGCTGGTTCGTCATTTCCACCATCAACCTCAACAACTCCATTTACTATGTTATACCTCTGGAAAACAGGAAAAGGGGCAGGGGTTCAGTAACTGTCACAAAAGAAAATAACAAAAGGAATACTGTTCACATATTTAACATAAAGAACAAGTATACCTTTGTGTACAAGGGTTCATAAAGCTTCTGGTACTTCGCTTCAAGCGCAGCTCTCTCTTCAAAGAATTTTAACTCGATTTCATCATGCTGGCCCTGGATTAGTATAGTGAAGAAAAAGTTGGATCTTTGAAGCAATTACAACACATGGTTTAGATGTGAATTTTATGTAGAGCACTGTTCGAATTTGGTCCATTATGCTGGAAATGGTATGAAACAAAACTTTCTCGAGCAATTCATCATGAATATGGCAGATGCAGAATAAAATACAAATAGAAGAAACAGGTCACAGCTTTGACTGCACAAAAATAAAAACAGGGAAATGGAAGGCCAGGAATAAAGCAGCATGCCTGGAACTACCCAATTTTAGTAACGGATGAATCAAAGCAGTACCAACTACCAAGAAGCTAACACAGAAAGCAAATAAAGTTTAAATCACATTATCCAATAGTTGACAGGCAAAATGTCTATGGTTCTAAAGCATACTACTACATAAACATTATCCATACTCTTTCCAAGACTATAAAACATAAAAACTTGGACCAGTCTCCTCCCTGAGGGGATGACATTGCATTAGGTGCTTTCTCTGTTTCAACATAGAGATTTGAATGATATATCAAAGCTTGTTGCTTAGGTCATGTGAGAGTTCACATATCAAATTCCAAGACTAAATCCCCGTACAATAGGTAATAGTCATAGCAGCATTAAGTCTGTATATACCATATAAAGCTGTAAAGACCTTCATAGTGGCATATAACAATAGACAACTACCCTGCATAGACGTCTAACAGCAGATATTATGTTCATATTTGACTACCTGACCTACTTTCCCTTCTCATTAAAAAGATCTAGTGCCCTTTATTCCCTTACTAGACCAAAGGGAAGTTCAACACACAAAAAGTATGAATAGGTTGTTTGGATTTCATGGTAGAAGTGGGATAGAGATGGAGGGTTAGGAAGGAGGACTTGGTGAAAGGAAGATAGCTGGGATAAGCCTAAACCATATCCTAATCCCAATCCTACTGTTCTACCAATATGACCCCTTATAAGGAATATCTTTACTTATTCAATTCAAAAGGAGAATTCCATGATCAACATCACTCTTGAATTATTGTCATATCCAACAGAAGTTCCATAAATTTAAAGAGATAAAATTTTACAGCATAGATAAAGCATATTGATATCCTCCAAGATGATGAACAGGTCATTCTGATGTTACCCATCAGCTACTACCACAACCAAACAAATGGTGACTATTGAACATCTTTGAATAGGCCAGAGATAAATATTCGACACCTGACAGACATAATAAAGCCTGATTACCATCATCTAGCTCCTTCCTTAACATGAATATTACATATACGTAATGCTCAGAACTTTTTTTTGGCTAAAACTATTTTTCTTTACAGAATCTATACTCCTTTAAAAGTCCCTAGTGGTGGTGCCAGTGAATCTGCCACCCACCACAAATTGGCTCCTGATATCTTTTGATATTATGGAATAGTCCAAATATTCGGTTCAAACAAGTAAACAAGTGATACTAACATATTTGACAATGTTTTAATATCTATTACATATTATAATATACTTTCTTTTATCCATAGCAAAGCATGGGTGTTTTTTCTAGTCATTACAAAATTAAGGAGCACTAATAAAAAAGCAGCAGTACAGATAAGGCTGACTAATGAGATCCTTACAAATCAGTGCCTACCAGAAGCTAAATCTAACAGCTATACCATTGATTATAATATTCTAACACAACAACATCTGGCAAAGTATTCACATTAGAAACGGGAAAATTAGTGGCAAGGAAATTCCATGCCCACCTGGATCTCCCTCAAATATTCGACACGCTTCCTGACATTGGGGGAGAGCGCCTCAAGCACGTCCGTGTGCTGACCCGCCAAGCTCTGCAGCTTATCCTGCAACCGAATCAGACCACACGGGATGAGAAAAACTAACAGGTACCAAAAATCAACCAACCACGCCCCCCGCTCCCGAATCGAATAGCGCCTCAAAATCGATCCAAATCGTCTCACCTTCAGGGCATTGACGAGGCCGGCGCGGTCCTCGGCGCTGAGAGCTGCGGCCAAAACACGGATCGATCAGGAAACAAATAAAGGAGACGACAGGATAAGACCCCGCGAGCGCGTGAGCTTACCGGCGGCGGCGGCGGGCAGCGAGGCGTTGAGGTCGGAGAGGTCGAGGTTCTCCTTGTCGCCGCCCATCGCCGGGAGCTCTTCGTCCGCCGCCTATGCGATGCGCCGCCGAGGAGGGGAAGCCCTAGGAAGGAAGAGAGAAAGCGAAGGGAGAGAGAGAGAGAGAGAGAGAGAAAGGGGAAGCCACTAAACCCTAGCCTCCTTTGGGTATAAGAAGCATCTCTCGCGCGAGATGTCCGTGACTCTCTTTTCGTTTACACCCCCGGGTTTCCCTGATAATACTTCCAGGAAAGTACCTCTCCCTGACGTGGGCTTAGATTTAAAACTTCGAAAGATGAAGGGCTCTCCTGAAATGAGCCGCACTCCCCGTTTCGGCCCAACCTTAATGTGGGCTGCACGCGAGCGTCTGTCCCCGTTCCGGCCCAACTTTGAGTGGGCCGCTCGTCCTGAATCGCCACGTGGCATCAGTCCCAGCCGTTGGATCGTGGAGCAGTGGCTCGGATCGTCTGCTACAGCATGAGCAGCGGAGGATTCGGATCCACTGGTTCCATTCCTCCTCGTCATCTCCAGCTCGCGGCGGCGGCGGCGGCGATTGGCTTGTGCTCTCTCCGGCGACCGCGCCTCCTTCCCTCCACGGTGACCTCCTTCCGGCGAAGCACTGCCTCTCTCGTAGTCTCAGTTCTCCTCCTACGTTCTACTGGACTTGTGCTGCGAGGGGAGATCTACCAATCTGGGCGTGGATTGGTCTGTTTCTTCTGGTGACAAACCTTAAGCTTGCTCGGATTTGTTCGGTGAGTTTTCTTTTGGTTTGTTCTGTTCTAATGGTGTTAGATGTTCTTAGGAAGTTGGATAGCTAAAGAAAATAGGAGAAATTGGCTGGCAATGTAGGAGATTTAAGTAGTTCGGCGTGGAATCTTGACCGAGGAGCAAAACCCAATCTTGCTAATTTCACATAGGGCGTCATGAATAAACGAGTTTAAACGATTTTATGTAGCAAACATGAATTATAATTTCAACTGATTGCTTTAGTTCTATCCTGTTCATCCTTCTTCCTCCAAGGAGTATTTTTTCTTTCTCAGTTTGTCACTACTAGCAGACCTGTAGTCCATCCTCTTGTATTCCCAATGCATTTAGTCTTACCAGTTAATACCCTTTATATCAGTAACATGAGCATTATCCAAGAAATTGTGTTCAGTTTTTATTTTCTTTAAGTGTTAGCTCAGTTAATTATTCTTTTAAGCGGTAACTTGCTTAATTTTTTTTGTCTCTAGACATTCATCCGAGTTTTGGCCTTGCAGCAGCTATCCACTGGCTTTTGCAGTTATCTACTTGTAGCTGGACGTTTGAATATATTTTTTTGAATATAGATGGAAAAAAATCAACACGACAATGAAAAGAGAACTCTTTTCTAGTGAAAATGTTCTGTTTTTACAACAATGCCAATTATCTGTGGTCATTCTTAAGTAATTGCTAAAGAACATAAAACATCACATATATAACTAACAACTTCCTCTTAATCCATATGTTTTACAGCCATTGTCATTTCGACATTTCCCTTGATCATTTTAAACTTTTAAGTAATTGCTGAAGAATAAAACATAATTCATATGTCACTTTCTCCAAATCTATTTCAGAGGGCAACACTTGCAATTAATCTGTTCTGAAGTTTCTCATTTACGTGTTTACTCCCAAGGAATTATTCCATTGAAGTATCATTGTCTAGCTTTGCTATTTAGCCAGGAAATGCATTCAATCCTTTATTCTCTTTGAGTGATTCCTGTGAGTTCAGCTGGCCATACATGGGATAAAATGCTTAAGAGCTTATGAGTTGTGTGTGGATACGCGAAGAAACAAACATGGTATTGAATATGGAAATATGCTAGCCTGGTTCGTTTTAAACTAAAATGATATTGAATGTGGAGATATGCGCCTGGTTCATTTAAAAAAAAATGTTCTAGTCCTATTGGTTTCACAGTCATTACTATTTTCCTTAATCATTTGAAGTAATTGTTGGGGAATAGGAAAATAAATCCTCACATATAACTTTCTCTAAATCTAATTCATAAGGGTCGCATTTTCACTTAATTTGTTCCATATTTGCTCTTGTTTTTTTGTTAATCGCTTCAGGAACAATACCATGGAGGTGAGACCAATGGTTGCTTTGCGTGCTGCCCTAGTTGGTGGGGTAGCAGCATTTGCGAAGATTGGTGCGGCGATGAAAGCTGCAGGAGGTGCGAAGGTTGGTGCAGCGGCTGCAGCAATGACAGCTGCAGCAACAGCTGCTGTATCTAGCAAAGACACAAACAAAGATAATCCGAAGACTGAAACAAAATGATATGTGCCTTACTTAGTGGAGAAACCCTGTATGGAAATGCCTCTCCAGAGCTTAATATTTTTTTTTCCTGAATTGCACTTCCACCATCGCTGAAGAGTTGTATAAGCTAATTGCGACATCTGAAATGATGTCATTGAAATGATGTCATAATAAGCAACTAGATGATCAACTTTCAGCTTACATGAGAAAGTTATGATCATGGTGTTTTTTTTAAAAAAAAACTTGAGAATAAGCATGACAATAATGTGTACTTCCCCTACTGTTGTTGATGATATGATAACGTCCAATAGTTTCTCTGATAATAGGCCCACAGGTTCTATGAAGCTGACCATAACGGTGTTTATAATGGATGATTATCCTGAGTTCTATGGAGGTGTTTTTAGACATCCTATGGAACATGGGCCATCCTCTAGAATGGAGAAGTTTTAGAAATCCTTTGGAACACAGGATTTTTTTTTTGGAGGAATTTCATGGGAACTGAATTGTTGGGTGAATATCCTGTAAAATTCATGCATTCCAAAATAACATGCCCTTAAAAGTTACTTCAGTGAATTAAACTGTCCCGCAAAAAATATGTTGGGGGTAGCAGATAATACAACAACTTCACTTCTGGTTCTACTACTATATAACTTTCCTTGTACTTCGCAAACGAAAATTTCCAATTTTTGGGGGTAAGTTTTGCAAAACGAAACACTGGGCCTTTTTATATTACTGGACCTCCTTATGGGCCTAAAAGAGAATTCGCCTATGGCCCAATTGCATTTGCAGGCTTCCGTTTTCTCTTCTCGCCGGCGGCAGCGGCAGTCACCCACCACCCAGTCTCTCGCCGTTCCCCCTCCAGTCTCCGCCTCTCCGCCGCCCAAACCAAACCCCAAAAATGGCGTCGCCTCCCTCTCCCCTCGAAGCCATCGCCCGCCTCCTCGCCGACCTAGCCCGCCGCCGCAGTCACCCCCCTCCCGGAGGCGGCCGCTCCGGTGACTCCCTCGCCGCCTCCGTCTCCTCCCTCGCGGCCGCCCTCAACCCCCACGGCGGCGGCGCCTCCTCCTCCTCCTCGTCCGGGACTAGGGTTCTCGACGCGGTGCTCTCCCTCATGTGCTTCGATCCAATGGAGGTAACGACTTAGTTTAGTCTCTCTCCTTCTCCCATTGCTGCGGTTTCCATGGTCTTCTGGTAACCCTCGTGCGGTTGTGCTGATTGGGATGGAGTGGTGTGGTGTGGTGTGGCGCAGGTGGATAGGGCTCGCGTCGATTGCCTTGTCCGCACCACCGTCTCCGCGCTCTCTGCGTCGGTGTCGTGTCGAGTGGATCATATCGATGGCGCCGAGATGCTCACTGTCGGGAGCTCCGTCGCTCCAGGGGATTGCCGTGAGCTGGTCCACTCGTGCGCTGCCCTCCTGGAGAAACTGGGGGATCCTGATGGTGAGATGTGGTTTTGTTTCTGTATTTGTAGCATCCAACTATTTGCAAATTGCAATGTGGTGTGCCACCTTAGGAAAGTCATGTGTGTGACCCTCTGACTGCGAAATGATGTTCAGTTTATTGTCTTAGCGAGTTAATTTTTGATCGTTTGTGTTCCTTCTTGTGCAGTCGCAGACCACTCCTATGATCTCTTGTATGCAGTTGTGAAAGCGGCATTGTTATCCCCTCGTTACCTGTGTCTCTTTCCTTTGCCGTACTATAGAGAAGATGAAGATAGTACCTGTGATATGGGGACCATTTCTTCAGTGTTAACGAGGCATCCAACTTATCAAGTGCTTCCTAATGATTACACGATCCCCCTGAGGTAAAAGTCGTAATGATTACACAATCCCCCTGAGGTAAAAATGTGTCAGTTACATATGGATTTATCATGTCGACATATAGTTTTCAGGTGTGTACCTTGCCACCGTGCCGCCTTGAGAAAATCACGCGAGTTAATAAAGCCTAGCAGTCGTGTATTTGTTAATTACAGAAGGATGTAAGGAATCATAAATTCAGAATGTATTGATGTTGTACTGTCCCCCAATGTGTTTGAATACGTGCAATTTCTTGGCCGCGAGCATGTTGTAGCCTGTAGGAATATGAAAAATTGCTTGGCCGCAAGCATGTTGTAGCAACATGGAAATAAATGCTAAAGTAAAATGGTACTTCAGAAGTTTTTGGAAACTTCTCAAAAGTTAGTGATTTGTTCAGCTTATACAATACAATCACCTTTGTTTTGTCCTCTCTCCCTTCAAACTTATTGGCGGTTTTAATTTTTACATAATCTTTTATATATATATTTTTGGAGACAGAGAAGCGAATACACTCCCTCTTTTCCTTTACTGGAAAAGATGCACAGCTACAGAGTACAATACAGAAGTTAAAGCATAAAAGCTACCAAAAAAAAAACCAAAAACAAAGAGGCTTTCACTGTTATTTGACAATGCCATCCAATTGCCATAATAGTGAAGCATTTTCTAGTTAACTAAACATCTAGCATTTGGAACAGAAGTAAAACTTTACCCAGCAGGGTACCCAAACACAGCAGCAAACAACCAGGGAGACCATTTGTTGCAGGGTACATGCATCACTGTATAAAAACAACCAGGCATAAATATAAATCTGTTATATTTATTCTTTATGAAAGCGGTAATTTATTTTGTTCTGTTACCTTTGAAATCTTCCTGCTACTTCTTCTATATATATATATCTTATATATTAACATAGTGTCTTCTTTTTGTGGTAGGATCCTTTTATGGCATATTGATCCATCGACTCTAAAACATGAATTTTCAGCACTACTACAGGAAGCAATTAGAAGGCCCTTGCTTTGTCTCAGAAAAGAGTTGCATGATCGGATGGCATGGCGTGTGCTTGTAATATGTTTGGTTTGTTCACCACTTACTTTTATGGAGATGAGATCATTATTTCATACTTGGTTTCTTGTGACGTAAGTACGCACTTGAAAACATTCTTAGTAAATGTTTTATACTTTGCTTTGACTCAGTCTTTTGTGCCTCTGTCAGTCAGTTTATCCAAGCATATTTAGTCTGTTATGATTTAAAGATGGTGTGTATCGATCTTATAGTGAGCGAAGTGAAAGCTCATTTTAGAGATGTCAAAAATGACTAAACAAATTTTGAGATGACTACCACCAATACACCAATGATCTCTTCAGGGCTTGGCTTGGAAATACCTGAAAATAAGTAAATGCATGCACAAATTCTATTATTTGTTATTAAATTCAATTAGCAGTTCCTTCCTCAACTTCATACCTCTGGTAGTAAAAATAACAAGAATCTTGAATATTTTATGTTTCGTTGCCTTCCTTAATGGTCTGAATGCTGCTAGTATCGTATAGATTGCCCTATTAATGATGTTAAATTTACATGATTCTGTATATTTGGTTGCTTTTGCCAATGAACTATATGTAACATCCTGAGCTTGTTTTTGTGTTACATATTTATTTATTCTTTTACATATATTATATTATTGTATATCATTTATTAATGCAGGGGTCTGGGTGCTGTTCTAGAACTTCAAACTGCAGTTGTGTCATCAGTATTAGATGTACTTTTTGAGCCAATGGCATGGGGAATATCCATGGAACTGGGGCAGAAACTTCCCTTTTCATATGATTACTTCCCACACCAACATGTTGACTTGCTTGCAATACTAACTGGGCCTCTATCTTGTAGAAAATTTGTGGATCTAACCTCATATATTGACTCACAATCACATGCATCTAAGGGATCAGTAAAATACAATTCTTCTTGGTACGCTTGTTCAACAAACAAACATGACTACAAGGATTTTTAGCATTTTGTGCAGCGCTAAGCTTACAATTGTGGTGCTGGCATGCTGCAGGTCGATGATTGTGAATTTCCCTCTTTGGTTCAATTTTGCAACTGCTTTGCTTTTTCATCGGGAAGGTTCACACGGCTATTTATCAGAAGCATTATCCATGGAAATAATTTCTGAATCAATTCGAGATGTCAATCTTGCTCACAGGGCAGCCATGTACCTTTCTTGGGTGTTATGCCCCTCTAATGAAGATCAACGCCAGATTTTGGCTGGGAATATTTTGGAGTTATCACATTCTTGGGCCAGGAACAACAAAAAGGGCCCTAGCCATGTCCACCATACTAGTACTGTAAATCATAGGAGGAAACTAAGAATACCGACAGTGGGGGATACAGAGAAGCTACATTTGTCAACCAACCCTGTCAGTTCCCTGATTAAAGAATTTGATGATCGCTGTGTGAAGTTCTGTAGCAAAACTGCTAATAGTCAAGTGCAAGATGAAGAACTATCAGACCTTCCTATACACTTTAATTTTCTGCATTTATGGATTCCTTTAGGAATATTGCTCGTGTCCTCTAGTTTTGTTAATGATCAGGACTGCGATATGCTTCTGCACTACTCAAGCACTGGACAGGTTCTGGAGTCAAATGAGGTGCAGAGAAAAACAAAAGATCATATCTGTAATGATAGTTTTTCAGCTAGTTGCAAAGGTTTTACTGAAACATGGGCTTCAGCTGGTGCATCTCTCGTCTTCAGGTGGCTTGACCTTATTATCAATATGTCTGCAGTGATCTTTGAACGTGAAGATATATGCGATCATTTTGTCAGTCAACTCAAAAGCAAGACAAACCCATACTTGCTCAAATGTTTATATTCATTGCTTGAAGTGCTGGATGAGGCAAGTCAAAGAGATTTTCTGGTTGATCTTCATGATAGGTTGCTGAACTGGAATAAGAAAGGGCAAAGTTTTGATGGCTTTGAGGCATTTGAAGACATCATCCTTCGTATGAACAAGAAGTTTCATTTTAGAACATAGGCTCTTTTGCCCGGGCAGAAATGAACAAACTCTTTTGCCCGGCCGGCAAAGAACGCCAGAAGAATTTATTACAACTGACAAGTGCAACAAGAAGAACAGGAGCAAAAAGGTTGTTGGATGCTGGGCTCAGTGGCCCCAACCACAGGGGCTACATCATTGATGAATAAAACTGTCCTTGGTTTTTACCTTAAGTACTGATGGCACCTCCTAACTCATATAGCAGGGCACATAATGCAGGCATGCACATTGAATGCGTTCAGATATGATTTGATGTAACTGCGGAATGTGTTCTCCTTTTGGCTGTCAAGTTGGATATATGGGCTTTTGACCATTTCCTCCCTGAATGGTGGTAGGTCTTATTTTTTTTGCAAGCACTACAACAAATTCTGATTACTCTTAGTACTCGATAATGTAAAGTAATATCTGCTGGTTCTAGATAGTGTAAAATAGCAACTGTGGAACATACTAGGGCGGTCGGTCAAGAAAACTACTACTCATACCACCTTAAATTGCAAAATGCAAATATAACTATATAAGTTTCTGCTGTCATTTTCTCTTTGTCGTAATGTGGCTAGTTTGTGAGCACTACTTTATTTAATGAAGTTAAATATCATGAACTAAAAACGTGGATGGCTGCTGGATATTATATTTAGGTCTAAGTCATTTTTATATGATGTGTTAATCGGAGAAATCTAATAAAATTTCTGCTTTTGTACCATGTCTGGTACTCTTGATGACTATAATTGCCACACTGTCGTGGGGTTACTACATTGGTTCTCGATCTGTGTCCAGTTCAAATAATAGGACCTTTAATGGATGTTGCATTATTGAATATGGTGTGCTGCACATACTTTTTAGCCTTTGGGACATCACCTCGTGGATGAAATGACAACCAACTCTTAGGAAGATCGAGATCAATATTGATGGCTTGACCATTCTGGATTCTGGACAAGCTAGTGCTTGGGTTGTTGTTCACGGTGTGCAAGGGAAAATTGCTGCTTTCTTATTGACAATTATTATTTCACTGATGGTATACATGCCATGAAGGATTAAATCTCTTAAAAAATGTTTCCAGTGGCTGGTCATTCTTGTACTTACTGCATGATGATGGGTTCCCCACATCATCTGCTCTGGACGACTGTACCAGTATTGCTGTGTTGATCCGTGCGTGAAGATTGAAAAGCAAAGGATCAAAATAGTGTGATCTCTTCTTGACCTGGTTTCACATGGTGGAGATGTGCACTGTGCAGAGAACAGCATTCCGGATAGCTCCTCAAGCTGTCTGAAGCGCTTACTAACTTGAAGGTTGCAATGCTTCTGTTGATGGGTAATGAATCTCTCCCAAAACATAGTTTTCCTTTGACCTTTTGCTACTGTCAGGTGCTCAATTTTTCATGTTAATTGGGATTAAATCCATTCCAGAAGCACCAGCAGATGATTTGCAGGTACGCTTTTTTTCCTTGTTAGTTTGAGAAATTTCTAAGGCATAGATCGGTTTTTGTTAAAGACGTGAGGATCAATTTCAGCTGCTGGCCCTGATGTATGCGCACATCAGTTCATTTCATGGGATTTGGTGGTGGATTGGATGGATATCTTTGGCGGAGAAGCTGGAATAGTTATCTTATGGGCGATTGGTGATATACAGCTTTGCGCTCTGTTTAACTTTTATTTAATGTGTCAACCAAACAAAGTGCGGCCAAGAATCAAAATTGTCGGGTCAACTACGTGCTTCGGAAAACCGGCTGGTACACTATTCTATTTATAACATTTGCTCTTGCTCCTGAACTACTTAAAGCATTATAACCATCTCCTTAATTGGCAAACGATTTGACTTCTTTTCTGTTAAGATCATTACAGCATGTTCTGAGAGCTGCTAGTCTGGGTAGGAAAAAATCTTAATAAAAATGAAGAAGAAAAAAAAGAGTAGAGTAACACTGTTCGTCATTCATACTTAGTTGGATGACATGTTTTAAGTTGGATTTAACTTGCAGTTATGCAGGTCAGTAGGAGACTGACGCACATATTTATAGAAACAAACTATATTGTTTGTATATGCGAATGGATCACTGGAGAACACTTTTTCTTAGGTTGAAAACACAACACAACCTTCGAAACTAATTGATGATGAACTGTAGCGCCTTCATGCACCTGCCATGGTAGTTCAGAGTCAGACCGAGTGAGTTAGGTAACTAGGCTTATCCCTGCCAATATCGTGGACTCGGCGATGACAAGATTGGCCGCCTCTGAAGGGTGCACACCGTCGAAGTACACGAAGTCGCTGGCGTTGCGGCACAACCCCGCCGTCGCCGGGTTGCAGAGGTAGACCCTCGTCTTCCTTGTCCCTGTCTGGCAGCAAGTCTTCCTCGCCTCCAAGAAGCCTAATCATTTTTTAATTGAATGTGTGATCAACACTCATGATGAACTCTCATCAATTATCAATCTTACGACCATCCGATCACTTGACCTTGTTTCTATTACCTTGCGATGCAGGTGACTCGGACATGTTTCGGAGCGGTGTGTAGATGTCGAAGATGGCGATCTTGAGGTCGGAATGCTTCTTCGCCAGCGCTTCGACAGTGATGTTCAGCTTGTTGTTGAAGGTCTCAGCATCGCCGTTGAGCCTCTCCACGCACCCGCTGCGGCCCTTGCCATACAGCCTGATTGTGGCAGGCAGACAGCCCAGCGGCGGCAGAGACGTGACACCAATCCGCCGCGCCCCCAACCTATACAACTCCTGCACCCACAGCACAAGCTATCGTCACAAGTCCATGCACACAGCTCGCTGCCAGAATGCCGGTGCAACGCATGCAGTTGTAGAGAAGCTGAGACGATGAAGGCGGTGGCAGCGTACTGACGTTGGCGAAGCCGGAGAAGATGCTGATGAGGAGATCGCAGTAACTGTTGACGTTGTAGCGGCTCGACAACGAGGCGTTGTGGTAGTAGTTCTGGATGAAATCGCCGGTCCCTGTGCTGACGATATACAGCGCGTCGGACAGGATGGCGGTGGCATTCTTCTGGCCGATCAACGCCGCAAGCTTGGACTGGTACTCCTTGTAGTACTTGAGCTGCTGCGTCAAAGTAATTGCATCCTACAAAGAAAGGTATGCATTTGACCATTTGTCATTTGTCACCTCACCAAAAATAGGAACCTTAGCTTGTACTCCCTCCATATTCGTAAAGGAAGTCGTTTTGGACAACGACACGAGCGACACGGTCTGCAAAACACAACTTTGACTTATTGTTTCTATAAAAATATTTATTAAAAAGTGATATATGTATACTTTTATGAAAGTATTTTTCAAGACAAATATATTCATATAATTTTTATATTTTCAAACTCAACAACTTGAGAGTTATTCATAATTTATATATTCCCAATGTTTGACTTAAACATTATCCTGAACGACTTCCTTTACGAGCTTTATGAGTACGGAGGAAGTAGCTAATAAGTTAAACTAATTAAGTAAACACTTGTAGCTCTCTATCTATATATGTAGCTTTATGTTTCACTAAAAAAAAAGTATCTATTTATGTGTAGCTTGCTGGGACAAGTTATTTATGTACTCACATACATGGCGGCCGTGTCGTCATGGTAGCTGGACGCCGCGGAGGCAAAGTTGGCGCCAAGGAGAAGGTTATCCCCCTTCGCCTGCGGGCTAAGGTACGGTGGTGCATAGCTCTCAAAGCCAAGCGTTTCAGCTGCATCATATCATTTTTTAACCAAAATATATAATTGCAACTTTGCAAAAATAGCATGCAGGTAACTATGGTCTATGTGTACTCGTGTGTGAAGTTAACAACCGGTGATGTCGGTGACGATCTTGCCGTCGGAGAACCTCCCTGTCGGCTTACGGCGGCTGCCGAAGTTCACCCCATAAGGCACGTAGTTGGCCTTGAAGACGGCACCAGGCAGGTAGTTGTTGTTGCCAACGTCGACGGTCGAGTCACCGAACGAGATCGCCGCCGGCACGATCTGCGCCTGGACGGTGCCGCCACCGCCGCCGTCCATCGCCGGCGAGAGTATCAGCAAAGACATAGCCAGCAGCGTAAGCCTCAGTTGTGCCATATTGTTCTCCTAATCAGTGTATCCTATTAGCTAGGTAGCTTTAGCTTAGCTGTGGATGGCACGTAACCAAGCACACTTATATAAGACTAAAAGTGGTAATATACCATAATACTTCCTCCGTTTCACAATGTAAGTCATTCTAGCATTTTCCACATTCATTGTGAAACGGAGGGAGTATGATGCGAGAGATTTTGTTGTATTTTTCGTAGGAAACCCAACATTTAAGATGGTGCGAGCTACCTGTGCCGACACGACGGCTGTTTAATTGTACCACTCATCGATTTGTGCAGTTAAATGCACGGTTGCACTGTGACACCCAACTGTCAACTGCTTAATGGTGACCCAGAATTCATACTCGCAACCCACGGCCCTTGTACTACCAAATAAAACAGTGCTGATAGCGATACAATAATCATCTCTGTCTCTATGCTTTTCACTACGCAGGGAACTGCAGTCAGCATTCAGCAGGTGCGAGTCGCTACTTGTACCCTGCAATCTCAGGTAAGGATATTCGGTTTTGGTTTCTAATGTTTGGTTTTGGTTTTTAATGGTTGATGCTTTTGAATTCTAAACATATATCTCATCATTCGTCTTGTTTTAAAAAATATGTAGTTATCATCTATTTTGTTTTGATTTATTTGATTATTTAAAAATACTTTTAACATGTCTTATGCTTTTCATCTTTACATAAAATTTATTTTTAAATAACATGAATGCGCAAACGTATGTTCAAAAACTAAATAGGATCAAATACTTAAAAACTATAGGGGATATTTACTTCCAGGCTTGTTCGGATATTTGAGCACAAATGGTTGTCTGGTTGGCACTTGCTAACTGAACCCGTTGTTGGACAGCGGATAACATCCTTTAACCACACAAAACCTGGACAGGAAGACGTGACGATTAACCACCTGCTGATACACATGCATTGCGGTTGAGGCAGGTCATAGTTCCAGACTTCCAGTCCTTCGAGTCTTTGATGGTACTCCCTTAAAACACACACACACACAAGTTGTAACCCCATCGATATCTTCGCAGTTGTTGGTTAGCTGTTCAGGACACAGATCAACACTACCCAAGTGGATCAAATCAACACATCAGGAACAGTGAAAAAACAGTTCACTTGTTGGTCTGCTTCAGTTTCTGGCACAAGCTTGTTTTCTCATCAGCCTGACACAGGCAAGCAAAAGAAATTGCATGTTCAGACAGATCATGTGAAATCTCTCAGGAAAAAAAAATATGTCACTGATTAGTGATTACTAGCTAGTGTGCATTGATTACAACTAAAAATAATTAAGATAAGAAGATCGATATGTTTAGTCAAAAAAAAAAGAAGATCGATATGATGCAGACAGATTAGTTACATTATATTAGGAAAAAAAAGATATATTTGCTCAAAGGAATTGTGGAAAAATAATTTATTCTGAAATCCATCTAATTGAAACACCTTCCTCTTTCAAAAGTTAAAAAAAAAATATTGCCAATTCTTTTAGTTATATTCTTTTTTTAATGTTAATAAAAAAGAAGAAAATTCTTTGCATTAGGGGGAAAGGAAGAACTACTGCACACACGGATCCAACGAGGACCCGCCCTGAGGAAGACGATCGAATCGTGCGCAATCGAGGGTGTGCGATGCGATGGCGAGGCAGGGGATTAAAAAAGAAGGAAGACGGCAGAGGCTGGATATTTAAGTAAAGGGTGAAAAAACTACACCCTCCGTATTTTAATGTATGACGCCGTTGACTTTTCGACCAACGTTTGACCATTCGTTTTATTCAAGATTTTTGTGCAAATATGAAAATATTTATGTCATGCTTAAAGAACATTTGATGATAAACCAAATCACAATAAAATAAATAATAATTACATAAATTTTTTAATAAGACGAATGGTCAAACGTTGGACAAAAAATCAACGGTGTCATATATTAAAATATGGAGATAGTACATACTACAGTGTAAGCTTCATGACAGAGATCCAAAGCTTGAGAGGGGGATTTAAAAAAAAACTTACATATTGCACTTTGAATTGGGATGGCTAACAACAGCTAGGTTAAACTAGTAGCGCGAGCTCGCACTGCCCAATGTCCTGCATCACCGTGCGTAATTCAGGTCGTTCCATTTGCCTGAAAGTTATTTTATTTCTTTCTAGCCACACATTCCACGAATTAAATTTGAAAATATACTGTTGATTTGGTTTTTTCTCAAAAATATTATAATTTTTTTGGCAGAATTATACCGCCGGTTTAACACAAACATTGTGTAAAAATAACGTAAACGTGACGATATGGACGATCTCGCATGATGGCGCGAGACCGCACGGTGTCGCGCGGTGAAACCGCGCGGTCTCCCGGGATGAAATAGCGAGACCGGTCGGTCTCGCATTACCAGCGAGCGAGTCCGTGCAGTAGGGCTGATCAAATTTGCTTAATTACATTGATTAGCGATTAATTAACTATTAATTAAATGCTAATCAGGGTAATTACTCACTAATTATTATTAGTTAATTGCTAATTAGGTGATTAGTCATTAATTAAGCGGTAGCTCACCAGAGAAGCCGTTCGCTCTCGCTCGTTCCATGTGTGAGACCGTTCGGTCTCGCGCTGGCCCCGTGCGAGACTGCTCGTGTCATCACGCCCCGTCACTCTCGCGCATGTGCAAGACTGCTCGTGTCGTCACGCCCAATCACTTCAGCGCAACGGTTGTGCGAGACCGATATATATTTCTATCAAACAATTTACATCCCGAATATTTTTGAGAAAGAAACAAAACAACAGTATATTTTCAAATTTAATTTCACATTCCAACAGCAGGTTCCACCGATAGGGTGGGTGATCCGTGCCAATCCCCTTGTGTGGTGGGGTGGTGTTGCGTACGTGCGTGCGCGGTGCGTTCGTTGGGTTTCGCTAATCACTCATGCGAGCCGGCGAAACAGTAGTTGGGTTGTACTTCTAAAACCCTGCGAGTGAATGAAATTGAACGATTAATATCGCCTTTCATGCTAAAATCGGACGATTTCGACCTTTCCGGATGTCGATTGGGATAAGCGTTTCATAAACAAATATATCATTATATGTGTCACATCTCGTATTAGGTTTGTTTATTTTTAGATGGAAGGAGTAACCGTTAGCTTTAAAATTGGCAACCTCTTTGCAAATATGAGCTGAACGCATTTTGATCTTTGATCTAAACTACCAGTTTTTCACGTATAACCGATAAGTAAATTAACTGGATTTTGCTTAATGTTTGAATCGAAGACAGTTTACTTGTTGATGACAACAATAATAAATATCTATCTTCCTTCGATCCCTGGCGCAAACTTATTTTGCATGAGTTTGATGCAGCTAGCTAGTGACAAAGCCAAAAAAAAAAAGGAATTAATGATGATAAAACTCGTGAAATCAAATCTCCTAAAAAAGTTCAGATATATCCTCTCGAGAAGTCCCCAGCTTTTCAACCAGGATTGATATGGTGTACAGTCAAAAGAAAGAAATTTATGTGTGGTAGAGATATACTACCTCTGTTTTTTAATATATAGGTATCTCCACATGTTGAAGCAGCCTCACCTTTTATATATAGAAATAAAATGCATATCAAATTAGTAGCGAACGCAAAAAACATCATTAAGATCAAACTGATGCAGAATAATAGTTAATTCGTTCAGCGTATCTCATGCAGCACATACTTGACAAGTACTAGTTGTTCATGCACTAAAACTGATCATTCAGATAACAAGAAGCGACATTATTACTCAGGTCTCAGGCAACTAAAGGAAAATCTCGAACAATCAAAAGCTTCTGATGATAATTACCTAGCTTCAGAGGGGAAAAACCATGAAAGGCACCATCGGCCAAAATGACGTGGCAGCGCCGCATTGGTTCTCGACAACAATGGCGTTATCGCTCCAGTTTTCATGTTGAACACACCTGAATCACGAAGAGGATCAACAGATTGATCTGACTTCACATAGTCACACATGAAATAGATGCTGTCCTCTTTGACTTCCTCACATTCTTCTGAAGAGACAGACTTAGAGCAATATTTGCCAATGAAAAGCGCTCTGCGGCCCAATGTGTTGAGCCTTCTCCACTGACAAGGTTGCACAGTGAAGTCTGCCTCAAAGACATCAAACCAGCAAGTGCATGCAGTCTCCAAGAGATCATCACATTTTGCAAATGGGCGTATTTGCATCCTACGCCTGACCAACAGCAATCTACCATCACATTCAACCAGATATCGCCTGATGATATGGTAATCTTCCTTGGATAAAGGTATGTCTTGGGGCCAGATTTGTAATTCTTCCCTAAGTAGAGTCATTTTTTTCATCGAAGAATATCGGTTGCCACCAGAACTAACAGCGAGATCAAACTTGTATAGCATGAAATCTGGATTAGCAACATAAAGCTTGCCATGACAGAATGCAATGCCAGATATTAGCATCCCTTGTCTACACCCATTGAATGAACCTGAGTTGATTAGTGGCTGGCAAAAGGAAAATAAGGTGTCACGAAAATCTCTGATCAGCACGGCCGCAAGCAGATCTGATGGTGAGTTAAGGGATGCTGGGGGCACCACTGTCATGTGAAACTTGGCATCAGAGAGCAGCTCATTGTGAGGCGCAACTTTCGGTAGGCTAGGTAGCTGAACTGAAGCCTTGGTGAAAGGGTTCATCAAGGAGCAGAGACCATTGTCGTGCACGACAAAGAGCCAATTGTCACAGGAACCATGGCAACAAGCATTGTCCGGAACATCCATGCGGTGGATTTCACCATCGGGGATGATGAGGAAATCACCATTGCCGAGCGCAAGCCATGGCATTAGAGGAGGAAGCGGCTGAGCCAGCGCGATGTGGCGCCACGGTCGGCACACGGCTCTGAAGCGAATCCGGTCGGCCAAGGAGTGCAGACGGTGGAGCACAATGTCCAGTAGCTCAGGCCGGAGATCTGACCAAGCCGAAGACTGCGCGGTGGCCATGGCACAAGCCTGCAAAAAATTAAGATGATTAAGGTTTCAGTGTTAGCAAAATTTCATGGACAAGATTCAGAATCCCTGCGTTTCTTGTTATCATCAGGAGTAAATCAATTCGCATTGCAATCACACAGAGTAACCAATCAATTTGCAAGAGCACCTGTTCCTACGCGCGCGCGCGTGTGTGTCGCCCTGTCGCGGGGAGGAAGCTCCGGAGAACGGGGAGATGGGCGCGGCGGCCGGTCGTGTATGGTTGGCTGCAGAGGAAGGGGCCCGGGGAGCCGCCGCCGGCGAGGCCGCGATCGGCGGAGAGGCGTCCGTGGTGATTGGGGAATTTGGGGCCTGTTCACTTTGATGCATTTTCAACCTTACCAAATTTTAATAAAGTTGCTAAAAAAATGGCTACATTTAGTTTGCTGTCAAATTTGGTAATTATATAAGAAATCATACCAAAATTTTAGCAATAGTTGTCAAAATTTTGGCAATACCAAAATTTGGTAAGGTTTTTTTTTTATCAAAGTGAACAGGCCCTGGGTTTCTCGCCGAGGAGCAATAATAATAAATAAATATCGATTTTGCTATATATTTGGCGACAAATTCTTCCCCAAAAATTTGACAGATGTAATTACAGTACAATCGTAGTGTAATTACACTGTAACTATAGTGTAACTTGTATGTAACTTTCAAAATCTCTCCGTAACATGTTATTTCGGTAAAATGGAGGTCGTGGGAACAAATTCGTTTACATATGTGTGTGCTATGATTTGTTTTCTTCCTCACCAAAACAAATCTTGTAATAGATCTAACGATTCAAAATTATGTGAAACTTACATATAAGTTACAGTGTAATTACATACAAGTTACAGTGTAATTAGATATAAGTTACAGTGTAATTACACTACGATTGTACTATAATTATATCTGTCAAATTTTTAGAAGAAAATTTGTCGATAAATGTATAGGTAGTCCCATAAATAAAATAATAAATCGTATAGCTTCATCACATAGGGAGAAGTCGGGAAAGGCCGGGTACGAATAGGAGTAGGCCGTAAGCCCGTATAGGCCCATCTATGGGCTTATTTGTGTATAATGGGCTGCCGTTGAATGGCTAAAGTTCTACTAGTATTGGGGGAAAAGATAATTTCAGAGAAACAGTCTCATCGGTTTATGAATTTTTGAAACAGTTAGGCCCTGTTTGATTTGTAAAGAAAAATAAAAGGAAATTTGTACGTATGATTCAAACTGTGTAGGAGAATTTCTATTTGGTCGTTTGAAACAAAAGATTGAGACACCAAGAATCATATGAGATCCCTATGGAATGACTCGAGAGCACGAAACATTTTACACCCCCACATAACAGAAGAGCACAAAACCATGTAGGAGTAACCAGTACAGAATGATCTACTGAGAACAACATATCATGACAAAACCACCCAATCCACGTCATGGTGCAGGTACGAAAAATCGAAGACAGGCTCCAGACGGATGTCAATTAATGGCCTCATCTTTTTGCTTACATTTATACTTATCAACAAAAAATTAAATTTTCAACCCTTTAAAGTTGATTTTGATATTTTTATCGCAGTTTATTTTTCAGCCTTTACTTTTAGATCATTAAGAACACGTATATAAAAGTTTTATTCACAAATTATTTTTCGTTTGTAAATATGTCGTTTGGCTTATTCCATCCAATGGACTCTGTCAACAACAAAAGGTTCTTGCCCAACTTCCTGGTGTTTGCTACAAGGATAATAGACCACCAGGATCTACTTGTGTTTGAGACCTATGTCTCTGTCGGATTGGGATTCGGTGACATTCCCCCGTGACATTCTCGGTGACATTGAGTCACTGACATGTGAGACCCACATGTGTCTGGACCCACATGTCAGTGACTCAATGTCACCGAGAATGTCACGGGGGAATGTCACCGAATCCCAGTCCGTCTCTGTCTCATTCTACTAGTCGTCAGTGTCCAAGCCACAGCTGCAAAAGCAAATAATTTTCATTCTCACCAGTATGACACTTCCCTTTCAGCTAAACTTCCTTGAGCTCCTCCAAACTCCAAACCCACGGATCTGATGGCTCCCACAGCAAATGAGCTGAAGAACATAACGCAAGCAACATGATGTGCATCTCATTCCCATCTCCAACTCTTAGGGCCATGAAGATGGAACAAATTTGATAGGCAATAAAGTTTCGAGAAAAAAAATGTTAGGTGATATGAATGTTTGAATTCAAAAGGAACTTTCCCTACATTATAGGTGTCACATACTTTCAGGACATGGACTTTTGCTATAAATTTGGAGGGAAAACAAAAGATGAAAATTAACTATAGAAGTTCCAGAGTTCTATGTCTATTTTCCGCTGCTCAGTTGAAGACAGCAAGCGTTCTCCTTACTGTTAAAAGCACCAATGTTCCATACACCTCTTTTGAGCAAACACTGCATTTCCTATAGCATTATATTGGGAATGCCATCGAGTTTCTATGTTTTTTATTTTTCTTCATTCGAGAAAGCAAACATTTGCATACAAGTATCGCAGATGCTCCAACATCATCGAGCGACTTAGATCTGAATGTGTTTCCTTCATCTTACCAAAAGCAACCTGATTACATTTACATCTGAACCATCAGTAAAAGTTAATTGACACTTCTCTTATGTTCATGCCAAAACTCTACTATCAGGAGATGCCAAGAAGAGAAATCGTAAATATAACACCTGGAAGCAAGAATACTATCCAACTAAGTTCAAGTTTCAGAGGGGAAAAGCCAAGTTGGACACCATGGACCGCCGTGTACTGCAAGAGGCTCCGCCACTAGAGTCTCTGTCAACAATGGCGCCACTGTCCCGTCTCTCATGTTGTACACGCCAGAGTCCAAAAAAGGATCTTCAGGCTTCCCATTCTTGATGTCCTCATGCATGAAGTAGATGCAGTCTTCTTCAGCTCCGGCACTGAGCGACTTGGAGCAGCCCTTGCTAACAAAGAGAGCATGCCCCATCAATGTATCCACCTTGATCCACCTTCCACAGCCACTGCTCAGGTCTGCGGCTTCAAAGACTTCGAACCGCCGTGTTCGCTTAACAATGCCACTGTCGCTTGGATAGATTGGTGGAAGATTGATCCACCGTCGCACCATGAGCAGCCGATCGTTGGACGCGACGAGATATCGCTCCGTCGCGTACCTTTCGGTGGAGCAAGGGCCAAACCATGATTCCTCGCCTATATCTTTCAGGGTGCTGCTTATGCATCTTATGCCAATCTGCTTAGCATTATCGACTCCAAAGATATAGAGCTCCTCCTGACGTTTCCTTACGTCAGATGTTAGGTAGTAGAGCTTCCCTTGGAAGGATGCAATGTCGACGATGGAGCTAGGGAAATGTGCAAGTGGAGGTGAAAATCCAATAGTGACAATGACCTTCCAAGTGCGGTTTCCGATCAGCAAAGCGGTGAAGTTATCAGACACCACCGCCTTGTTGATCAGCGGGACAAGTCGTTGCCTATCGGCGGCGAGGTATTTGTACCTGATGTATTTAGGGAGCACGGCGGCGAGGGCGGCGAGAGGGGTCGTTGCCAAGGAGGACGGGTTCATCAGGGAGAGCATGCCGTCGCCGTGCACGATGAGGAGGCCGCTTCCCGTGGAAGCGAGGTGCGTGGCATCGCCGGGGACGGCGGGCAAGCGGTGGGCCGCGCCGTCGGGGAGGGTGATGAAGGCGCCGCCGCGGAGGAGGAGCCACGGGAGGGGCGGCGGAAGAAGATCCAGCTCCACCCGCGCGCTGGAGCGCCATGGGCGGCAGACGGCGCGGAGGCGGACGCGGTCGGCGTGGGACGGCAGGCGGAGGAGCACGAGGCCCAGGAGCTCCGACGGGAGGTCCGGCCATGGGCGTCCACTGCAGGGCTCTGGTGTGGCCATTATTGCCTGGGTTGGCGGAGGCTGATCGTCGGCGTGGAGCTCTACCTTCCGTTTCTTCGAGGGCATAGTCTCGCCGAGTTGTGGGGACAGGTGCATCGCCGGTGGGAGCCGCCGGCGGCGAGGCCGCGATAATCGGCGATCGCCGGCGAGGTTGGGGAATTGGGGTTTCTCGCGTAGGAGGAAATCGTATAGCTGCTCCTGCCTCTTTTTATTATTTTTTTTTTGAGAGAGAGGAAATCGTATAGCTTTCTTATATGGAGAAATCGAGAAAGGCCGAGTACGAGTAGGAGTAGGCCGTAAGCCAGTAACCGGGGCTAGTAGGCCCTAATAGGCCCATCTATGGGTTGGTTTGTGTATAATCTCTCCCGTATACCTTACCAGTTGATTGATCAATGTAGCACATCATGATATGGAGCTACCACGATTCTTTGGTACAAAGAAACAAGGAGTAAACTGTCCAGAATGCCAAATAGCAGAAGAGCACAAAACCATATGAGTAACTACCGAAAGATAATCAGATGAAAACACATCATGATACAACTACAAAACACGATTATAGGGTCCAGACTGATGTCAACGTCCAAGCCATTGCTTCAAAGCAAATTATTTTCTTCCTCAACAGTATGAAAGTTCCTTTCAGCCAAAATATATGTGAATGTTGATTTTCTTTTCAGTTTGCTCTGTAGCTGAACAATTGTCGTTTCCAGTAATGGAAAAGGGGAGCGCTGTGCTCTTCTGTTTCAAAATAAATAAATAAAAATATGCAATTCATAAAAATCTGACAGTTCCCATAGCAAATGTGCAATGTCCCGCTGAATAAAAAATCGGTGCACTTATACACACTGCACACAAGTTGGAATTTATCTTCTCCTATGGTCATATAGATTGAAGGAATTTTATAGGAAAAAGGAGGATTAAATTCAAAAGGAACTTCCCTACATTAGAGGTGTTTACATTATGAGATTGCACCATCGAGACCCCTACAGGGCAGGAAATTTTGCTATGAAATTTGAAGGGAAAAAAATGAAAATCAATTGGAAGTTTCATAGTTCTTTGTCTACTTTTCCCTGCTCAGTTGAAGACACCAAAGCATTCTCCTAAAATTTTGATGTTAAAAGCACCAATGTTCCAAACACCTCTTTTGAGCTAATACTGAAACACTACACTTTTCCTACAAGCATTATACTGGTAATGGCATTAAGTTCCTACATTTACCCTGTATATGAATTCGTGTTCCTGCATTTGAGAAAGCAAACATTTGCATACAAGTACTGCAAACACATAGCAACAAAACAGTATGCTGCAACATATTTCATTAAGGGACCTAGATCTGATCATCTTTTTCCCTAGTCTTTCCAGAACTCACCTGATTACATCTCAACCATCATTAAAAGTTTAACTGACACTTTGTCCTTATGTTCATGCCAAAACTCTAGAACAGGAGATGCCAATCGCAAATTGATACCTTGAACTCCGGAAGAAAGTATACAGTCCATCTTAGTTTAAGTTTCTGTTGGAAAAAGCCAAGTCGAAAACCATGGACCGTCATGTGCAGCAAGATGCTCTGTCACTGCAGTCTCTGGCATCAATGGCGCAACCATCCCATCTCTCATGTTGTACACGCCAGAGTCCGAAAGAGGATCCTTAGGAATCCTATTCATGATGCCATCATTCATGAAGTAGATACAGTCTTCTTCAGCTCCGGCAGTGAGTGACTCGGAGCAGCTCTCGCTAACAAAGAGAGAATGCCCCATCAGTGTATCAACTTTTATCCATCGTCCATGTTCGCTGCTCAGGTCCACCGCCTCAAAGACATCAAATCGGCGAGTCCGCTTGATGCTGCTATCTCTCGGCAGCATGGGCGGCAGATTAAGATTAATCCACCGTGCCACCATGAGCAACCGATCGCCATCCGCGACTAGATATCGATGGAACGTGTACCTGTCGGTGGAGTGAGGGTTGAACCATGCTTCGTCTTCATCGCCCACATCTCTAGGAGTGCTGTGTATGCATTTGACATCAGACACCATGGGCTCCTCATCGCGGACTTCAAGGATGTAGAGCTCCTCCTGACAATTCTCTATATCAAATGTTAGGCAGTAGAGCTTCCCTTGGAAGAGCGCAATGTCGAGGATGTAGCTAGAATCAGGAGGACTCCACTTCACCACTGTATGCGGCTGTCCAGAAGTGATGATGACCTTCGAGCTGTTGAAATAGAAAGCAATGAAGTGTTCAGACACCACCGCCTTGATGATCGGGGTGATTCTCCGTTGACCCAGTTGGAATGCGGTGTCAGGGTATTTGCACTTGATCTCGCCATGAAAGACCGCGGCGAGGTCGGGGAGAGGGGTCGTCGCCGAGGAGGACGGGTTCATCAGGGAGAACATGCCGTCGTTGTGCGCGAGGAGGAGGCCGCTCCCTGTGGGCACAAGGTGCGCGACATCGCCGGGGATGGCCAAGCGGCGGTGGGCTGCGCCGTCGGGGAGGGTGAGGAAGGCGCCGTCGGGGAGGAAGAGCCACGGGAGCGGCGGCGGCAGAAGCTTCCGCTCCAGCCGCGCGCTGGAGCGCCATGGGCGGCAGACGGCGCGGAGGCGGACGCGGTCGCCGTGGGACGGCAGGCGGAGGAGCACGAGGCCCAGGAGCTCCGACGGGAGATCCGGCCACGAGCCACCATTGCATGGTCGCTGTGCGGCCATCGCGCCGGTGGAGGAGATGCTGCAGCGGCGGAGGCCACCCGCAGAGTACACGTCGCCGGCGAGCGATCGAATTGGGGAATTGGGGTTTGGGTTTTTTTTTCTTTTTCTTTTTCTTTTTTCTTTTTATTTTTTATAGAGAGAGAGGGTGGATTTGCGGAATTATTCACGGCCCATTTGTTGATTTTCATATGGGCTTGGAAGAGCGGCCGTGCAGTGTGGGCCGGTAGTGCAAACGTCTCATTTTCTTAGAATTTCTCCTCTCTCTTTTTTTTTTTAGCTTAGGTCTTCTTTAATGTTTACAAACTCAGTTCAATTTATACATGATTCAGGGCAAATACATGTCCTATGTTCAAAATTCCAAATTAGGCTTAGACCTGTGACTGTTGGTTGGCATGTCTCTTGCCGTATACCTTACCAGTTGATTGATCAATGTAGCACATCATGACATGGAGCTACCACAATTCTCAGGTACAAAGAAACATGGAGTAGACTAGCAATGTCCCACTGAATTCCAACGATAAATTCGATCTCAGCAAACAAAACAAAGGACAGACCCCGGGTATCAAGCATATACACGGAATAAGATGATGAACTCTACACTTTCTGAAGCGACAGCCAAACATTTCATCAGAACAGAGTGATTAACAAGTACCACCTCTATATTTTAATGTATGACGCCGTTGACCTTTTGTCCAACGTTTGACCATTCGTCTTATTCAAAAAATTTATGTAATTATCATTTATTTTATTGTGACTTGATTTATCATCAAATGTTATTTAAGCATGACATAAACATTTTCATATTTTCACAAAAAAAATAAAACGAATAGTCAAACATTGCTAAAAAGTCAACGGCGTTATACATTAAAATACGGAGGGAGTACTAACATTATTTAAGCATCATCCATCAGCCTATCTACATGTAATATGTCCATATAGGATACTTCAAAATACATCAACAGCCGCATGCCACACAGTACGACGGATTACATTCAGATTACGTAGCAACATCAGCAGGGAAGAACCATGCAGGATCCCCCCGGCCTGTAGGATGCAGCCTCGGCGCTGTGGCATCCTGCAACAACGGCGTGATCACCCCGTTTCTCATGTTGTAGACGCCAGAGTCACAAAGAGGATCACCAGCATAAGGCCTCCAATAATCACACATGAAGTAGATGCAATCCTCCTGAGGTACACCACATTCTGCAGCAGGGAGAGACTAGGAACAATGTGTGCCGACAAATAGTGCTCGACCCCCCAAAGATGTAACCCTTCTCCACATGCGAGAGCCGGTGGTCAAGTCCGCTTCAAAGACCTTGAATGAAAGAGTACGCGAATGTTTGAAGGAGTTGGGCTCTGCAAGAGGGAGCACAATGCCAACATACCGTGTCACCATCAACAGGCCACCACCAGACTCAACTAGATAGTACCTCCGCATAATGAGATAATCTTCTGGAAAGGATTGGGGTTCAGTCGTCGAATCATCCTGGGAGTCAATTATGCATTCAATGGATGAGATCTTTGGGTTACCTATGTGGCTCTCATCAATCTCGAGGATGAAGAGTTTATTGAAATTATTTAACACATATAGCTTCCCATCCAAGAAGGTGAAATCCTGCATGCCCTCCATTGTAGAACCCTCGACTCTGAATGACTCAGTGGCAACTGGAGGCTGGCATATGCACAATGCCTTTTGATGAGAACGATTCATGATCAGTGCAACAACGAGGGAAGTTGGAGAAAAGTCCAGGGGAGAGGGCACTGCCAACTTATAAAAGAGAGGAAACTTGGGCGCAGCGTACCATAGATGATGACACCAAATGGTATCAAGTTTAGGAAGCTGCAATGTGGCCTTAGAGAACAGGTTCATAAGCGAGAACCCACCATCGTCGTGGCTAAGGAAGAGCCAGTTGTCAATGGAGCAATGGCAGGAAGCATCATCTGGTAAAGGCATGCAGTGAATTTCACCATCTGAAATGCTAAGGAAGGTCCCGTTGAGGAGAGTGAGCCAAGGGAGCGGAGGGGGAAGGGGCTGCAGCCGAGCATTGGAGCGCCATGGGCGACAAACTGCTCTTAGTCGAACACGGTCAGCTAAGGAGGGAAGGCGTGTGAGGACAAGACCCAGGAGCTCTGGCTGGAGGTCTGCCCAGGATGAAGACTGGACAGCTGCCATCATGCAAGACTTGAAATCTAACAAGAAAATACAAAGAGTTCAGAATTTAACAAACTACTCTGCACTTAAAATTACTAAGCACTTACACTATTTACACTATTTCTGTTTTTTTTTTTTTGCGGGGTACACTATTTCTGTGTTTGATGAGGCTAGAACAGAAAGGATGATTCTTTCAAGTAATCAGTATCATCAACAGCACTTCTAAAACTATCATCAATAGCAGCAGCATCATTAAATCCTGGCGCATTCCCATTTTCCTTTCATTAGGGAAAGGGGCTTCTTGTTCCACAGGAAAAGAATGAAAGCATATCATTTCATTCTTTCATACACTGGCGGTTTTTTTTTTTTTTGAATTTGAAGTACTTAGCACACTAAAATGTGTTCTTTGTAGTGGGGTAGTGAATGGAATGCTAAGACCTGTATACAGATGCATTGTGGATGCACATATGGACCAATGCATTAAAATTTCTAGTCTTAAATCTGACACGTTTCCCCGCAAAATAAATAAATAAATAAATAATCTGACACGTTCCATACCAGAACACTAGAACAGATCAGTTAAAAACAAGCACGAATTCGGAGAGAAACCTGTAGCAATCTGCTCAGCTAGGGGAAGGGCTGGAGGAGATTGAACATGCAGAAAACCACAGAACCACTCCTCGCACAGACTAGCGGCGGCCCCCCGTACCCACCACCCAGCTGCGGTGGGGAGAACTGCCGCCGGTAGCCGGGGAGAGAACGCCGCAGCGGAGCGAGGTAGACGACCGCCGGCGAGGATGAGGAGGGTGTCAGCTCATCGAGGGTTCGCCGTCCTCGGTGATGCACCTCGGTGCAGGGGGGTTTTGGCCAAGTTGGGCCGCGGCCCACGAGTCGATGGAATCTAGAAATTTTACCCCTAGTTTTCTCGTAAGCTAGTGAAGGCTCCTTTAAAATGGAGAAAATTTTACATTTTTACATGAAATGAATTCAATTCTTATAAAATTGCACCAAAATTTCTCCATTTCAAAGGTCCAAAACTTAGGATGTGTTCACCAGTTGGAGTTGGGAACACTTCCCCATTGCACGCAAAACGAAACAACGAAATCAAGTATTAGCTAAAAAAATGAAAATGGAATAATATGATTTTTGAAAGCAACTTTTCTATAGATTTTTCTTTTTGTAAAAACACACCGTTTAACAGCTGGAAAAATGTACACACGAAAAAAAACAAGAAAGGGGAAGTTGGGAAAATAGACTAAAGAACACAGTCTTAGCCATTAGGGCTGCAAGGCCGTGGACATCACCGTTTAGTCGCTATCTGGCGCAACAACGATTCATCAACTAATACCACCTGGAGTAGCTCGAATTACATAGAAAGCGGACATTGCAATAATTTACTGAAAAGGATTGATCGAGACTCTTAATTAGTTCCATGACTATAAAACGCCAGAATTCGAAATGTATCCTTTTTCCAGCTCTAACCTCTAGTTTGGTTGATCAGTGACTCAGTATGACCACACTATATGAGTTCTTGTGACTTGTAACATGCACATCCGTTGCCTTAAAAAAATGCATTTCTGTAGTAATTGTCAATCTCAGGAAAACATAAGAAAGGATGGATAAGTCAAGTATAAAATGAGAAACATGAACTCAATGCTTTCTGAATCCAGAGCAAATCATTCTAGCATAAGAGTAGACATGACAAGTAGCAAAATATTAAGCAACATCCGCCGGTTTACATGTTGCAAGTGCAATGAGAAAACCCAAATCAAACAGTCAACAGAGAGTGCCATGAAATGGGGCTGATTACATTTACATAGCACCATCTGCAGGGAAGAACCATGTCGGATGCCCCTCGCCTGTAGGATGCAGTCGCGGCGCTGTGTTCTCCTGCAACAACGGCGTGATCACCCCGCTTCTCATGTTGTAGATGCCAGCGTCGCAAAGAGGATCTTCATCAGATCGGAAGTAGTCATCACACATGAAGTAGATGCAGTCCTCCTGAGCTCCAACATATTCAGCAGCAGAGAGAGACTTGGAGTAATGTCTGCCAACGAAGAGTGCTTGGTCTCCCAAAGATTCCACCCTTCTCCACATACGAGAGCCGGTGTTCAAGTCTGCCTCATAGACCTCAAATGAAAAGGTAAGTGAATCTTTGAAGATATCATCATCATCTTCCGGAGGGAATGGGACACCAACAAGTCGAATCACGTTCAACAGTCTGCCACCAGATGCAACTAGATATGGCCATGTCACACAGATATGGTTCTCAGGACAAGGTTGAGAATGGGATTCAGTTGGAAAATCTTCCACTATGCATTCTACATGTGGAACCTTTGGCTTTTCTATATGTACCTCACTCATCTCAACGGTGAAGAGCTTCCCACAACTAAGTGCATACAGCTTTCCACCACAGAATGCGATATCATAGAAGTTGTTCTTGATTGGACGATCATGAAATCTGAATGAGTCAGTAGAAATTGATCGATGAACAATACAAACTACACTGTGACGAAGAGGGTCATTCATCAGCACGGCAACAAGGGAATCTGATGATAAGTCCAGGGGCAAGGGCACTGCCAACTTATAGAAAAGTCGAGTACATGCATTGTACGCATTTCCCCTCTCATGATGCCAAATGCGGGCTAGCTTAGGAAGCTGTAGTGTAGCCTTGGAGAAAGGGTTCATCAGTGAGCACCCATCGTCACTATCCGTGAGGAAGAGCCAGTTATCAATAGAGCCATAGCAAGAAGCATCATCTGGTAAAGGCATGCGGTGAATTTCACCATCTGAGATGCTGAGGAAGGTCCCGTCGAGGAGATTGAGCCAAGGGAATGGAGGGGGGAGGGTCAGCAGCTGAGCATTGGAGCGCCATGGGCGACACACTGCTCTTAGTCGAACACGATCAGCTAAGGAGGGAAGGCGCCTGAGGACAAGGCCCAGGATATCCATCTGGAGATCTGCCCAAGATGAAGACTGGGTGGCTGCCATCATGCAAGACTTCGAAACTAACCCAACCAAAAAAGACAAAGGGTTCAGAATTTTACAAAAAAAAAAGGACACTAAACATTACAACACCACTTCACCAGGTAGTGTCATACTATTTAACATGGCAAAAGGAATTGTACTTAGTCATTTGCTAAAAAAAAACTCAAGGTGCATGACTAAATAAAATGGATGACCTGACATCATGCAAGACTGCAAGTCTAACAAGAAGTGACAAGGTGTTCAGATTCTGATTAGGTAAAAACTGACATCATGTATGCAAAGAGCACTGTATACTTTTTTTCACAAGGCAAATGCAACTCAACTAAGCTTTTGTCGAAATCTCAAGGTAAATGAGTAAACATAAACAATGATTCTTTCAACTAACTATTATCATCAGCAGCAACCTAAACGGGTAATGACGTACTCCCTCCGTCCCAAAAAAAAGGCAAACCCTGGGTTTCCGTGTCCAATTTTGACTGTCTGTCTTATATGAAATTTTTTTATAATTCGTATTTTCATTATTGTTAGATGATAAAACATGATTAATATTTTATGTGTGACTTGTCTTTTTAATTTTTTTCATAATTTTTTCAAATAAGACGAACGGTCAAACGAGTTGGACATGGAAACCAGGGTTTGTCTTTTTGGGACGGAGGGAGTAGTGAATTAGACGATGCACTGATGGTATACTAAGTCCAATATTCAGAAACGATGCGCACTATATGATTTCATATGACAAAAACACTGAAACAAGGGGATATGCTCATGATCATCGGTACCGCGCATTAAAAAAAATCCGTGGTTCTCTTACACATCAAATGCTCCATGCCATCTTAGATCAACCAAAAGCGAACACTAATTTGGCTAGGTTAAGGTATGAACTAAGCACCAATCCGGTCCCTTCCGGAGAGGAAAGTGTAGCAACCGCTCGAGTAAAGGGGTGTACCTGCGGGGCTTACTCGTGATCGCCTACTTGCCGCCGGTCGCCGAGAGCTGGAGGAGATGGGACTAGTAGGGGGTAGCGCGCGGCGGAGAAGAGGAAGCGGCGCGGAGTAGCAGCCTCCGAAGTAGGCGGGGGCGAGGCAGATCTCCGGGGAGGGGGATGAGGAGGAGGAGCGCGTCAGTTCGCTGGGGATTCGCCGCCTCCGGCGAGGGGCATCGCCGGCGAGCGGTTCAGGAGGCGGAGCGAGTGGTCGAATTGGGAATTGAGGTTTCGTGTTTTTTTTAAATAAAAAATTGATGGGAAGGTTTTGGGGAATTTGTGAAGCGAGGAGATGAATTTTTTGGGCCATTTGTTGCCACTGCAGGGTGGGCTGGTGCCTGGTGGCACAAGCCACAGCCCACAAGGCCTCCTTTACAGTTTTTTTCTTTTTTGAAAAATTAGGCATCAGTTTTTTTCTTTTCTTTTTTTTGAGAACGCATCGGTTCAGTTGATTCCATGGAGAAAGTGAGCATTGCAATAATTTACTGAGAAAGGCCTTAATTACGGCTCCCTCCATTTTTTCAATAAATAACGCTTTTGATTTTAGTATAACGTATAACTATTCGTCTTATTTAAAAAGTTATATAAATGTTGTTTGTTTTGTTGTGAATTATTTTGTCATTAACATGCATTGTACTCTAACATATTTACACTAAATTTTTGAATAAGATGAATGATTAAATGTTATTTCAAAATGAATGATTAAATGTTATTCCATGTCTATAAAATGCCAGAATTTTATATGTATCCTTCTTCCAGCTCCAGCCTCCTGTCCGATTGATCACTGTGAATAAGTGACCCCAGCAGATGAGTTCTCGTGACTTGTAATATGCATATCCGTTGCCTTAAAAAGAATACATATAGGTTATTGTTGATCTCAGTAAAACAGATGGTTCAAGTATGAAAATAAAGAGAAATATATCCTGTAATTTCTCACTGACAAATGCTCGATCCTACGGTTTACAATCGACAAGTTCTACAAATTCTGTAAGTTCCACAAAATCCCAGCACAAGTATTTTCTTTCTATTTGTCCGTCATACATAAATGCTTATATTTCGGAATAGGGAGCAGGTGTTTTGGAACAGCAAGCCTTGATGCTCCTATTTTTCTTTCGAATCATATACACGTTGCTGATGTGAAAAGGTAAAAAAGAAAAAGTAGTAAAACTGCAACCATTGTACTGCAATCATTTTAGCAACAAACTGCATCTCAGCATTGGAGCGCCATGGGCGGCAGACTGCTCTTAATCGAACACGGTCAGCGTGCGAAGGGAGGCGCCTGAGGACAAGACCAAGTAGTTCTGGCTGGAAATCTGCCCAACTTGAGGACTGTTGTTTAGATACCATAATCTAAGAAGAAAATGCATCGAAGTCAGAGTTTACCAAAGTAAATCATCATAGTAAATTGCACATGTTTCTTCCATGTTTAGAAAAAAAAAATGGTGCTTATTGTTGTCTACACAGTACCAACATTAATCAGCATCTCTTGAGAACAGAAGTGCGCTTAGCAGAAGGGTTGGTCCTTTCCGCGCTAATAATAACTATGTGATGGAAGAATTAGCATAGTAAGTGACTATATGATCTGTTAAACCTATCAGCCTATTTATTTTTTTCGACAAAATTATAAACAAGGGCATCTTTCTCATCAATACTAGGTGCCACAGTGGAAAATGTTACGATCTCCGTCCTAAAATATAATAATCTAGAATCTAATGGTTCTGGTATTACGAATCTAGACAGGAACCATCCGATCCTAGGGAGTAGTAGATTCAGGGAAATTGAACTCCAGCACTAAGATCAAATCAGCTACAAAGGGCAACAGAATCTGGCATTTGGAGTATCGATTTGTCGAAATAAAATTAGGGCTTAGTGTAAGGGAGCTCACCTGCTTAGTGGTTAGGACCTGATGAACGGTCGGTGAGAGGGGACGAAGAGCAGGGAACCAACCAAGAACCAACTCCGTCGCCGGAGATCGACTAGTAGCAGCAGACGCTCAGTACGTACGGCCGTGGAACTCGTCGCCGGAGATCGACTAGCCGGCAACAGCCGCTCGTGTCCAGGCAGTGCGCCGTGCGCGGTGGCTTTCTCCAAAGTAGGTAGCCCGGGGAGGAGAGGGTTGAGGGACGGCGTCCGCGCGCCTTGGTGCGCTCCGGCAGGGCTCCCTCGCCGTCGCCGGCGAGCGCGCGATCGTGTCGCGGCCTCTTGGTGGGAACAGCGAAGAGCAGGGGAAAAAGATGGCGTACGACCCTAGCATAGATTGGTTTTGATTTGTGTTTAAAAAAAATAAATTTCGTAAAACCCACCTATTATATGCTAAAGTAGTAGTACAAGTAGAGGGCACTTGATATAGATTTAAAAAAAATGGATAAATGCGTAAAACCACGCTATTGATTATTATCCACATTTTCTGCAGCATATTAGAGCAAGTTTAATAGTATAGCCAACTACTAGCTCTAATTCATCTATAGCCAATCTAATATCTCATTCATACAATAGTTACATACTACACTATTAATACATGGCCCCACCTTTCATACACACACCGCGTCTTGGAGTCCGTGCTATAGCTGGCTATAAATCTGTAGCCCGCTGCCCTTCTCTCTCCTTATTTATCTTCTTAAAATATATTTGTAGCTGGCTTATAGCCTGCTATTGTACCTACTCTTATAGCCTTAGATATTATAGCTATTAGTTTTTACAAAACCATGCTATTGATTATTTTGATTTTAATCTATCATACTTCTAAGTTCTATAATAACATTAAATTTATGAGTTTTTTTATCCATCATTTAACTGATACGTTTGTCAGAGTTATGGATAACACATATCTAATAGTAGTTAACTAAATCTCGGCAGGACCCACCACATATCATGTCTTATACGGAAACAACCTTCGGATATAGAAGGAGTTCCGCATAAGGAATGATAATAGAGTTCTACATGGAAACGACAAGTACTACTCAGATTGTATCCATATTAGTTTTCCTAGTTCTACTTGGATAAGGGGACACCTATGGGTATAAACATAAGACCCCTAGGAGGAGAGGGGGGACGGAACAATAGATCAAGACACAAAATCAACATACAAGCCAACATACGCCAAGACAAGACGCCGGATATCGAATTCAGAGATAAGCATAGCTAGTCCCCTACGGTGTCTACAGATTCTGTCAGGAGAGACATAGCGCCGTCTGTGATCTCGCCGGGCACGGATTCGAAGAGGAAGACTACCCTATTGTCGACTACGTGATGATACTTCAGACCACCAAGTCGATAACAGATAGATATGCTACCCCAAATATTGTATTGGTGTAATTATGGTGAATAAGAGCAACGACCGGCTTCGGCCAACGGGAGTAGGATTATTACCTGACAATTTAGGGACCCGAACCTGTATAAAAATCCTCGTCCCCATCTGTTTTACCTCAGTCTCGCATATACCCTGATACCAACAATCCCCATACTATGCAAATACCGGAATCGCGACATCAAACGTCGACAACGTTTATGTAAGCATTTTTTTAAAAAAGTTCTGAACTTCTGATATACGAATATATCAAATTGGTTAATGGTGTGGTTTATGAAACTTTAGGATCGTAATACCTGGGTTATATACCACGTGTCAAAATTCATATAGTTTTGTGCAACTTGAAAAAAAAATATGTGTGGCTTTATGTAATATACTTAAAAAGGTTACATTGTATCTCGTTAAAAAAAGGGTTGTTAGGAATAATATTTGAAAAAATTTAGTAAGAGATCCTTTGTTCTCAAAATGTACATATTATTTACAAATTTGAGTCTAAAAATATTTTGAGTTCAGGCTTCTAGCAGTAGTAAGGAGCACTCATTACTGAACTATTTGAAGCATACAAAGGATACCATTAATAAAAATGAAAACTAAGGTTAATAGTCGTTGTGTGAGTGTCGGGGTTTACCCCTGTCACGCCCCGAACTAGTACCGACCGGAACTAGCCCGTGACGCTCCAAATTAACCTGTTAATTGATACCAGTCCCAGGAAACAGTGCTGGTATCACAGGAAGACAGATTATCACAACAACAGAGGTCTCTTTATTATAGAGTAGAGGTACAGTCATGTTGGGCTGCGGACAGACCCCGAGCTCACAACTACATTATAAAAGAAAAACGGAAGCCAAGACTAGGACCAAACATCACAGGCGCGACTTGGGAACTAGGTCGAAACCCTAAAACTCATCGTAGCCGGCTTGCTCCTGGAAGAACTCCTCATCAACAGGATCCGCTTCATCTTCTTCAGCAATGGGGGGGATTATTTATATAGAACAAGGGTGAGTACGGGAGTACTCAGCAAGCCATGGGAAATAAGTGTTTAATGCAGGCTTCAAGGAAAGGTTGTTGTTTTTGCAATTGATTTTATTTGAACTCTTTTCTAAAAACAACTAAGTGAGTGCTTCTCAAACGACGCGGATAAGACAGTGCGTCTCGTCCGGTCGGAGTATGTGTAATGTATCAGTCTTTAGAATTGATTCAAGGTTGGCACCCGGCCAACAGCTTTTCAAACGGCCACTAGGGCCAACAACTTTCAAACGGCCACCCGGGCCTAGCTGATCCCATCAGCTGCAGATTTTTCAATCATCGAACCCCTTTACACAACAGCAATTTCACAAGCAGTAGTCAAACAAAACTACGCTAGGAATCACCTCACATCCGCCCATGACCGTGGGCACGGCTGTTCGAACAGTTTGTTAACCTCTGCAGAGGGGGTACACTTTACCCACACGACATTACTAACCCGGATCACCCAGCCCGTGGGGATCAGCCACGTCGGGAGACCTCCAAGCTTTCATGACAAGGCATTTCGAAAGCCGACACAGGTTTACCATATGCCGACGAGAGGGGTCCCAGACCAACAACAGGTTAGGTCCCAGACCATACTGTGCCAGGAAGCCCAGGGGTCCTCCCCGACACCACCCCGGCGAATCCACATGTCTCTCGGCATCAAGGCTCCCCTGATAAGCTAGTTACTCAGCCAGGGGTGTCCCATTCCATCCATGTGGTCGTACTTGTCTTATGTTTGAATGAAATTCCAAGGAAACGGTCCTTAAGTGCGAGAGCGGGAAACCGTACACCCGGTACGTTCCCCGGTCCGCGGTTTTGGAAATTCATTTAGTTCGCAAGCACCGACCCAGGTGTCGGGTTTTCCAAGTCTTTTGTAAAACCCAAGTTTTACCCAAGAAGTTTTTCAGATTTTAAGTTTGAAGGCGTCCGTCGATACTCGCACAGGGTGCACGAATATCGAGACGCAACTAGATGGTTACAAGGGGACACGATATAACAATTATCAAAGGAAGGATCAAATGCAACAAATTAGGTAGGTCCGCTAATCTGCATTGCAGACGGGACAACAGATTAAGTGCGATCCTATCAATGCATAATATTTTTCAAGCAACATAATTAAATTTCAAATATAGGCTCAAGATGTTCAAAGGTGGCTTGCCTTGCTCGAGATCTGGAGCTTGATCCTCGAAATCCTCGCGATCTGCCTTGCTCGAGATCTGGGTCTTCGGGCTCCGAAACTACACGCGAAACGGGACAACTCAACAAACGGCGAAAATAAAGCCCTATTAATGACCTCTAAGCGTGCCATTAGATAGATCTCGAGATTTGAGGAATTTTGGAAGTTGAACGGAGTCAAACGGATTTACGGTTGGGAAGATATTGAATTTCTAAGATTATTGGATTTTTAGTCTAAAGGAAAAGGATTTAATTAAATCCTTTTTGGAAAAGAAAAGAAAAGAGGGAGGGAATATAGACTTTTCCTCGGCGGCTAGGGCGCGGCTCGAGAGAATTGGGGCGGTCCGGCCGAGCTAAATGGGCCGGCCGGCCCAAGGCGGCCTAGGGCGCACGCGCGCGGGAGGGAGGAGAGAGAGAGCCGGTGGACCGGGCTCACCACGCGTGGTCCCGGGTGGGACCCGCTTGTCGGTGACTCGGTTCACCGTGCGGAGCGAGCACGCGGCGCACGCGCGCGGCCGGGGCTGGGACGCGGTGCACGCGCGCGGTTCGCGGTGGAATGGATGCGGCGGGCCCACGCGCAGCCTCACGGCTCGCGGTGGAACGCGCGCACGGGAGGGGCTGACCGGGGTCGGCCCGACCCGATCTCGGCCGAGCTGGTGCCGACGTGGCGCCTACGTGGCGCCTACGCGGGCTGGCGGGAGGAAGACGAAGGCGCCGGCCGCGAATGGACGGCGGGCGGCGGCGGTTTCTCCGGGACGCCTTGCGACGATGAGGGGCGACGGGGCGTACACCGGGATGACGAGGGAGAATGAGAGGGAGCGAGCGAACGTCTTGGATTCGCCGGAGGGTGTCCGTCGGCGGCGGATTGCGGCGGCGGCACCCGGCGGAGAGAAAAGGGAGAAACGGCGACGAGGTCACGAGGGGCCAATTCCCGGCGGTGAGAGCATCTACGCGGCTACGGGAATCTGTTGCTAGCGTCGGATTGGGCGGAGCTACGTCGAGCGAGGCTGGCGACGAGCGGGTGCTACGGAGCACGGGCGGCGACGGCGGCGAGCACATGGCGAGCGGCGGCAACGGTTGGGGCGGCGCCGGCTAGCTACGGGGAGGCTACACAAGCTACTACCGAAAACTAAGGGGGGAGATGGAGCGAGGAGGAAGAACGGAGGGAGGCACTACCGTGCGGGCGGGGCGCAGTGACGAGAGGCCGACGGCGCGGGAGTAATCTCTCCGGCCTCGGGCCGGGGAAGAGGAGGAAGACGAGCGCCCGGAGTCCTCTTCCGCGTCCACGAACGCACCGGTTCTCCCGGCGCTTGGCGATGAACGGCGGAGGCAAGACAGAGCTCGGAAGGCGGCGACAACAATGGAGTGGAGGCGATGGGAGGAGAAGAGAGGGAGGGCGCCTGGGCTTTAAAGGGCGGCAATGTCGGTTTGGAAACCGACTTTGGGCGGTCAAGGCGCGAGCTGGCGCTCCGGCTAGCGGCCAAATCGGCGACAGGGCGGAGGGAGGATGACGCCGGCGGGAGGAAAAGGGGAAAAGGAGGGAGAGAAAGGGGGCTCGCCCCTTGCCTCTTTGGGAAAAGGAGGAGGGGAACAGGGGCGACGCGGCAGAGGGAGGAGGGGCTCTGCCTCCGTCCCTTGGCGGCTTGCGCTCGGAGTGGCGGGGCCGAGGCAATGACGACGGCGATGACTGCGGGGCGGTGTGGAGCGGAACGGCGACACGGGCGACAGGCGCGGGCAGGCGCTGACGACGGCGGCGACCAGGCGGTCGGCCACCACGGCACGCGCGCGCGGCTTGCAACGGGAGGCGCGGCGGATTGAGCGGCGCGGCTCGGGCACGCGCGCTGGCTGCGGGGCCGAGCGGCTGCGCGGTTGCAGGCGGCAGGGCAGCGGGACCGGGCGGCGCAGACGCGGCGCGGGCGACGACCACGCGGGCGCGCGCGCGAACGATGCGCGGGGAGCGGCAGCGAGGGAGCGGAAAGGAGGGCTCGGCTCGGCGCGGGCGGCTCACGCGCACGCGCGCGGGCAGAGCGGAGGGGGAGGGGCGCTCGGCGCAGCCCTCGCGCACGCGCGCGCAGCGCGCGGGCGGAGCGGAGGGGGAGGGAGAGAGAGGGAGCGCCGGGGAAGGGAGGGGGAGATGGGCCGAGAGGGATTCGGCCCATCGACCCCGGGGGAGGCAAAATAGACTTTTGCGGAGGAATTTGATTTGGAAGGATTTGGATTCGGGATTGAACTCGACGATAGATCGGGGATTTGAGATCTGGGATGGCACGGACACTAGACAACAAGCAAAGAAACAATTTCGCAAATAGAGTTTTTATGAGATAATTTTCCCGCTAGGCGCCACGACGGAACAGGCGCTACAACCCCTCGTCGGCAAGTGGTTCACCCTTTAAATGTTTTGAGCTACAGTTGATAAATCGCAGAAAAAATAAATGAAGCAATCAAGAACAATTTATGAATCCTCTAAATAAATTTTGCTAAAAAATCAAGATTGGCAAGTAGGAAAAAACAAGGGTTTGTTGTGAATATGGAATGGGAGAGTTGGTCTAGACAGTTGGATCAGAAGAATAATTGACTGAGATCCATAGCGAGTTCTCTTGCAAAAGATCAACCTCATCTTTTCACTTATCTTGGGACGGAGGGTGGTACAGTACACACTGGTCACCTTAAAGAAAATGCACATCAGTAATAATTGTTGATCACATGAAAACATAAGAAAGGATTGGACAGGTAAAGTACAGGTTGTAATATGAATTCAATACTACTTTGTCCTAAAAAAAACAATCCTAGCTACGACCCTGAACAAGCATTTGTCCAGATTCGTAGTTAAGATTATGTTTTTTATAGGACGGAGGGGCTACTGCTGAAGCCAGAACCAACCATTCAATCAGGACGCAACAAGTAACAAAACATTAATCATCATCCACCAGTTTACATGTTGCATGTGCATATGAGAGAAACCCACAAAGAGGGCCATGCAGAGGGGCTGATTATATAGCACCATCTGCAGGGAAGAACCATCTCGGATGTCGCCACTGGTAGTAGACGCCAGAGTGACGATTACCACTTACCAAACGCACCAACGGCGTTATCATCTCGTTTCTCATGTTGTAGATGCCAGAGTCGCCAAGAGGATTTGCAGAATAAGGCCGGTTGTAGTCAGATATGAAGTAGATGCAGTCCTCCTGAGCTCCACATTCCACAGCAGGGACAGACTTGGAGCCATGTGTGCCAACAAAGAGAGCTTGGCCTCCCAAAGATTCTACCCTTCTCCACATGCGAGAGCCATTGCTCAAATCTGCCTCATATACCACAAATGAAAGAGTACGCGGATCTTCAAGGACATCATCATGTGACAGAGGGAATGGGTAACCGAAAAGCCGAATCACCTGCAACAATCTTCCACCAGATTCAACTAGATATCGCCACAGCATCCGGGGATGACTCTCACGACAAGGTTGGAAATGGGATTCGGTTACCGGTTCTTCTGCCAAGTCAACCATGGAATTAATGCATGAAACCTCTGGTTTTCCTTCATGGCCCTCACTGATCTCAAGGATGTAGAGCTTCCCAGAAGCACTCAGTGCATACAGCTCCCACCACAGAAGGCGATATCATAGGTCTTGTTCTCGAGTGAAAAATCATGAGATATGAATGAATCAGTAGCAATGGGTTGATAGCAAATACAAGCGGCGCTCACATGAAGGGGGTCATTGATCAGCACAGCGACAAGGGGAACTGGTGATGAGTCCAAGGGCAAGGGAACTGCAAACTTATAGGAAAGTAGAGTATATTCGTTGCAGAGAAGTATACCAGATCCACGGTAGGCACGTTCCATCTTATCATGCCAAATGCTGGCTAGCTTAGGAAGATGTAATGTAACCTTGGAGAAAAGGTTCATCAGTGAGCACCCACCATTACTATCCCTGAGGAAGAGCCAGTTGTCAATGGAGCCATGGCAAGAGGCATCATTTGGTAAAGGCATGCGGTGAATTTTACCATCAGAGATGCTGAGGAAGGTCCCATGGAGGAGAGTGAGCCAAGGGAGTGGAGGGGAACGGGCTGCAACCGAGCATTGGAGCGCCATGGGCGACAGACTGCTCTTAGCCGAACACGATCAGCTAAGGAGGGAAGGCGTCCGAGGACAAGACCCAGGAGCTCTGGCTGGAGGTCTGCCCAGGATGAAGAATGGGTAGCTTCCATCACGCAAGACTTGAAATCTGACCTTCCAAAAATGGAAAAAAGAAGGGTTCAGAGGTTTACAAGAAAAAGAAAGACACTAAGCGTTGCACTACTTATACTTGCGATACTTGGTAATAGCATCAGAAGATAGTGACATGTACTAATATTTAACAAGGCACACTAAACTGTACTAGTCATTTGCTAAACAAACTCAAGGTCCATAACTAAATAAAAAGGCTGACCTCACCTGACTGACATCTTGCAAGACTGCAAGTCTAACACGACGAGACAAAGGTTTCGGATTATGATTAAGCAAGCACTATTTAAAACTATGTATTCTGGTCACACTTGACAAGAACATCACCAGAAAGCAGTATCTAACTTTTTTCACAAATCAAAAGGTAAATGCATCTGCACTTACTCCTTTACCCAAATCTCAAGGTAGATGAGTAAACATAAATAATGTTTTTTTTATTTTTGCAACTAACTAGTATCATCAGAAACATACTAGTGGGTGATGACGTAGTGAACTAGATACGGACTGATAGTATACTAAATCCAATATTAAAAAATGATATCCACCTATATGATTTCGTAGCAGGAAACGCTAAAACAAGGGGAACGTGCACATCGGCACTACACATTGAAAATATGTACTTCTCTTAGATCTTACATGCTCCTCCATACCAGTTTAGATCAAGCAAAAAAAATTTGGTCCAAAAACATTTATAAACACATCCAAATATCCAATGGGTAAATAGTGGTATATCTCCAAATGTGAATAGTAATGGTATTTTTTTCAAAACCAATAAATTTATAATGACAAGGATCCAATTAACCCTTTTCTGGGGGGTTCAACCAAGTTGTAGAGAAAGACATTTTCTCATCGACATTAGGTGCCGCAATTCAAAATGTTTGTGGATTTAGGCCAAATGATCTCCGACAGAAAGCCGGCAGCTAATATCAAATCAGCAACGAAGGGCACATGAATGTGGGCCATCTAGAGCATCGATTCGTTGAACGAAATTAGGGCTAGTGCAGAGGAGCTCACCTGCTTAGAGGCGATGACCTGATGAACGGTCGGTGAGAGGGGGAGGAAGAGCAGGGAACCGACCACCAACTCGTCGCCGGCGGGAGATCGAGCAGCAGCAGCCGCTCGTGTCCGGCTGCGGGGAGCACAGGCTGTGCGCGGTTACGACGCGGCGGCGTCCTCTAGAGGAGGCGGCCCGGCGATGAGAGGTATCCGCTCGCTTGGGTGGTCTCCGGCAACGCCGCAACGGCAAGGCTCGCCGTCGCCGGCGAGCAGAGCAGGCGGCGATCGGGAAGTGGAAGATGGCGTGGGAGCCGGAGGAATTGGGGTTTTTGCTTCGATTCTGTGCGGCGTTATTTTTTTTATTTATTTTTTATACCTTTTTGGTCTTTCACCTACTCGCAGTAATGAGCACCCCCTGAAGTAATTAGTGAAGTGCTGCCAGCTACTCCCATGTTTGTTGATTTATTACTAGATTATTATATAATGAATTACTATTTAATTATAAATATATATTAAATAGTTTAATAAATACTGTAAAATAAATGGTTTAAACAATATGATAGTAAAAAAAATGAGAAAACATTTTTTTTAAAAAAAAACATGAAGTAAATAATCGATTTGAACTAGCTATCCAATGAATAATATGAAAAGAACGAGGTCGTAGTATAATTCTCTGCATAATATAAAGGATGAACGTATTAGACTTTATACAATTTAATTTAATAGAATTCCCTGTAAAAAGAAGTGTTGAAATCATCTGAGTATATTAATACGACGAGACAATAAAACTTTCAAACAAAAAAAAATGATAAGTACAGAAACCTTCAAGACCTACTCCCAGTTTATCGAGCTGTGTATAAAATTTAAAACTGTAAAACATCGTCCTATATTGCTGGGCTGATGGCATGCAACACAGCGACAGCCCGAAACACCCTCAACTCCACATCGACACATTTTAGAGCTGTCGCTGCCAAACCACCGAGCAAACATTATTATCATTATTCTCATTTATAATCAAACAGGTCGAGTTTGAAGCCTGTGTTGTTCTTGTCATCGATCTACAATGCAGCCCTCTGCTGGCTGAAAGCCACCGGAATTTATGTGACCAGGTTGATGCCCTCGGCGAGGAGGGAGTCGGCGAGCACCTGGTTCGCCGCCTCCGACGGGTGGACGGCGTCCCAGAACACGTACGTCGTCGCGTTCGGGCAGGTGCCGATCGACTTGGGGTTGCACAGAAGCACCGTCGTCTCCACCGTCCCTGTCCCGCAGCATCCCCTCCTCGCCTCCGTGAATCCTACCACCACCAAAACCATCATCAATGGTGATGAATTTTTAGCAGGGCCGGCCAAGATAGGCCAACCAATCAATGGTGATGAATCACTGAATATGCACAGTTGCAGTTTGCATTGATCATGCAAGATGAGATACAGATTTGCGTATAAGTTTGTTGTTATACCTTGGGATTGAGGAGAGGTGACGAGGTCGTAGAGGGGCGTGTAGATGTCGAACACGGCGATCTTGAGGTCGGAGTAGGTCTTCGAAAGCGAGTCGACGGTGACGTTCATCTTGCCGTTGAAGTTCTGGGCGTCGCTGTTGAGCCTCGAGACGCACCCGCTGCTGCCGTAGCCGAACAGCGTGATCGCCGCCGGTAGGCAGCCCAACGGCGGCAGCGACGTCACGCCGATGCGCCGTGCTCCCATGCTGTACAGTTGCTACAAGAAGCAAAGGTCCCAAAGAAATTTTCACATCATCTCAACAATCCGTGTTCAGAAACTATATCTCTAATTATACTATGAGTCTAGTCTATGACTATCTATGTCGATGAGGAAGCTGGTTAGTTGCTTACTGCCACGGTGTTTTTGAAGATGCCGACGAGGCGGTCGGAGAACTGGTCGGCGGTCTGGGTCTTGTAGAGGAAAGGATTGATGTAGTAATTCTGGACGAAATCGCTGGCACCGGCGCTGATGATGTACAATGAGCCGTTGATGATTGACTGGGCCTGGCTGCTTCCGGCCACGGCTGCCAGCTTAGATTGGTACTCCTTGAAGTACTCCAATTGTTGGGACAAAGGAATAGCATGCTGCATTACACAGTTTTGTCCAAGTTAGTTAAGAGATCATTTACACCGCCACATGGATTTGCAGGTACACCGACGTCCGAAAAATAGCAATGATAGAGTTCATAATTTATGAGGCATGCATGGAGGATGTAACTATGTATTAACACGCAGCTGAAATATTTCAATTCAGAGCTTCTCTTCTCCTTTTCAAGGTTATTGGTGATACTTACATACAGAAGTGCAGTGTGGTCATAGTAGCCAGATCCTGCAGATGCAAAGTTGGCTCCAATCAGAAGGTTCTTCCCTGACGCATCTGGGCTGAGATACGCAGGTGCGTAGCTTTCAAACCCCAACGTCTCGGCTGCAACCACAGGAAGTAGCAGAACAGGATCTCTATTAGAAAATGCAACTGCAACTCACATATACATTGGAAAGTAACAACATTTAGCAAGAGTGAGAATGTGACCAGTGATATCAGTAGCCAGCTTGCCGTTGCAGAACCTCCCCGTGGGTACCTGGTTCTTGAAGTCCCTTCCGTAGGGAGGGAAGTTTGCCTTGATGATGGTTTTGAGGTAGTCATTGTTACCTACGTCCACCGATGAGTCACCGAACGTCATGACGGCCGGCACGAGCGGCTGCGCTTCACCACCATGTGTTCCTAGCAGAAGGAAGAGAGCCAGGAGCAGCAAGCACTTCACCTCCATTGGAGCTATCCTTGGAGTCTTCTTAGGAGTGTGGCTCGAAAGAGAAGCGTGTTCTGGTAAGACAGAACGCTGTGAGCTTGTTTATATAAGTGTGCCTGCAAACATATATACACAAAATGAGATGAAACGCACTAATTCAGTAGTTAATGAAGTTTGTTATGAACCCCATAACTATACTCATGAGACAAGCTGTCCTGATAAGACCAGTAAGCAACTAACTTAATCAGTAGTGGGGCCTAGTTGTCATCCAATGTAGTAGTATAAATCTTCTTTCGGTGCAACCTTTGGTGTAGTGTGTGGCATGACAGTAGCACATTGTTAGTATAGTACCTCATCGTGGCAATGTGCCAAATTCAGTCTCCATGCCCTGCTTTGCATGGTTATCCACATTAATTCTTCCATCTGCAATGGCGACTATTTATTAGATTGATAAGGAAACAAGGGGCAGTTGAGGTGCTATTGAGGCACATCGGCACTAGAAGTGCCAGGAAGAAGGTGTAAACCCCAACAGCTACTAAACAACCACTAATCAGTTATTGCACATGTTGTACTAACACAATATATGCAGTTGGAACTCGAGCATTGGGTCCCAACTGGAAAGATCTTTAACACTGGTTATAACTGACATGGTTTTTGACAATGTAAGAAAAATAAAAGGAGTTGCAAGACTTGACAATAAATATGCAAATCTTTCAAGTGCTGTGTGCCAGCTAGTAAGACTTATCATCATTGAATGCAATGCTGCCACTCGTTTCCTTCAATGCCAGTACTTCCCCACGAAAATAAGTACTCCAAATAAGATACCCCCTCCGTCTCAAATTACATGTTATTTAGATTTATTCTAAGTCAAACATATATATCTTTGATCTCTATTTTTTAAGATATTTATGTGATCTAACAACATGTGAATCATATATTATAAAATTATTTCTCATGGTGAATCTAAAAAAAATATATCTCTTATGATAATAAACTATCTGAGTTTATAATGTGAATTGATGGTTAAAGACTAAAATGTTTGATTTATGACAAATCTAGAATGATAAGTAATTTGGAACAGAAGTTGTACCAGAAACTGAGACAGCTCAGATAAAATATTGTGGGGGAAAGCTAGTAGGAATTCGATGGTCAAAATATTGATAAAAATGTGGCAGTATATATATAGCAATAAAATATTCTTCCAAGATTCTTATGCTTGTGGATTCTTGGGAGGCTGGGACCAAAGATGTATACTACGTACCTTTCATGCTGTTTCTGAACATGGATCAAGAGCATACCTAATATAAAAGGTGGTAGATTTAGACACATAACTGAATTCTGTACATGTCATGCTTTCAAAGGTTATTGTCCATTTCTCTGATTGAGAATTGAAAAATGAAAATAGGCCAGTGTGAGACTGAGAAACACAAACAGTTTAGAGATGGAGCGTATGCTATGAAGTTTGATCATTAGCTAAAAAAAACTTATGCTGTGGTCACTGTTTATTTACGAATACTGCAATGGACATATGATCGCTATTATTTTTATGATAAAAAAAGGGTGAATAGTCAAAGTGGTCATCCAAGTTTCATCTGAGGCTCAGTTTAGTCCTTGATATTTCAATCTATCCATATTAGTCCTTCAAGTTTTCATTTTAGTTCAAACTTATCCTTGAAAACCAACAACTCTCTTCATAAATAACACTTATACCCCTCATCATTCACATATATAAGAGAGAAATTGCATGCTTGAATTTTTTTATAGATAATACATAGTATATTATGTAAAACGAAAAAAAATTATGTACTAGCAAGTGTATACGATAGCAATTGCTTAAGTTTCATGTGCACATGTCGAAATAATGGAAAGTAGATCTGTAATATTGTTTATTCATGTTGGCTTTCTCTTTTCTAGTATATAGATGTATACAAATTAAGGGCAAAAAGGACATTTTCTAATAGAAATATTGACTATAAATAGCCATATGGCATATTAAGTGGACCCAAGGATGATTTCAAGCCAAAACAAATATTTGAAGGATCTATGTGGACAAAATGAAACGTGAAGGACCAAATTGAGCCTTCGCTGAAACTTGAGGGACTAAATTATCTATTCACCCATAAAAAAACTTATAATCTTACACTAAGAAAGGAATATAAGATTTGTTAAAATATGTCAAAAGAAAGCAGAACTCGGAATTAATGCACAAAAAAGAAGTAAACTAGCTATTCATAGGAAAAGAAGAAGTCTGGGGAAAGAAGATAACATTAGGGGCAATAAATAAAGCTACATAACTTAAGATATTTTATTTTCATTCTTAAATGTTCAGCAACCACATGCCATGTAAAAACAATTGGAATATTGTTTAGTGCTTAACAAAGCACAACATTCAATTGAGATGGGTTCTGAAAGTGATGAAAATCTCAGAAAAGAACCTGGACTGTAAAAGTGACTCTCTGAATATTAAGTAGATGGAGTTTCTTTGAAAGGAGGAGGATCATACTTCAAAACAACATATTACAAACACATTTAGATTTGTAATGAATCTTCAGAGAAGCAACGAGCTGCTATGTATCAAATTAACATTTTTTTCAAGATACACTCGCTGTTATGTTAGTATCAAGAATGGACCCAGTGTGACTGATTAATTTGGATGTCTACGAAATATGTTCAAGGTCAGATATGACAACAATTGTACTTACATAGAGAGTGACAAGTACGACTCAAATAACACAAAAAACACACTTTGCCCTACATAATACAGTGTATGTATGCATAGCTTCGATTACCTGATTGTGTAAAAAATAAAATCATAATAGCAAGAGTAAATCAAAAGGTATAATGAAAAACATGAGCATTTAGATTATCACCAGTCAATCGGTACACATAAAGCATGAGGCCATCATAATACCGTGGAAAGGACTACCTTTTCGAACAATGCTAGTAACAACAAAATAGTTGCAAAATTGGGTAACTAGACATTGGCCAAGCTGCTAAAGTCAATTATTCAATTTATTCAAAAGGTTGAATTAACACATTAAGAAGACGAACATACATGTCTGAAACAAATGTCTGCAGATTGGATTGAATAATGAACTTACCATTGCAAGGATATATGGAGAAAGGACAATCCTTGTGTGTTTAGCATCAATACTGACTGCCTACTTCATAAGAATCATTAGTGTTGCAAGTTTAGTAGACATTATGTAGTCATCACAAAAAATACTACGGCAGTATGGTCAGGTAGATTTTAGTCACATTTTACTGTGTTGAAATCATGTAAAAATATTCCCTACAAAAATGAGAGAATGTTGAGGAAATAGTATGTGTGAAAGCTAATAGTGAATGCAAGAACGGTAAAATAAACTAAAGTTATCTTTCTCTCAGAGTTTCGAATGTTTAAAACAGGCCTGCAAAGAGATACCATGGCACAATCACAGGATAACATACTTCGAATTCTACTGTTTCATAATTTCATATAAGAATAAAAACACTAGCTTTGGAAACAATTACAGATAACATATAGAAAAGCTAGAGAGTGATGAGCTGGCATTCCATGATGAACTGAGGAAAGAATTGATTGGACCATGTTGTACTTAGTTCCACCAATTTCAGTTCTAGAAGACTATGGGGTATCAAATGGGTAATAATGTCAAATATACATACCTTACACAAATGCACAAAATCTAAAGAGTGTACTAGCATTCAACGATTACGTTCCTTTGTATCTAATTTACCCAGATTTACATAATAAAGAAACCATTGGCCATAGTTGTCATATATGCTACGCTAAAGAGTTAAGATGTGTAATAAAAATGTGCATGCAACTGAGGTTTATCAGGTAAAGCAGAAACAAATATAAATTCAAGTGGGGTTTTAGTCCTAAATGGAGGAAGAGCATTGATATTAAAGGATAATGATACATTACTGTGTTTATTAGCAGCAAAATTCAGTTGGATGTTATCATCAATGTATTCAGATTTCAGCAGGAAGTCAGAAACAACCTTTTGATTTTTTTTTTGTCACAAACAGTACATATAAATGTTATGATTCAGAAACAGAAATTGGAAAAATATGTTAATCACAGGGTGAATATGATGGTGATGGTTCCGTTTCTTTCATTCATAGCAGCAAAAAAGCACTTGTTCCTATGGCACTGCTTGAAACATGGGAATTTTTCCCGATACCTTGGGAATTAAATTGTTCCGCATAAAAAAGTCTTGTACTCCAAACAGGGTGAAGAGGATGAGTTTCATTAGGACAGAACAGTTATGGGAAACAATGACAGTACAACTAACACAATGAAACAAACAAGAATAAAGGATACCCTTATCATGCAATATTTTAACAGTAAGAGCATTCAGTGGTCCTAGTCATCATTTATATGCTATGGAATTCCAATTGGAAGTACAAGAATACCCCACTCGTGCAGATGCAATTATCAGTTAGATAGAACATCTATATGGTTATTAAAAGACTCTGTCCATGACAAGTCCAAACAGGACTGAGTAACTTCTGATTAGCATCCAAAAGAACAGTCAAAGAAATTTGACATTTAAGACACAGAATATGAAGGATAAACACGAGCATGTGCCTCAGGTTAAGCCTGCAATGTTTTACTGGTTACTGACAAAGTGATAATTGCAGCGGCAGCAGCAGCAGCAAATAGTATACGACCTTCTCCAACACCTAAGTTTTCTCTTAAAGATACTCCACTGAGTAGCCAAGCCACCATCAGCATTCAGATACAGGTTTGCCATGAAACAGCAAGCTGTATCAGTAATTTGTTCTCAGATGTTGATCATTACAAACTCTTTCTGTAAAGTTGGTAAATGTTCCATCCAAAGCCACAGTAATAATGATCAAATTTGCATGTCTTTCGCTGTCGATCTTGATCATCATCCACCACCAAAATTTGTACAATCTTAAAATGGCCCAAGCTCATGTACCCAGTTTAGCAAAAGCAAGCACAAGGCTTCACGCATGTTTCACAGCAGCTTCTGTCGCTGCGATCTCCTCCCATGCCGCGCCCATGGCAGGAATGGTGGTAACATGAGCCCAGTCAGGTCCCAAGGCCGCCCACCACCTTCCTCCTGCCGCACACCACCGGCATCTCCTCCGCAATCCATCCAACCATTGGAGCCAGCATCCATCTCCACCTTCTGATCACCAGCGATTGACTCCGCCTCGCCGTTGCGCGGTGCCGATTGCGCCTTACTAGGTTTGGACGCGGCGGCACCCCTCCCGCAGCCCGGAGGGTACCTCCGCACGGCGGAGGCGCGGCGCACGAGCACCACCTCGGTGGTAGCAGCGGGGACCTCGATTCCGGCCACCAACCCATTCCCCTCGCCGTGATCGGGCCCCTCGGTCGCGACCGCGAGGAGCGGCTGCCTTGCCAGCTTGGGGGATTTCGTCGCCGCGCGCGCCGATGCGTTCGGAGGTGGTCGGAGGAGGTTGGTGGCGGTGGTGGAGGGGCCGGGCTGCCCCGGTGGGTGCGCAGCGCGGTGGTCGCGGCCGCATCCCGGCGGGTAGCGGCGGACGGCGGAGGCGCGGTGGCCGGCGGCGAGCATCGGAGCGTGGGCGGCGGAGGTGGTCGGGCGGAAGGAAGTGCGGACTTAAGTGAAATTTCGAACCGAACGAACGGAGGATTGCAGGAGAAGGAACGTGAAGCTTGTACTGTTTCAATCTCTCTCCTGAAAACGCGGAACCAGTTTTGTGTTTTTATTTTAGGTTAGTTGTAACCATGTCATTACAGATATATCTATTTCAGATAAATATTATTATATAATTAATTTATTTGTAGTTGTTGCACTGAAATTTTATAAAATTAAGATCGCCACTGCCATCATGTTTTTCATCGATCTTCTTCATTCTTCGTCTTCTCCCTACTATCTTCCTATCTTCTTGCATTGCGACGGGGGCAGTAGCATGCGAGCAGCAGTGGCGACGATTGCCGACCTAGGGGCTTGGCTACTTGCTACCCAACAGCGGGACAGGTGGCAGATGACGGTATAGAGAAGGTTAGGGCCGGATCTAGATAGCGACGTGATGGCGATGACCTGGGAACGCGAAGGATGCCACCAGTAGAGGGCAGTCCCATCCCCCCTGTGGTGGTGTTGGGGGTGGTTCCCTCGGGTGAAAGCGCGGTGGTCGAGACGGGTCCCACAGTGTCGGCGACCTCCAGATCTAGGTGGTATTGATGGGAGGCGCAGAGAACGACAGGTGGAGGCGCAAGACACGAAAGGCGTGAAGAACTGGCGTTAACGACGGGGATCCGAGAAAACTATACACTTTATAAATGTGCTTTTTTTTTTCTTTTGAGGAACATTGGTAAATGCATGACAAAAAAATTTCTATATAATTTTGTGCTAATATGCATTTTCCTTGTTTTGTTTAAAAAGTCAAATTTCTACCCGTCCTAAGGTTTTATGCAGTATAATATACTCCCTCCGTCCTAAAATATAACAACTTTTTACTATAAAACTAAAATGCTTATAATTTGGGACGGAGGTAGTAACTTTTAGCGGTATACTGTGCTATAGCATCCCCTTATCTTATGATCATAATATGTTCGGCATGTACCCAATGTAACTTTAAATTAACATTGACAATTACTTAAGGAGTGCACATTAGTCTCCATTAGCGTATGTATTTTTTTCTGGTTCCTATGGGGATCAAATGATGTAGGTGAAAAATGCTTAAAAATCTTATGAATTTATGGTTTCTTCTTATATAAAAAATCTAATAAAATATTCCACTGTTCTCCAGTAAACTAAAGCTGGGCCGTATCCTGTATTCATGTGGGCTTTCTTGCAACAATAAACCCAAATACTCCAGTATAGGTTTCTAACTCTGCGTCGCACGCAGCAAGGGCCGAAGGCCGCATCTTCGCCGTCCCCAACTCCTTCCACCGCGACTTCGCCGCCGTCCACGGTCCGCCCTCGCCGCCGTCGATGGCCGATCCCTACCGCGCTTACGCCCCTCCCTCCTCTCTCGGCCGAGGTACGTGTTTGCTCGCTCACGCCCTCCCCGACCCAGGCCGACCGGGTCTCTTCTGCGTGGTTCCTGTGGGGGCGTTCTTGTGTCGATTGGACGAATCTTCGAATGAATCGGGAGCTCTTGCTGGGTTCCTGTTGTTACTGCTTTGGATTTATAGATTCAGTTCCTGCAAGGCTCAATTTTGGGTGGCTCAGATGGTTTTCTTGTCAGTTTGGTGCGCAATCCGGGTAGTTCAGTGAGTTTTACTTCAGTTGGTGCACACTGCAAAGGAGGGTAATGATTCGCATCGTGTAGCTGAATTAATAGATTTCCATCATGTTGTGAGCTCTAATGTCATTAGGATTCCCGACCAAATTAGCACCACTAGTTTCTGATTGCTCCTGATTCGCAGCTGCTAGGTTGATGTCTTAATGAATGGTTGGATTGAGTATATGCTATAATCTTCTGCGAGAAATTCTGTGTGAATGTTAAGGAATCATTGCGCTGGATATAATCCATCTGGATGCAATGTCTGTGCTTATGTTGAGCTAGACAAATTACAACTTTTTGGCATCAATTATGGCTCGGGGGGTGCCATGATGGGAGGGTTGGGAACTTGTGACTTGTGAATTTGATGTTGTTTAGTTTAAGTGAACAAAAGATTCCTTTTTCCCAGTATTCTAACTGGACATCTTGCTATTTTGAATTTTAATAAAAGGGTAGGACGTATTGATGTAAGATTTCACTGAATTGGGATTTTGTTTTGAGGGATCATGTGGTGTACAATTCACCCACATAAATCTATTGTTGAATTGAACTAGTGTACAAAGAAACTACCTTTGTGGATACAAGACACTTCTTTCCATATATGAGCAGTTAAGAACTTTTGATGATTTGGGGAAGAACGGAATGCATGGTTGTTATGCATAGCCTTGAGGAACACTGGTGTCAACGGCGGACCTTCTTTTGTCGTTGGAGTGGGTTGGATAAATTGTTGATGCATTGTTAAAAGTATATAAGAATATCTGAAAACTATATAGACAGTTTGAACATGGGGAGGTTGAATATAGAAGGGATTGGTTTTCATTTATTTGAACTTGTGTCATGTTTTTCCTTTTGTTTTCCTTTTCTTGTTTGTTCTGAGATTGATAATGACACTTATCATTGCATTGGGAAGTTGAATATAGAAACCTTTTATGTTCATAGCAATTTTATTGTGTTTGCAGATCCGCAGGGTGATTTTCCTAGGCATCCTCCATCCGAGGGCTCTTATTATGCTTCAAGAATGGCTGCTCTCCATGGAACATCAGATATACTTAGACATGATGTAACGACTTTATTTTTAGTGGATTTGATCGCAATATAAAAGTAGCCACCATGTTGTCACACAACACGTTGATTTGATCTACAGGTACCATTACAGCCAAGAGCTTATGGTTTGGATGGTGCAGCAGGAGCAAGTCATCCTGCTTTGGCTGGTCTTGGTGGACTGGCTGCTGGAACTACAGCTCGGGGGCCTAGTCCACTGGAAGACCCAGCTTTAGTAAGGAGAAGTTCTTCTCTAGGAAAAACTGCTAGTATTCCAGATGTTGAGCATCCCAGACCCCTTCTGAACCTTGATGGTCCAAGAGAAGATGAATCCAACATTCTCTTTGTTGATGGTCTCCCTACTGATTGCACAAGGAGAGAAGTGGCCCGTATCCTTCCTACTTAGTGTTCTTATGCTCTGTGTTTATATCTCTTTCTTAGTTTCCTTTCGTGAGCCTTAACTTCCCATGGAAGATTTGTTCCGTCCTTTTGTTGGCTTCAAGGACATCAGACTAGTGCATAAGGAGCCAAGACATGTACGTGCTTTTCCTTTTCAATGCATCAATTTTTTTTTCTTAGTTGAAAAATATGGTTGGACAGTTCTCCTTTTGAATAACTCACAAGTCTATGCGTGTATTTGCATTCACATCTTGGAACTGAGATATGTTAGAAGTACCACATATATTATAGAATGCAATATATGCTTTTCTGTCCTTAACATATATAATTCAGGCAGAGCTGCTTTTTAGCTTAAAAAATATACTGGTATATAGTATATAATGCAATATATGTTTCTAGCCATTACATGAATTAATTTAATCACAAAAGTAGCATATTTAGTTAGACTATTTATGTATTTAAGTGGGTAAGAAATTACATTGACTTCCACATGTACTTTTATTGCCGTCTTTTTTCCACGGGCCAACGTCAGTAGAGCTGTTAACATTTGTCGCCATGTTTTCCCTAGGCATTATCTTATTTCCTGTGGTAATGAACCTACAGTTGTTTATGCTTGTTTTGCATCACAGATCCCCATTCCATTCATCATTTATCTGTTACTGCTGATTCTATTAGTGCTAGTTTGAATTTGGATCAACACTAACTTTTCATACTGCTGCTTGCAGAGTAGTGATAGGGCCTATGTTCTATGCTTTGTGGAGTTCAGTGATGCAAAATGTGCAATAACTGCTATGGAGGCTCTCCAAGGTTATTCCGGTGTCATTGATTTATCGCATTGATATTCTCTTGACAGCTTTTCATATATCCTGGCAGAGTCGGTTTGCTAGTATGGGATTATAATCATGTTACATTACATATAGAATTGAATGGTGTCTTGATAATTGATATGCATGGTATCCATTGGCTTTTTTTCTTTCAGTAGTATTTCACAGTTCACAGTGTCTGTTAGATTCTTGTGACACACTGATACTAACCATATCTTCCTTCAAGAGCTGTAGCTATTTAAACAATAAGGCAGACAGTTCGCTCATATTTCATAGCAAACCTAAGGATAGTAGGAATCAACTTTAAACCTAAGGCTGTAACATGAGCTTTTCTTTGTTGCATAAGCTGAATTTTTCAGATTATTGATTTTGCAGAATACCGCTTCGACGAGAGGAAACCCGACGCCGCTGTTCTTAATATCAAGTTTGCAAGGTTCCCTTTCCGGCCGGCCGCTGCCCCCCATGATGATCGGAGACGCCTTACCTTGCACTGATTAGTTCCTAACTTCCTATCATCCTTAGTTAGCTGTGCCCAACCTGACCTTATCATTGCAACTTGTAAATCTTGTACCATCTCTGTCCCATAATACAAGGGATTTAGCTCAATCCTTTATATTCTGTGATGGAGGTAGTAACAACCTGTTGTCAGTCGAAACTGGCTAGCAGGAATCTTGAACAGCAGCAAAACAAGGAATGTACATTTGTGGGTTCGAAACACCTTCAGATTTTTTGCTGGTGCCAGTTCCAGAAACAATGGGATTTGCTTTTCTGCAGGCTAATTACTAATTTGGAATGGAAGATATTTTAAGGATGTTTTGTAGGAATTGTTCCGATTATCGTCAAAATCCTATAAAATTCCTGCGTTCCAAATGAGCGAGGATCCTTTATCGTAATGTCACTACTGTTACCGTCACTGGTACGTAGGTTTCACCCTTTAACCCCACACGTCAATGAGTGTTATTGTGATAGATAATGTGAACCCGTTCCAAAGGAGCCGTTAACGTCAGCACTGTGTCAATTGCTGTAAGAACGGCATCCTGTCCTTTTGAGCTGTTGACGTGAGACAGGTTTGACGTTCAAGTCTCCGGTCCTGCACAAGAAACCACCAAAATGTGTCAGGCTCGTTCATCTGGCGGCCGATCTCGAATTCTCGATCAACATCGCCGTCGAGTCTGGGCGCTCGTCGACGACGGAGAGGTCAGCGACGACCGTGGAGCGGGGGCGGCGAGAAGCTCCTCCTCCTCCGCCGTCGCTTTCGCCGCTGGAAACTGCCGGCGAGGTCACAGGGGCGATGTGCTCCGCCGTCGCTTTCGCCCGCTGGAAGATGCTTTTGCCCATTTTGCCTGTGGCCGGTGATTGACGCTGTTTCTTACCACGGTGACGCTTCGCGAGTGAGGTCATTCCAATATTCCATCCACAGTTATGTCTTAACACTTGTCAAATAACCAAAATTTCCAGGAAACCAAACAAGTTTTTTTTTCTCTGGAAAACTCTAATTACATATAGATATTATTGCAAAAATAAGAATTTTCGTGTAAAACACTTGCCTGATCGTTTGTCCTATAACTGATAAGCTGTAAAACGAAATATAAAATTATGGCTTATCAGCAATTAAAATATAATTTATGGACAAAAATACACGGTTAAAAGGTTAATATAAAAAAATAAATCATGATAAAAAAATCAAATCAACTTTGTTCATTTCTTCGATCACGCTATAAGCTGGATACAATTTGCCAAATTGTTAACTGAAAAGCACTTATCCAACACATGACATGACATGTTCTTGGCATCTCTTACATTATCCTTTTTTTTCCCACTGTGACAAGTTCTTTTTTTTTTCTTTTGATTTCTAAAGCTGATTTGCCATTCTTGCAATTTGCAAACCACTAGTGCCCCGTGAACACATATATCTGACGCCGTTTTCTGCCGCCAAATTGGATGGCGCAGCCTTTGCAATTTGTCAGGATAGATAGAGAGATTTCACATCACATTCCCTCGTTGCCACGGTAGTGAGCCGTCCTGTAGCCGGTGGCTGCAAAGGCTATTTGGATTCTAGCACTGTGCTGTTCCATCATCAATTTGTGTAAGTGCACTAGCATTACTATTCTCTGCATCCCAATTTACTGCAAACGTAGTTTTCACTGTCTATTGTCAGTTTTGTCACAGTAGATATGGAATTTATGCTGGAATACTAATTTAGACGATTGCGGAAAACGATCAACAAATCATCCTATAGCTATTAAAAATAAAAGCATTCATTTAATTTCCACCATATTTCTCTGTATTTATTAGACTGAACACTACAATTTTAGATGATATATTGCGCCTTAATTTACACAATACTAGGTGAAACATTGCTGTGGGAATTTAGTATGATAACAATAAAAAAATAACGTGTAAGATAGCTAGATAACATCAGATTAAGTAAATTAATGTGGTTTATGATAATTTAAATTTAAATAGTATGTAGAATGGTGATTCAAACTAACAAGTAAGGTGGTATGACTTTATGGAAGAAGAAAAATAGAGAGATAGTTTGGACCGTTGATTAATCATCTAAAGGCTAAAAACAATTGATGTGATATAACTTAATTAGAGGAAAAAAAGGAGAAATATAATTTGGATCATAGATTAATCATTTAAGCACTAACTAAGCGAGGATGAACTATATAAGTATATAGGATATCATAAAACATAATAAAGATATACATTGAAACATTATGTGAATTATGTTGGATGATAATTTAACATGTTTGTATTTGAAAAGCTCTTAAATTATAAAAACTATAAAGATATAGCATGTTTGCACGATGTTTAAATGTGATGATTGTTAGTGGATAATGATGTGGCATCTTGTTAATTAGTGGATGATGATGTGGCATCTTGTTAGTAGATAATGATGTTGCATCTTTGTATATTAAGCTTAAAGAGTTAGTGGAGGATAATTTTATAGTAAGATAAAATTCCATCTGTAACAACTAACGGTCTTAACCTGCCTATGTAAATAATACCCGCCATATTTATCCGTATTTTATTTGACAAAATACTTCAGTACAATTTTAGATTATTTCACCCCCAATATTGGGTGTACAACTGTACATCGCAATAGTGATGGCCCTAGATAGTGTTGCACTATATGTGTGTCTTTCAAGGCATTGACCAAAACACACACGTGCCCAAGCTGCAATTTATCTCACCATTTCAGATTATGAGAATCTTCAATTCTCCTAGACAGCAAAGAAAAAGCATATACAATTTTACATCACCATTTTCAGATTAGGAGAATCTTCAATAGACATCAAAGAAAAAGCATATGCAAATTTTACCTCACAATTTCAGATTAGGAGAATATTCAAAAGACAGCTAATTAGAAAAAAAAAGAGAGTTAAAAAAACCCATAATAAAAAAAGCAAAAGGAGACTAGTACTAGCAAGGCTAGCCAGCCCATGGTGTTCGACTCGTCTCCATTTCGCGTCTCCTCCTCCTCCTCCTCCGGCCATCTCACCCTCCCGGCGAGCAGCGAGCGGGAGGCCTCCGCCACCGCCGCCGCCGCCGCCGCCGTCGCCGCCCGATGGGGAAGCCGGGGAAGCTAGCGCTGCCCTCGCACGAGTCAACCATCGGCAAATTCCTGTGATCTCCCGTTCCCCCCATCTCTCTCTCTCCCGCTTTTCCGTGTCCTCTGCTGCTCGCATCACGCTTGCTGTTGTTGTTGGATGTGTGTTGCTTGTGCTGATTCCGGTGGTGTTTCGGGGGTTTGGGTTTTCGGGCTGCAGGACGCAGAGCGGGACGTTCAAGGACGGCGATCTGCTCGTCAACAAGGACGGCCTCCGCATCGTCTCGCAGAGCGAGGAAGGGGAGGTAAAGTCACCAGCGGAAATGATATAGTTTCACCTGTTTGGTATTCCGTTTGGCAATCGTAGGAGTGAACTCGCCATGGTTGGATCTTCTCTTGGGTTTTGTTGAGGAGATGAAGGTGTGAATTGGATGATGGGCGGGTCGCTAGCGGCGTTCCTGGATTCACTCTGGAGTGAATTGTTGTTGAGCTCTGATTATATTCTGGATTGGAATGTCATGCGTTTGGCAATCAGGGTGCTGTTTGCCTGTTTGGTAATAGGGCAGATGCATACGCTAATTTTCTACATTAAAATGTGCCAATAATTTGCAACCATTTTTATATGGTAGTGAAGAAATCCTGAAATAGTTTAATTCACATTTTCTAATCCACAGCGAACTAGGATAGGAAACAGCATGCCTTTTTATCTTCATTGTTTCGATGAGCGTCATACTTATATAGTGGTTTCTCATGTGGAGTGTCTAGACACTAACTAGTGGTATCTGCATATGCAATAAATTACTGAAAGCATATATGCTGCATCTGGTAGCTCTGTTCCTGGTGCTCACTTATAGTGTGAGAATGTTCTTTAATACTATCATTACTTTTTGTACTCTCCATTCATTTAATATGTTCTTTTATTTTGTGTACTCACCTTCTCTCTATTGGCATGCTAAAATTGTTGCAGGCCCCTCCTATAGAACCTTTAGATCATAATCAGTTGAGTCTAGATGATCTAGACGCAATCAAAGTTATCGGTAAAGGTAGTAGTGGAATCGTGCAGTTGGTTCGCCACAAATGGACTGGCCAGTTTTTTGCTCTGAAGGTATTATATGAAAGTACATTCTTTGCTTTTTATGATTTCTTCCACTCTCCCCTTACCAGTTTTAACTACAATCTTTTTAGTGTTCCCAATAGTTATAGCTTCATGTGAGTCCAGTGTTTTTTCATGTGGTCTTTTGCCTAACACTTGCAAAGGATCTTTAGTTCTTTACCTCCATTGATATATTATTGCGTTTACAGGTAATACAACTCAATATCCAGGAGAATATACGCAGACAGATTGCGCAGGAATTGAAAATCAGCTTGTCAACACAGTGCCAATATGTTGTTGCATGCTGTCAGTGTTTTTACGTTAATGGTGTCATTTCAATTGTTTTGGAGTATATGGACAGTGGCTCTCTCTCAGATTTCCTGAAGACAGTTAAAACCATTCCAGAGCCCTACCTTGCTGCAATCTGTAAGCAGGCCAGTGACATGTGGTAGAAGCTATCACACAATTTCTTTGCTTTGCAAATGTTACTTAAGCACCACATGGACTTTATAATAAAAATAAATAAATCTTTCCTGCGCAGGTGCTAAAAGGACTGATGTACTTACATCATGAGAAGCACATCATACACCGAGATCTGAAGCCGTCAAATATATTAATAAATCATATGGGTGAAGTAAAAATATCCGACTTTGGTGTTAGTGCCATCATTGCTAGTTCCTCGGCACAACGAGATACATTTACTGGGACATATAACTACATGGCGGTGCGTAAAAGTTTCTGTGTCATGAAATGTATCTCTGATTATTGCATGAAATGCTATCTATTTTGTTTGTCTTGTTGAACCAAAGGGAAATTCTGTTCTTGACAGCCAGAAAGAATCAGTGGGCAAAAACATGGTTATATGAGTGATATCTGGAGCTTGGGCCTCGTTATGCTAGAATTGGCCACTGGTGAATTTCCATATCCTCCTCGTGAAAGCTTTTATGAACTCCTTGAAGCTGTTGTCGACCACCCACCACCTTCTGCTCCATCAGACCAGTTTTCAGAGGAATTCTGTTCATTCGTCTCTGCATGGTAATTGTACTTCTTTGATGATTTCTCTTATCCACTTACATTTGCAGTACTAGCAATTTGTTTTAATTTTTAGTTTACAATCACGTGCTTCTAATATCCCAAGTTGGTGCCTGTTTTATACATTTTACATGCAAAATTTAAGTGAAAAGGTGACTACCTTCAGAGTGTGTTTGGTACCCTGTATGTCATTCAGCCTGGCTTGCATCAGCAGAGCTTGCCCAACCAGTCCTGTGTAGATGCTGAAAATTGACAAGTTTAGTTACATGCTTTTGCTTAGCTAGGCCATGTAGGGAGTTTGTTTGGTTTACAGCATGTATACGTGCAAAGCCCAAAATATATCTTTGGAGCCAGTGCATGCCAGCAATTTCGTGCTCTCACCAGCAGGCCAGCAGGAAACGGATTCTGAATACGGAAAACGTTTCTATGGGGCCATGCCCATACCTCACTTTGGAATGCGCAGGGATTGGCCCATCCAATCACACAGAAAACCAAACATTGGAACTGTTCCAGGGAACAAATGCCCCCTTACTGCCTTGGTATGCAGATTGTAGGGACCCAATTGATGCATGGCGGGATTACACCCAACTAAATCATTTATTGTGTGGCGTGTTCCATACTCCCTCCATACTTATAAAGGAAGTCGTTTAGGACAATATTTAAGTCAAACCTTGAGAATATAAATCGTGAATAACTCTCAAGTTGTTGAGTTTGAAAATATAAAAATTATATGTATAGATTTGTCTTGAAAAATACTTTCATAAAAGTATGCATATATCACTTTTTAATAAATATTTTTATAGAAATAAGAAGTCAAATTTGTGTTTTGGAGACCGTGTTGCTTTCCTAAACGACTTTCTTTACGAGTATGGAGGGAGTACTTCTTTTCTTGAGATATTTTTGTTACTCTTACATGTGAACCAAATAGGTCTAATGTCTTTCAACTCTTCATATTCATATGGACTTTCAATGTTAAGAAGGCTGCTAAGTTTTATAAAGGGAAATAAATAAATAAACAGGGCTAATACAGTTCCTCTGTCTGTTCTGTGGGTTGCAGTATCCAAAAGAATGCTTCGGATAGGTCATCTGCACAAATCTTATTAGTAAGTGAAAATTCTTATCCACGCTGTTCTTTTTAAGGCATCTTTTGCACAAGTCTAGCTCACTGATCTTGTTGCGTCCTCCCTCTGCTCTTTGATACCCAGAATCATCCATTCCTGAGCATGTATGACGACCTGAATATAGATCTTGCTTCGTACTTCACAACCGATGGATCTCCGCTTGCCACCTTCAATACAAGTAATGATGAGCAACTTGTCTTTTTTCTTTGTTTTTGCCATCCATTTTGTCATAGACACATGTTAGTGCCATTCTTTATGATTCCAGTGGATGAACCATCAAGGGAACCTTACATTCTTTTTTTTCGTAGGCAACCGATATGATGACAGATAGTCTGATGCAACACTGCGTCATCATCTAGCTCGAAGGATGATCCTTTGGCTGTCCATCTGTAGAATCTACCATCTACCTAACTGGCCCCAAATGTTTCGTGTATTTTTTGGGAGAAAACTTTGCCCTGTGTACTGAGCTGGGATTGATGTCTTTGATATGTAAATTTCGCGTAATTTCATATGTAGAACAATTCTAGGATCATTGGGCATTGAAGTTTTGTTTGGCCGTGCACCAGGATGATCTGTTCTTGATCGCTTTACCTTTGTTTCTCACTTCTGTAACTAAAACCTATATTTACCATTTACCGGATTGTTCATGGCCTCTTCTGGGCAAGTCGGTGTCGACTGAAAGTCTCAAACAATTGCCTCTTCCTACGACGACTGGTGTGTTTCATGCAAGTTTCGTGATCTTTTGACAAGGTGTGTGAGCACTGAGCAGCCGGTGCGAAGCAAACGGCACGAAGTTGGCCTTGTCGGCTGAGGCACGTTTCCCAACCGTGTTCTTATCGTGTCAGGTCGCCATTCTGGATTGCGAGCTCGTCCGTTCAAACATGAATTACATACTCTATCCGTCTTAAGATACCAAATTAGGATTAGATGAGACATAACCTATAACAAATCTGTATATGTTTTTTATAATTTTTTTTGAGGGAGTCATTGCCTATTCGCCCGTGGCATTTTTAAATACAGTAGTTAACTATCTCCACAAGCTTATGTAGGCCAGTAACGTGGGCTGTATGGTCGGCAGTTATGGGCCGTAATTTAGTTATAGCCCAAAGTATTGATCGTTTTTGTTTATCATTTTGCTGGATTCTGTTCATACTTTTGCTTTATATAAAAAACCGCAAATAAATAAATAATGAAATGTTAAATTAGCCGTCCGGTTTCTCCAACAAGCCAAGGAATTTATAGTCGAACTCGAGGCGCCGTTCTTGTGAATTGCTTGATATTGCTTCCACACGAAGGGAGATTACTGATTACTATAAATAAAACGCATGCAGAGCCAGTGCCATGATACAAAGCTAAATACGCGTGAAGTCACGTTTCGCACATACAATATCCGATCGAGATGATGATCGCCGGTGATGGCCGTGGCTGGCTGCTGCCGCAGATCGTCATGGCCGTCGCCTCCGCCGCCGCGCTGGCGCTGGCGCTGTGGCGGCAGCAGCCGGGAGGCAGAGGCGGCAGCGGCGGGCCGGCGGCGATCCTCCTCGCCGCGGCGCCGTACGCACTCCTCCTCCTGCTGCTCTGGTGCCTCCGCGCGTTCGAGCGGGCGGCCGGCGCCGGCGACGCGGCCGCGCAGGGGAGGCTCAGGCTCGCCGTGTGGCTGCTCAGCAGCGCGCTCACCGTCACGTTCGCCGCCAGGGTCGCGCCGCTGATGCACGGCGCGGCGGCGGTCCTCGTCTGGGCCATGTCGGCGGCGACCATTTGCGGTGGTTTCTACATGCTCGATTTGTTTCCTCTCCATCGTCGACTAGATAGAATCAATTGAAGATTTAACGTCATTTTATACTTTTTTTAATCAGAATATCTGTGAAAATTTGATGAATAATTTGCTTTAAAAATAATATTATCGGTTTCTGCGAAGCTGTATTTAAAAATACAAGCGGAACACAAATTTTGACAATTTGACCATTTACAAAACCTTATTTCAAAAATAAACCATGACCTCAGCGCCATCGGAATTGGTGCTGAGATCCAACATCTCAGCGCCACTAATTTTGGCGCTAACCTCCGTCCGAGATGTCATGCATTAGCCACATCATCAGGGGTCAGCGCCACTAATTTTGGCCACTTACAAAAACTTATTATAAGAATAAACCGTGTCAAAAATTTATTTCAAAAATAAACCACGACTTTAGCATCATCGGAATTGGCGCCAACTAATTTTTACGCTAACCTTCCTCCGAGGTGTCATGCATTAGCCACATCATCAGGGGTCAACGCCACTCTCGTTGGCGCTGACCTCTGTATTGGTTAAAATTTTAACATCCTTTTATCCAATTAAGAAGGTATAAAGTATAATAGCTCAGTGGTTGAGGTGGTACTCTCATTGGCGCTGACCTCTATATTGGTTAAAGTTTTAACATCCCTTTATCCAATTGAGAAGGTATAATAGCTCAGTGGTTGAGGTGATACTCTCATTGCTTTATCCAAATAGCTTAGTGGTTGAGGTGGTACTCTCATTGCTTTATCCAATTGAGAAGGTATAATAGCTCAGTGGTTGAGGTGGTACTCTCATTGGCTGACCTCTTTACCTTTATCCAATTGAGAAGGTATAATGGCTCAGTGGTTGAAAGCAAGGTCCAATTGAGAAGGTATAATGGCTCAGTGATTGAAAGCAAGTTGAGGTGGTACTCTCATTGGCTGACCTCTTTACCTTTATCCAATTGAGAAGGTATAATGGCTCAGTGGTTGAAAGCAAGGTCCATACCTTTATCCAATTGAGAAGGTATAATGGCTCAGTGGTTGAAAGCAAGGTCCAATTGAGAAGGTATAATGGCTCAGTGATTGAAAGCAAGGTATAATGGCTCAGTGGTTGAAAGCAAAGGTCTAAGGCCCTGACCTCTGTATTGGTTAAAGTTTTAACATCCCTTTATCCAATTGAGAATTCAAACTTTCAACTTTTCCATCATATCAAAACTTTTCTACACACACAAACTTTCAACTTTTCCGTCATATCGTTCCAATTTCAATCAAACTTTTAATTTTTGTGCGAACTAAACACACCCTAAGATTAAAACCCACTCATGTAACTTTTTTCTTATATTTTTCCCTACCAACGGTTATATGCCCAAAATATTTGCATACCCAAGGCTTCGAACCCAAGACCTAGGGCTAAAAACCAAAGGAGCTAACCACTTCACTAATAGTACATTTGAAGTAGGAATCACCATTACAATCTTTTAGTCTTTGCAAAGGTCGGCGCCAATGAGAGTGGTGCTGAACCTTGATGATGTGGCTAATATATGACACCTCGGACGGAGGTTAGTACCAAAATTAGTGGCGCTGAGACGTTGGATCTCAGTGCCAATTTCTATGGTGCTGATGTCGCGATTCATTTTACGGTTTATTTTTATAATAATTTTTTTTAAAAAAAGTCAAACTGTCACTATTTCGGAGCGGATAGATGCACGAATCCACCTATGAAAATAGGTACGCTGGCTGTATCACGAGGACCTTGTGATGAGGCTGACACGTTCTTCGGTTTTTCCTGATCTGAGGGGTGACACGTTCGATCAGACCTATGCCTGCCAGCCGGGTTCGATCAGACCCATGCCGCTCGGGTTCGATGCTTTTGCTACACCAAGGAAAAAAAGGTTATACGAAAGCCGGGATGAACAAAATAATATAACGCCCAATATTTTTGTTTAGGCTGAGAAATATTCTACTCATCGGTATATGAGTAGACAAATACAGAAGTTGTAAGAAACATATGAATGGGTGAAAGTTTTATTTCTTCTCGATTTAAGTACAGACGGTAGAAAGTAAGACGAAAAGTTAGAGTCTTATTTATAGACGGAGGAGGTTGACGGCTTTCGTAGTAAGCTGGCTTACGCCAGAAGGTTACTTCTCCCGCAATCTGGCTTTCTCGACAAGCTAAGCTTGTTTATGGCGCCACAAGCTTTCTTACGCTATGAGATATCTTTTGGTATAAATTTTTTCTCCAACTTAAGATTTCTTTTGAAGTAAACTTTTCACTCTATTATAATTCATACACATAGATATATGTTTTATAACAGTTACCATTTAAAACCATCTCATTAAATTATTCTAAAACTAAACCTTCTTTCCTGATCTTTTTAGCCACGAAAGTGGTGCCGACGTGGCAAAATCATGCTGCCATGCCAGCACACGTGGTGTGGTACGGCGCCACGCTCGCGGGGTTAGCCAGCCTGATCCGCATTGATTCTGATGCATCAGCTATATACTACACTAGACATGTTTGTACACGCTACACTATCGGGAGTGAGCCGAGCAATCATGTACTGAGTTACTTACATCCGTTTCAAAATAAGTGCAGTCATAGATATCCGTGTTTTATCGTTTTGACCATCCATCTTATTTGAAAAATTTATAAAAAATATTAAAAAAATTAGTCACACATAAAGTACTATTCATGTTTTATCATCTAATAACAATAAAAGTAGTAATCATAAAAAAAAATTTCAAATAAAACGAGCGGTCAAACGTTGGGCGTGAATAGTGCTAAAACTATACTTATTTTGGGACGGAGGGAGTATAAGACTTTCTAGCATTGTCCATATTCATATAGGTGTTAATAAATCTACATACATATATACCTTAGATTCATTAACATCTATATGAATATGGGCAATGCTAGAAAGTCTTATAACCTGAAACGGAGGTAGTAATAATTACTAGGTGGTGTTTGAATCTCCTAAAGATAAGATGAAGATAAAGATTAAATGTTTCACGTAAAACGATGTGGTAATAATGTGTGATTAATTGAGTTTTAATTATTACAAACTTAAAAAATAGATTAATATAATATTTCAGAACAACTTTCATATAGAAATTTTTCGCACAAAACGCACCGTTTAGCAGTTTAAAAAACGTGCTACAAAAATCTTATCTTCATTCAACTTTTATCGAAGAAAATAACGGGACCTTAAGACGGTTAGATTTAAGTTGTTCTGTACAGATGGATGACGACTAAAAAAAGTTGAAACGAACTAGATAACCTATTCTCACCAAAGTTCCATGTTATAAATCCTTTCTATTTTGTACTTTAGTTTTGAATTATTTTGTCTTACTGTTTTGTTTCTACCGGTCCCGTACTCTTTTCTTCAACATCAAGTTTAACCCGTTACCATAGTCTTCTCTTTATAGTACTCTTATTTTCACTGGTGGAGAAACTATCTTTCATCGGTCGGCCGAATTCCACAATAGTCCCGGATGCAATAAAAATCAGGGCTAAAGATGATCTTTAGTCCCGGTTCAAAAGAGTAACGGGCATATTTGATCTTTAGTCCCGGTTGGTAACACACCAACCGGGACTAAAGATCTTTAGTCCCGGTTCGAATGCTGTCAGGGTATGTCAGGCCCCTTCGGGATCTTTAGTCCCGGTTGGTGATCTTTAGCCCCGGTTGGTGCTACCAACTGGGACTAAAGTCCCACCCATATATATATGTCTTCTTCCTCCTCCAGCTGCCCGAGCAAGCTTCAAAATTTCTTCAAAAAAGAGGGGAGGTCATGCCAAAATTTTTATTGAATTTATTTTGGTGATTACATACAAATCGGAGGTGCCTAAAAGGTTTGCAACTTCATCGTCCAATGTTTTTTTTTTGTCATACTACATTTGCACCTATGTTTTGCACACTTTTTTTGTCTCCAAAATTTAGTTGTAAGTTGATGAGAGAGAAAATGTGTGTGGGAAAGAAAGAATATATAGAAATTTAGTTCATTTGCTAAACAAGGTTTTATAAAATAGTTGAGAAGGAAAACTCTAGTGAAAGTTAATCTTAAATAATAGAAAACAAACTAAAATGAAAATTAAAAGAAGTAAAACACATTAAAATTAGTTTAAAACTTTACAAATAGTTTTTAAGAATTATTTGGTGTAATATTTTATGATTTTTGTATTAATAAAGATATCTTATAATTATTTTATGACTGTCATTATTGTAAGAATAATTATTTGTGTACGATTTTTTTTGACTCATGTAGATGGATCGGCAATGGATGTATGCTGACCGGCGGTCCAAAGAGTTTATTGACGGCGTGCACTATTTTTTGAGAGTGGCCGAAACTAACAGGCAAAGGGGTTTTATTTGTTGTCCATGCAATAAGTGTAAGAATCAGAAGGAGTATTCTGCATCCAGGACTATTCATTTCCACTTGTTTGAGTCAGGGTTCATGCCAAGCTATAATTGTTGGACATCCCACGGAGAGAAGGTGTTGAAATGGAAGAAGATGACAATATTCCGGACTTTGCTCAGTATGTTGGATTTGAAGAAAATCAAACGGGCGAGGAGGAAATAGCTGCTGATGGTAACGACGTTGCGGATGATCTTGGTCAGATGTTGCAGGACGCCAGGGAGGACTGCGAAAGTGAAAAGGAGGCCCATAAATTGGACAAGATGTTGGAGGACCACAGAACTTCGTTGTACCCAGGTTGCGAGCAGGGGCACAAAAAGTTGGATACCACTCTGGAGTTCTTGCAATGGAAGGCAAAAAATGGGGTTAGTGACAAGGCATTTGGCGATTTATTGAAACTCGTCAAGAACATTCTTCCGGGGGGAAACAAATTGCCCGAGACAACGTACGAGGCTAAGAAGATAGTCTGCCCGTTAGGACTGGAAGTTCATAAGATTCACGCATGTCCGAACGATTGTATCCTATATCGCGGTGAGGAGTATGAGAACCTAGAAGCATGCCCTGTTTGCAAAGCACTACGATACAAGATTAGACGAGACGATCCAGGAGAAGTTGATGGGCAGCTAACAAAGAAGAGAATTCCTGCTAAGGTGATGTGGTATTTCCCTATAATACCACGGCTAAGGCGTTTGTTCAGGAACAAGGGGAATGCTAGAATGTTGCGATGGCACGCTGAAGAGCGTCAACAGGACGGGATGCTGAGACACCCCGCCCATGGTTCGCAGTGGCGAAACATCGATAGAAAATTTAAAGAATTTGGAAAGGACGCACGAAACATACAGTTTGGTTTGAGTACAGATGGCATGAATCCTTTTGGAGAGATGAGTAGCGGCCCTAGCACTTGGCCCGTTACGATGTGTATCTACAACCTCCCCCCTGGCTATGCATGAAGAGGAAGTACATAATGATGCCGATTATTATTCAAGGCCCCAAGCAACCTGGTAACGACATCGATGTGTACCTAAGACCACTGGTCGAAGATCTTAAACAGTTGTGGAAGAAGGAAGGTGTCCCGTGTGGGACGAGGACAAACATGAGGAGTTTAACCTACGAGCGCTGCTGTTCGTAACCATCAACGATTGGCCTGCATTTAGCAACCTATTCGGACAGTCCAACAAGGGGTACAAGGCTTGCACTCACTGTATGGATAAACAGAAAGTACGTATCTTAAGCACTGTAGGAAGGTTGTATACATGGGTCATCGTCGATTCCTTGCAGCAAACCACCCGGTATGGAAGAAAGGCAAGCACTTCGAACATAAGGCCGACCACCGTACGAAGCCTAAACATCACAGCGGGAAAACAGTGTTTGCTATGGTTAAAGATCTTAAAGTAGTGTTTGGAAAGGGGCCTGGAAGCCAGCCTATAGAGAGCGAAGATGGTCACGCGGCGATGTGGAAAAAGAACTCTATATTTTGGGAGTTACCATATTGGGAATTCTTGGACGTACGCCACGCAATCGACGTGATGCACCTCACTAAGAACCTTTGCGTAAACCTTCTTGGCTTCCTAGGTGTATACGGAAAGTCGAAAGATACACTGGAAACACGTTGTATGATCTGAAGCATATGGAACAACGCGGCGACCTTCACCCGGAACCAAAGGAGAAAGGAAGCCATTACTTGAGTCCAGGCAGCTACACTCTTAGCAAGGCAGAGAAGGAAAGTATGTTTGAATGCTTGGAGAGCATAAAGGTACCGTCTGGATACTCCACGAATATCAAGCGAATAATAAGCACGAAGGAGAAGAAGTTCACAAACCTAAAGTCTCATGACTGTCACGTGTTGATGACACAACTGCTACCAGTTATAATAAGGGGTATCCTTCCAGACAATGTCCGGGCAACAATAACAAAGTATGTGCATTCATGAACGCAATTTCACAGAAGGTCATCGATCCGGATAGATTAGAAGCCCTTAAGAATGAAGTAGTGCAATGTCTCGTTAGTTTTGAGTTGATATTTCCACCTTCATTTTTCAATATAATGACGCATCTACTTTGTCACCTTGTGAAAGAGATCCGTATTCTCGGGCCTGTGTACCTACACAACATGTTTCCTTTCGAGAGGTACATGGGCGTTCTGAAAAAGTATGTTCGTAACCGTGCTCGTCCAGAGGCAAGCATCGCCAAGGGTTATGGAACAGATGAGGTCATCGAATTTTGCGTAGAATTTATCGAAGACCTTCGCCCAATCGGGGTACCTGAATCACGCCATGAAGGGAGACTACGGGGAAAGGGAACTCTCGGAAGGAAAGCAATAATGAGGGTAGACAACAATTTATTCCGTAAAGCCCATTTCACTGTTCTGCAACACTCTTCATTGGTAGCTCCTTACATCGAGGAGCACTTGGCTCTAGTTCGCGCCAGGAACATCGGTAAGTCCGATGCATGGATTACACGGCATCACATTGATACTTTCCCCACGTGGCTACGACAACATCTCATGGGTAACGAGTCGATCAACCAACAACTTGCCTTCCTAGCGAGGGGACCGTCTGGGTCGATCGCGACATTCCAGGGATATGAGATCAATGG